GAGAAATGTTGGCAAAGCATGAAGTGTTTACGTTTCATTACTAGCCCCTTGTAGGGGTAGGAGAGGGGGGGGCACGTCGCTGGGGACGAGGCTGTTGTTTGCTTGGCGTCGTTGTCACATGACGGGCGAGATGAGCCGAGAGCGTGGGCCAAGATGCGCTCTCGAAAGGGGGCAGCAGCCGCTCTGAAGAGGGCCCATGGTCCAAAACGTCGCCCGTTGCAGTGCGTGTGCTATGCCCTGTTGGCGAATGTGTGAGGTGTTATTTGTGCCTGTACCCCGCCACCAGTGCAGTATCATCATTGTTTTTTGACGAAACTACAGAGCGGTGTGTAATGGTACGGCCAGTTTTCAAATCCACTCCTGGATGACGGCTTTCCAATGCCATTTGTGTGTTGGAGGTTATTCCGACCATACTTCACCACGCTGGTCAGTGCTGGTTGGTGAAGTTGGGGCAGGGTGGGTAAGTCTCCAGAACCTCAGTGCAGATATCACTCATTAGTCAAGCCATCGCAGGGAATCAAATCAGGTCACCTGGCCCCAGTGCCGGATTAAGCTAGTGTGGGGCCTGTAGCATATGTTATAAAGGGGCCCTAAGTTAAAAAAACGCACAAATATTAAAACACAAAATGTTTACTTTCATAGTAAGGTAATTGCATCTTTTAATTTACTATACAGCCAGATAATACGACAAATCGCTCACCTTAAACACCCAGTCGTTCATAAAAGTTGAAGGCGGTATAGTACTATAGCAATAGAGCAAGTGCAGAATCACCAAGCCGGAATTGATAGCTTGAAAGCATTTAGCGCGGGGCCCTTGAAAGTGCGTGGCCCGTAGCATGTGTAGCTACTTTTGCCGCTCGTATAATCCGGTACCGCCGGGCTCATAGTGCAATAGGTCAACGGCAGCACCAGCACCCCTCCATGGTCTCGGGGTCACGCATTAGACCATTGATTGGTCATCAGTATCTGCACAGTGCAGTGTATGTGGCGATCCATACGGTGTCCTCTATGACGAGAGTACAATGTGGTGCAACACAACTGGCTGCTGTGCGCACACGTGCCAGCAGAAATCATGCAAATCATCTTGGGCCTCTCCCATGGTGGCTTGCAGCTCGAGTTCATTTCATCTTGGCACGTATTGCACTGTTCTGCTCCAAGTACATAACACGTATGTGTGTTGAACTTCTTTCGCACCGTACGTAGCCAACCGTGCTAATCGGAGGTGCGGGTGAAGGACAACAAACTAAAACCCAAAAGCAGTTCTAAAGAAATGAGTTTTCAATTTAGGTTTAAAAGTGCATCGCTCCAATGGCTTCTTAATATCGGAAGGAAGAGCGTTCAAATTGGCCGTAGAAGTGCTTCTGAAAGCGCGTTGTGGTGACCGTCTTTGTTCGACGGTTAGCCAAAAGCCGCTGTGAGAATAACCGGAGTTTGCGTGATGGTTCATGCTCCTTGACGAGATGTGCGAGGTTTTGTGGTTCATTTGTGGCGAGCACTTTCTGTGTGTATTAGTAATGCTGCGTAGATAAATATTACCCGTCGAATAATTGTCGTAGCATGCATGAAGGGACGCACATTACAACCCCCCGATGTGTTTTCGCGCTACTGCTGCGTGCCGTTCGGCACGACGTCCAACGTTTCGTTGCACGTGCTGGCAGCTGCTTTGGGAACCGTTCAGTTCCTAATTCGGTTCGTGAAGAAGAAGTAGCTCCCGGCACATGCAGGACAACGCCGAGCAATCGTGCCTGAACGTCTCCCCCCCCCCCCCCCTGGCACGTGGAGCGAAACGTCGGACATCGTGCCCGAAGCAACGCGCGGTACGTACGGCCAGTCGCTGCGTGGGACTCGCTTTGACGCGATTCTGTCGGGTGCTGCGATTCGCCTTGCTTAGACGCCACTGCATTGGCTCCCGACCCCGACTGGCAGCCGCGACCTCCCCCGTGAGAGGCCGCGGCCATGTTTTCCGCACCGGTTGCCTCGGGTAGCGCTCACCGTGATACCCAGCAGCGCGCTTCGCTGTGCACTGGCACCGCGTGCTGGTGGCAGCGCCTAGCCCCGCAGCTGACGGACTGGCGCATCAGGACTGGCTTTCCCACGATCCTGCAAAGATATATATAAATATATCTGGGTTTTTCTTTGCACCGTTAGAACATCCAAATAGACGTGAAGGCTTGTAATTGTTTTGGCACTGCTGAATACAAGACCGTAGCGTCTTCCATAAATAATGCAGCCAAGTCGGTTGACCGTGAAATCAATTTTGTTTCGAATTAGCGATTTAGTCTTTCTGTAGCCGCAGGCCTTGAAGCGCGGCCGTAGAGCAGTGCCTGCCTTCGTGACGCGTGAAAGCTTTGAAACGCTTTGGAAACGCGCCGTCAAATAAGCCGGCTCGCACTTCCTGCTAAAAAGGCAGGCGCATCAGTGTGTACCGCGGGGCAAGTCGTGACGAACAGGCCCCGGCTTTAATCTTAAGGTCGTTTACCAAGTAGCCAACCTCACACGCTTCTGAGGCGGCAGAGGGCGGCGCAGCAAAATCGGCTGTTGCTTTGCACTTCGATGCTTCCACATCTGTGCTCGCCCGCACTTCGATAACCCACACCGGCCAGCGTGGCGAAGCATGGTTTAAACAACCCAAATTATTTGCGCAGTCGTGGAGAAGCAGTGGCATTGACAGAGGGCTGTGCGTGCATGGCAGCCCCGGGGACACCTTCAGGCGGTGGCACAAAGCATTAGGGGCTGCGAATAAATCTGTCTGCGGCGTAAACCGCAAGTGACGCAACCTATTTACGAACGGGCTCCTCCGCCATCCACGGAGGAGCCCCGTCACACGGTCGCTTCGCGTCGTTCCATTCGGCCCGCGCGGCCACGAAGCCGACGGCCCTCATCACGTCGCCCCTCGGTCGTTGCGGAAGCCGCCATCGACTGGCCCGCGCGGCGGACAACGGCAGGCTCGCTCAACGGCGCGTCCCCCCGCACGTTGAGCGCTCGCGACCCGGTGCCGTTTCGCCAATTGGCACGCGATCGCACGCGGCGCCTTGCGCCCGTTGTGACGCGAATCTCTTGTCTCGCACAGGCCGTCGTGCGTAACGACCAGGTGGTTGGGACGGGATGTGAGTATCGGAGTCGGAATATTTATTTGTACTGGAGGAATCTGATGAGCTATCAAGCGATTTTTCAGAAATGTCCAGTCGGGGCGGGTCAGAGCGTTACATAAGAGGAAGGGAACCGGGAAATGGCAGAAGAGGAAAACAGTCGAGGTTCAAGTACCCATCGTCCTTCCGCGTTCCAACGCCTCCTCGCAGCTGTGCTCGTGACCAGTCACTCCAGGCCTGGGAATGTTTCATGCAGTTCCTCCCCGAACGTCGATATAGAGAAAACAAACGAAAGTTGCTGCCCAGGAACCGTTGCCCGTTTGTTATTTCTGCACTTGTACGAGCTGCGTGCGATGTTTGTACGTGAGGGTTGTGTGGGTACGTGTGATTGCTATGTGCTGACTGTTTGTGGGTCTGTGAGCTGGTTTGCTGGCTGTGTTGTGGGTCTGTTTACCAGATAGGTTGGGTCTGTATGACTGCTATTTGCTGACCCTGTATTGAATGTGAGCTGTATGCTGGCTGCGTGACCGTCTGTATGCGAGCTGGGTTGCTGACTGTGTGTGTGTCTCTGCCTGTATGCGTGTTCGGCTGTGCGGGTACGTATGATTGCTACGTGCTGACAGTGTGGTTCTGTACGTTAGGTATAGGCAGCCGGGGGCTATGTCAGCTGCGTGCTGACAGCGGATTTATGTTCCTGCACACTTTTCATCAGAGCGTCATCGGAGAGCCTTGGGCCACAATGTTTACCTGGCCTGGCACGAGCACCTCAGGGGGACACCACTCACACTTGGTGGTCGTTGTGTGCGGGTCTGCTAGCGACGGTGTGTTGGTTCTGCATGGGTCTATGCGACAGCTGGTTGCGGTGTCTAGGTGTGCACGAGCTGAGAACTTATGTCACGTGTCGTGCAAGTGTTGTCCGCTGGTTGTGAACACACAAAGACAAAGATTCCCTTGCATGGCCTCGAACAGACTGTTCGGGCAAGTGTCGGCCGTAACCTCTGAAGGCTGGCACAGCACACGAGGGGGTAGGTGGCCAACACTACACCTGGCTGCCTTTGTCTCTCTGTCTTTGCACACCGAACCGGGTACAGGACCAGTTCACATATTTGCTACTGTTATTGATCGTGAGCTGGAATCGAACTTGGGTCACCGGTTGAGTAGCACAGTGAGCTAACCACTCCACCGCCGCTCAACAAACAGAGACACCGACAGACACAGAGAGACAAATGTTGTAGCCACTTGAAGTTGTGACAAATACAAAGATCCCCCGTATAGCCTAAACAGACCGTTGGAGCAAGTGCTGTTAGCGAGCACCTATGAAGCGGCACGGCACAGAAGGGGGTGGGTGGCCAGCACCAATGGTGATGTTTACACACCACACGAGGTACGCATTTCAGGCTTAGTCGACCTAGTGGAGGACCCATGACCGGTTCAGATAATCGTCACTGGTGTTGGCCGCCAGCGTGAATCAAACTCGGGTCGCCGGATTAATAGGGCAGCACGCTCCCCGCTAAACTACCTTACGGCACTGTGTATGTGTGTGTATGTGTGAATACACATACACACACACACACCTGCACCGGACACCAAATCACCCTCCTCTGCGAAGTGATTTTCTGCCTCGCTTGTGTTGCGAATCGGCGGCCGATGAACATGCACGCGGAGAGCTCGCCCCGCACGTGGCCGGGCGCCCACTTGCGCGCCTCCACCGCCGCCGCAAGCGCCTCGCGTTCGGGGAGAGCAGCGTGCTCGGGGAGAGCGAGGGATGCGAATAGCACGCGGTGGGGGGCATTACGTACGTGTCGGGGTGGGGGGCGTGTTGTTTCGTTGCTCGCGCCGGCAGCGACGGCGCGCGCCTAATGATCGCGTTCCGCCCTGTAATCGGTTGGGATTCTGTGCTTTTCTTTGCAGAGCTGAGAAAACTGAAGTCCTCAGCGAGGATCTCTTACAGGTGACTCTCCACCCTCCACAGTCAGTGCTGCTCCAAACCTCTTTCATCCCACGGCACTCACTTTCGAGATGGCTCCATCTTCTTGGCCACACCCAACCAAAAAGCCACTGTGGGTGGATGGGTTTGAGTGGGTGGGTGGGAATGCGTTGCAGCTGACAGAAAATTCACAATCCCATGCCTCGACTTATATTATCGAGAACAAAGACATGGAGTGGTGCCAAAATTCGTGACGAGAATTTGTATTTGTGTTTGTGTCTCCGGGTCCGTGCGAGTGTCTCTGTGTATCCTCTGTGTGTTCTGCGTGTGTCTCAATGTTTCTGTCTGTGTGTGTGTCCATGTCTCTCTCTCTCTGTGCGAGTGTCTACGTGTCTGTGTACTTCTGTGTGCCTCTTTGTGAGTGTGTGTCTCTCTGTGCATATGTCTGCGTGTCTCTGCATGTGTTTCCGTGTCTGTGTGTGTCTTTATATTTCTGTCTGTTTGTGTGTGTCTCTGCATGTGCCTCCATGTCTCTGCATGTGTCTCCCTGTCTCTGCATGTGCGTGGTTGCCCAACTGTGCAAGCTTGACCGAGTGAGTTGGGAGGGCCGGGGGTGGGGACTGACAGCTGCCTGCTGCCCTACTGCGCCCTGACCAACGGAGAGGGGATTGCGGGAGAAGGGGGGTGCTGGCTGGATCGTCTGTCCTAGCTTGTGGGCGGTGAGGTTCTTTCCGATAATTGGCCCAAGCAGTCGGTGGTGCAAAGACTGGGAGGAGCCTTTTGAAGGCCCCTTTTGTGTGTGCCGGTCTCGGACCAATGCCATCTCTCGTGGTGCACCTGAGCAAAGCACCCCGAGACATTCAACCCCTCCCATTACTCAAGTCGGGGTTCACAGCCGATACAATTGAACAGCGCTTACAGCCCTTTGCCAAAACACTGAACAGACGAAGGCCTCCTAACCCCTTGTCATCATTGGGGGGGGGCGGGGAGGTTACCGTGCCTCACCATGCCGAGCAGTACACGTTGGTGAAGGGAGCACCGAGGAGTCCTTTAAATGTCACTTGTCCCCTGATCTACGTGGCTGGCAATCGAACCCGGGTGGCTGGGTCCTGAAGGCAGTGCACGGAATGCGTTCACCGAGTGGCACCGAAGAGAGCGGTGGAATAATCCTCGTGTGCAGCAGTGGCGCGGTGCGGTGACCTCCGCCCCACCGCTTGCACCGATCGTGGTCGCCGACGCTCTGCAGTTGCCCGTCGGATGTTGATGCTTTCCCAGGTCACCCTTTGATTTCGCAGGTCAAGCTCGTGCGCGCCTGTGCTGTTGTTCTATTCGCGGATGGCGCTGTTAGAAATGAAAACTCGCTTTTAATTAGCAGGAAAGCGATGCGCGCCCGCGCGACATGTTTTGCAGTGGATAAAAGCCGGGAACGGGCTGCTCGGGTTACGAATAAACGGCGCGTTAATGGACCTCGCCGTGCCACATGGGGGAACACTATTAGGCCGGCGCAGCACAGACCGATGTCCAAATTGCGAGCGGCTTGTTCGCTGAATCGCTCAGCAAAACGAGAAGAGACACCGCGCTCGCATCCCGCGCAGCACGAGGCGGCGCGGTGTGTGGGCGCGCGTCGTTGGCGTAATGGAATCTCTCGTCCGGCGGAGGCGAGAGGGCAGAGTAAATTCGCGGGGGCGGCCGCGGCTTCTAGGTTAAGTCCGCATGGGGCGGCGGCTCAACCTGAGGAGGTGCGTGGGCTCGGAGCGGCATACCGCGCGTGAGGTACGTGTGCGGTGTGTGCGGGCCAGGGTGGTGGCCAGCGTATGACGACGTGTGGACCGCGCGGCGCCCGCGATGCGGTGTGTCGCTGTACGGTCGGTGCGGCGGTGTGCGTGGCGTTGACCCCGTTGCCGTTGCCGCAGGTGGAGAAGCGCCTGGACCAGGTGAAGGCCGTGTCCCACAGCACCCACAAGAAGCTGCTGGCATGCCTGCAGGGCCAGGTGCAGGGCGACTACGAGAAGCGCATTGTGAGTGCCGCCTCTCCCCTCCTCGCTCGCTCGCTCGCGCGTTCGGCGTCCGTGTAAACGCTCGCTATGATTCATCTCCCCGAGTTGCGTGCGCAGCATGACGCCGCCGTCGCGCCCGGTAGGCCGCGGCTGCGCATTTGCAGTGAGAGTGTTTCTAGATTCTCGCGGTGGAGATTGGTCGTCGATAAACCGCATGCCGTAACACCGACTTTCCTGCCCGGCGGCGACAGCCTCCTTCGTGAGTTGCACGACGTCGTACATCCGAACGGCATTGGCGGAATTTCGATCGATTCCAAACATTCCGCACCGTGCCATCGCTTCGATGGCGCCGCGTGGGCAATCGCCGGCTCCAGGCAGCGTGCGATAGAGAGTGCGTGGTGCAGACTGGGGACGCCGAGAGGTGTTAGCACGGAGTATTACACACACGTGCACACACACACGTGCACACACTCACACGTGCGCACGTGTGTGCAATTTATATGTAAGTGTCTCCGAGGCGCACGCGTACCGCTCCGGCCGCCGTGATGGATAGTGTGGACGAATTAATGGAGAACTTCATTCTGGTAACGTTTTCACGGTATTTAATTACACCGAGCGTAATGTCTGTGTTATATTTGCAGCCAATGTGCGCTGCGTCGGTAATGTTTTATGGAGAGGTGGGTGTTGTCGGATGGACGAATACAATTTACACTTGTCGTGTTGTGCGGATTTGCAGGGCTGTAGTCTCCATGCTGTGTGCATTCTATTACGATATCTCCTCTCCTCTGTATTGGTTGTAAATGTGGTGCAGAATCGCAGATGTGACGCAAACAGATGCCATCAAGTTGTTATATAGCATTGGTCATCATCGTATATTGGTCGTCATCATTATTATCATCGTCGTCATCAATAAATATATAATTATATGATTAACACAACAGATTTCAGCAAGTTGTCCGTAATGTTTAACATCGTGATCGTCATCATCACCACCATCCTTATCCATACGTGTTATAGAATTGCAGAATTAACCACGGTTATCAGCGAGTTAAAACAATGGTCATCATCATCGTCGTCGTCGTCGTCATCATCACCCATGCATCCTGTAGCCAGGCGCTCTTGGCAATATCCGGTCGGGAACCAGGCTGCCCGTGCGAGATGAAGCGCGTCGTGTTGTGCGCCCGTCAGTGTCGCTCCGCACTCGGCCCTCGCATTAGTATTCGCCGGGTGTTGGCTGTGGCGTGCGGAGCCCATGGGCTTCGAGCCGCTATGCTCACTCTCTCTCACTCGCTCTCTTTCTCTCTCGGCTGTGTTTCAGAGGAAGCTTCCGCAGTCCGCTCTGAGTCAGTGTCTCATCGAGGGAGCCGCCACGCTTGGAGATGACTCCCTGCTCGGGTACTCCCTCCCCTCCCTCCCTCCCTACCCTCCCTCCCTCCCTCCCCTCCCTCCCTCCCTCCCTCCCCTCCCTCCCTCCCTCCCTCCCCTCCCTCCCTCCCTCCCCTCCCTGCCCTTCCTCCCTCTCTCCCTCCTGCCCTTCCTCCCTCCCCTCCCTCCCCTCCCTCCTCCCCTCCCTCCCTGCCCTCCCTCCCGCTCTCCCTGCCCTTCCTCCCTCTTGCCCTCTCGTCCCTCCCCTCCCTCCTGCCCTCCCCTCCCTCCCATCCCTCCCCTCCCTCTTCCCCTCCCTGCCCTCTCTCCCTCTCGCCCTCCCGTCCCTCCCCTCCCTCCCATCCCTCCCCTCCCTCCCCTCCCTCCCTCTCTCCCTCCTTGCCTTACCTCCCTCCCTCCTTGCCTTACCTCCCTCCCTCCCCTCCCTCTCCCTCCCTCCCTCCCTCCCACCAATCTCTCTTTGTGTATTGGCTGGGCCTCCTAACGATTAACGCATCCACCCACCTCACCCTTTCGAGGTCACGCTTCAATTCAAGAATCGTTTCTTTGTTTAAAATTGTCACGAATGTTTTGACCTCTAGATGCTGGAGGGGTCACAGTTTCTCAGTGCATCCGGATAAAGCCTAACTGACTGTGGCATTTCCATCTGCATTCCCAGTTTAGCCAGATCAAACTTCACTGTCGAGGCTTTCCCAATTCTATCCCAATTTTCTCATCGGTGTCACATCATAAAATGAAAGTATCCATATCGACACATGCAGGGCACTGCAACCCTTCGGTTTAGAGAATGGCCCATTGAAGCGGATACTACAGAACTACATCTGAGAACCGTTCATATGACCTCTGATCCACACACCAGGTGACAGCACCCGCTCTGCTAACATTTCATGCGGTTTCATCAGATGTCGCCGCCTGGATTCGAATCTATGCGTTCAGCTCAGTACAGGGATCTCTGAGCCCCAAACCGACCACTTGTCAACTCCCCCACACCGTGAGCTCCCGGTTCAATCATGGGTGTCCGAAATCTACATCGGAGCCAGCGGTGCCCAGTTCAGTGCATTGAGCCACCCCATCACATCACCTCACTGCGGTATTTGAACCCACATCACTGCCAGAGTAGCCGGGTCACACCGCGGCGACTGAGTGGGTTGAGGGAGCGATGTCGCGGAGACTCGGTGGAAGGGAAAGCTCCCTGACGTCTACATCGCCCGTGCGCGCGCGCGATGTAATCTGAAGCCCGGCTCCTCTGGGCTCATTATATTAGCGCCGTCGTTTACACGGCGGTCGATCGTGATCAGTTCGAGTGGAGTTTGAAACGGCGACGGCAAAACGACGCTGTAATTACTCGTCGGTTTCTGCTGCGTTTAAACGGGCGACCTTTTTTCGAAAAAGCCTTTTGCAGACGATTGTCAGTCCGGCGCCGGGCGGGGGGGGGGCGACGGTGCCACGGCACAGGGCCGAGTTCCTGGGTCACTGTGCCAGGGACCGTGCCTCCCCACCACCACCGGGCATGTTCACGAGCCCCTCTAATCTCAGCTCCTACGCAGTACGGTGAACCCTCTGTCTATTCGCGAGGGTTGCGTTCTTGACAACCCCTCGCGAGTGCAGAGCTCGCGAATGTAGAAACGTTGTTGGGGGGAAAAAAATGGGGTCACGCTCCTGGTACGGATGAACATTGGGGGGTAAATTGGAAATGTTTTAAAAACAATGACTACAATAAATACATCAAATTTTATTACCTTTTGATGATGATCATTTGACGATGATGGAGGATGAAATTAATGTGCATTTAGTAACTCGCGAATCGAAACTCACGAATGCAGACCTCGCGTATAGCAAGGGTTTACTGCACTCAAGCCAATCAACTGTCGGCCGTGATCAGTCCACTGTTGGATGAAGGCCCCCCAAGCCGTCGGCATCTTCAACAGTCCTACGATGCAATAATTCGTCTGCCTCCTGCACTTGGGCTGGGTTTTACCGCCTCACCTCTGCGGTGGCCATCCTCACAGACGCGTCTCCCTCCTTTGGCTGCCGTTCTGTCGTTAGTCTCGGCCGCCGGCCATCGCCGTTCCTTCCAGCGACGACTCGTCCTGCCCCCCCCATGCCCACTCGCTTTCATTCGCGGTCGATACGACGTCTCTCTCTGACTTGCGTACGTTCTCTAATCCGAGCATTCTCCTGCCTGCCTCTCGGTGTAATTCCGAGCACGCACCTCTCTCTTGTTTTCTCTACGTCCGTGCCGCCATCCACCGGTCACTGAGTTCATCTTGACGATTAGCAATTCCCGGGAGTAGGGTCACGGGACGTGACGCAGAGGCCGCTTTTGGGGGCGGGCAACATGTGCCCGCCTCTGCCACGTTACTTCCCACTGCCCCCTACTTCACCGCGCAAAATTTCCGACAATTTTACGAGCGGCGTACATGCCCACACCGACGAAACTGCTTCGCCCACGTGGCGCCGTGGGCGGGAAGTGGTGGCCCCGTGTGCGCTGCCCTCGTCACGTCGGATCCCAGTCCCTCCCTCACCTCCACCTCTTGACTCTGACCCTGAGCCCCTGCTGCTCCCGATGACGTTGCTGCAGCCACTGCTGCCACTACTGCTGCTGCTGATTCTGCTGATGCCGCCGCTGCTGCTGCCGTTGTTGCCACCGCAGCCGCTGATGCCGCCGCTGCTATGCTGATGCTGTTGCTGATGCTGTTGCTCCCGCAGCTGATGCTGCTGCCGCTGCTTCCGCTGGTTTTGTTGTTGCTGCTGCTGCTGCTGATGCCACCGCTGCTGCTGATGGTGCTGCTGTTGCTGCCACAGCTTTTGTTGCTTATGATGCTGATGCCGTTGTTTTTCCTGTCGCTGCCGCAGTTGATGCTGCTACCGCTGCTTTCGCTACTTTTGTTGCTGCTGATGATGCTGATGCCACCGCTGCTGCTGATGATGCTGATGCCGTTGTTTTTCCTGCGGCTGCAGGAAGATGCTGGAGCTGTGCGGCGACGCCGAGAACCGCCTCGCCGTGGAGCTCACGGTGCACGAGATGCAGGTGGAGCGCGAGGTGCTGGAGCCGCTCTTCAACCTGGCCGAGGTGAGGGGCCTCCCCGCCCATTGACCCCAGCACTCGACGCGTCTGGCAATCGCACGACTCGCGCAATAGGCGATTTGGTCGATTTTCCTTATTCGGTTGATGGCGCACCACGGTGGCGAGATGTTAACTCATTTACCTGGTATGCAGGAGGTCGTGGGTTCGATCCTGATACCGAAGCCTGTATATTTGGAGTTTGCGTCTCTCTCTCCCTGTGGTCGCGTGGCTTTTTCTCCGGGTTCTTCGTTTATTCCCTCCACGTTTAGAATCAACAACGTGCGTTTCGAGTATTTGGCTGTAATAAATTTCCACGCGATAAGCAACTTCGTTGAGCTATCATTTGTGGCCGGGTCACTTCTGAAAAAAAAGATCTACATTGCTCGGTGGGGTTGGTGAACCTCTCCGCAGAATGTTTGAGTGTTCTCCCCTCGTATGCTTGGGTTTTTATTTCTAGATTTGAAGCTTTCGTGACTGCAAGGATTCATATTCTTGGGTTTTTCCGATAAAGTCACGTAGGTAAAAAATTTAAATTAAAAATCATAAAAGTAAAATAAAAATAAAAATCACGACGTTTCGGAGGCAACACAAGCTTCCGTCTTCAGGTGGAACCGTCACAGCACGATAGCTGTATCAAATGGGTTTTTGTATTCCTTCAATCCCCCCCCTGCCCCACATGTTAAATGTTCCTGGATGTAAGTGGCAGAGGTGGGACAAAGTCATAGTTATGCAAGTCCAAGTCGAGTCTGAAGTCATCAAATTCATGACTCGAGTCTGACTCGAGTCCAAGTCACATGACTCGAGTCCACACCTCAGAGGTGGGACAAAGTCATTGTTATGCAAGTCCAAGTCGAGTCTGAAGTCATCAAATTCATGACTCGAGTCTGACTCGAGTCCAAGTCACATGACTCGAGTCCACACCTCTGGTAAGTGGCCAAACATCCAAATGCAGGATCCTGAAAAAAGAGGCTTAAGACTCGGTGAGACTCTCCTGGATGAATGAACTGCATGTTTAATTTTAGATTTAATGCTTCTTTCGTGACTGCAGGGAATCATCTTCTTGCTTCGTTCGGTAAAGTCACGTTGAAGGGAAATAATAAAATAATAAAAATAAAACAATAAAATACAATTCTCACGACGTTTCGGCCACAACGCAAGCAGCCGTCCTCAGGTGAAGAACAGGTCTGTCGGAAAGACAGGGTCTGTCGGAAAGACAGCGTCTGAATGACGCTGTCTTTCCGACAGACCTGTTCTTCACCTGAGGACGGCTGCTTGCATTGTGGCCGAAACGTCGTGAGAATTGTATTTTATTATGTTTTATTTTTACTATTTCCCTTCTACTTGACTTTACCGAAAGAACCAAGAAGATGTATATTTGGTGTTATTATTCTTCGAGTTGCCTTCCTGCTCAATCTCATATTGCTGCATTCCGCTCGCGCCCTCTCTCACAACGCCACGCAGCAAGGGAGTGGGGTGGGCGGGGGCATGGAGGAGGGGGGGGCCTCGTCGCGGGGGGCATCGCTTCCACCTCACGGCTCTTGCGTCTGACGCGGCGACGTCTGCCGTGATCTGGCGAAATCTGGCCGAGTCCTGTTCAGAGGCTTTCATCAGATTGCCCTTGCACACTCGGCCTTGTGAGATGTCGATGGTTTAAAATTGCAAGCGAGGCAGGACAATTGCTGCTCCGTGTGGTGGGTTTTTCGTTCATTTATTATTTTTCTTTCTCCTTTATCGTTGCCATCGCAAAGCCCGCTTGACGCGTCGGCACTATTTATGGAAAGTTTGGTCCCGTCGCGCAACAACGCGACACGAAATATGAAAACAAATGGTTTTAATTCGTTGCGTCACTAGAACCGGCCTGAGAGTCCCGTGCCAGCGCCGCTGACTATCCTGGGCTTCAAATCTGGGCAAGTGACCTGCGATTCCAGAGCCTCAACGCAATCATCAGTTACCTTGCCCTGCTGTTGCTGCCCCGCTTCTGCTGCTGGGCGCCGCGGTGGTGAGATGTTAACTACCTCGCCTGGTATACAGGAGGTAATGGGTTCGATTTTGACCCTGATGCCTGCTGTATATATGGAGTTTGCGGTGTCTCTCTCCCCGTGGTTGCGTGGATTTTTTACCGGGTCCTTCAGTTTTTTCCTTTTAGAAACATGCGTTTTGGAGTATTTGGCTGCTATAAATTTCCATGTGAAAAGCCACTTCGTTGAGCCATCAGTTGGAGCTAGGTTGCTTCTGAAAAAGAGCTATATAGCTCAGTGGGCCTTACCTGGTAAAATAACAAATAATAGTTTTTAATTGATATCTTCTCTGCACACGTACAACGGTGGCCCAACAACCTTCGAAGCTTCCTGGATAACAGCCGATGTTTCGCGCAACGGCCCCTTCATAGCAGATCGAGACTTTTTCAGATTACTTGACCGAGAAATGTTCGGTCTGCAAGAGCACACGCAGAGCTGCTGCTGCTGCTAATGATACTGTCACGCGACGGGTTAAAGGGGCGCGGAGAGAGACACCGTGGGCAAAGACACAGCTGGGACGCGGCTGTAAACAAGCAGGGTGGGCTGGGACGCCCTTGAAGCGGCAACCCTCCGTGCAGTCCGCGTGGCTCTAAACCGGTGGGAGGACGTCCCTGGCGAAGGTCGTACTTCACTCTTTGTCGCGGGAATTTAGGGAGGCAGGGGTGGCGCAAATGATAACACGTGCGCCCCTCGCTGCACGAAGGGCCTGCGTTTGAATCCCCAACCCTGGTGCCTCTCTGTGTGCGGTTTGCATGCCCCTCCCCCCGTGTTCTGTATGAGTTTCCTCCGAGTTCTCTCTGCTTTCCTTCCGTAGGCGAAAGAACTTGCGATGCAACTGGCGTCGACCAAACATCCCAATGCTGAAAGTGTTCGCTGTACTTTACTCAGAACGTCTTGAGACTGAGCGTGGCTTTTTCGTGTGTAAACAAGCGGGATAATAGTAATCATCAATCATTCAGGTCTGAGTGCTTATTGAACTATCCTGGTCTCTTTGAACTCCCCCCTGGTTAAACAAAATAAACCTCACTTGCCTTAACGAGCTTTCTGACTTTCGCCACCGTGAAGTCGTTGCGTCGTGCTGGGCGGTGCGCGATGAGTGCACGCACGGTGCGATCCACATACAAACTACGGTCGAGATGGCATCTACACACCAATAAAACCGCGGCCTTCAAAGGAAAAATCTATTATGGGCAACGTTTCAGGTGATGGCCCTTTTACAGCGCTGAACCAGTAGTGGAAAATCTTCTTCCCTTTGGCGCGGGCGAATCTTTTCACACAGCAACCACTGTTGACTTCATCACAAACCAGTGCTCGTATTATCACCCCGGAGGTATGATGGGCTGAGTCAACCCCCAAACCAGGATTTAAACTGGTAATCTTCCGACCGCGAGCCGCTCTCTCTACCGCTCAGCCAGCCGGGCGGTCACTTCTCTGAATGGTCAGCGTGATGTCTCCCAACTACGGAGCCCACAATTTGTGAGAGTCGAGTGCGAGAGTACAGACGACAGAGGGGGGGGTCCACCGAGGGACCCACCCTTAAAGAGCGCCGCAGCTTTTAAACACGGCGCACCACGGCGCGCGCGCTGACGGCGCCCGCCCAAACGCAGACGCCATTCACCTCTCCTTGGACTCGCGACGCCCCGAGCGCGCGGAGCCTTATAAAGCACCGCGGCGGACGCTCGCGCTCCCGACGCGGGCGCCAGCTCCACAATAATGGGGTCGATCCACGTGGGAACCGCGTGTAAGAATAGACGTGGCCGCCGCTGCTGCTGCTGCGAAGCGAACGAGCGCTCGCAGGGGCGCGTGGGCCCTGCTGCGGCTGCTGCTTTTGGAAAGGAATGGTCTCTGCTGCGCTCGACGTCTGCTGGCGGAGAACGTTGATGACCTCCAGGCCTTGTGGCGAGGCTCGCCTGCGAGCCTCCGCTTTGGGAGGGTGAGGAGGGTTGACGGATCCTGCTCGTCAACGTGGCCGCACGATTGATTACGACTCGTTATCGTTGACCGCTACTGGCAGACAAAATTCCCGCCTGCGTGACCGGTGCTCGGTCACCTTGTGCCGCACAGGGACAGCTGCCACTTTTTATTTTGCTTGGTCGTCGCCATGGTCCTTATATATGATTAATGCACAGCGTTGTGGGATGCACCTCCGATTAGAAGTGCAACATACATACATACAAGCTATTAGCATGAATGACGCCATATAAAATGAAGGTATTATTTTTCGATGGGATGTGCATAGTGCTTACCCTCCCCTCCGGAAGGGCCGGTTCACATTTGAGTCACGCCATGTCCAATCCACCGCTTGACGAAAGCCTCCCCCCGAGCCGTCGCCATCTCTCACGGTCCCCGTGCTGCTGCTACCGGTCTCATCGCTCCACGCCAAGTGAGCCGGTCTCATCGCTCCGTCTCCAGAGTGACGCGGATCTCTGCCATTCTGTCGCCAGTCTCGTCCGTCGGGCATTGTCCCCTCCTTGGGGCAATGGGTCCTGTGGAAGCTGAAACAAACGTGTGTGTGTGTGAGTGCACGTGTGTGTTTAAAAAATATATATATGGGGAGCGGTAGTGTAACGGTGAGCGCATTGCGCTACGAGTGACCCGAGTTCGATTCCCGCTCACGGCCAACCCCAGTGACGGTTATCTGAACTGGTCCTGGACCTCCCCGACGTTGACTCGGCCCCAAATGAATACCTGGTGCGGTGTGTAAACATCGCCGCTGGGGAGACAAAGGTGGCCGGGCGTGGTATTGGCTCCCCACCTCCTCGTGCGCCGTGCCGGCCTTCGTAGGTGCTCACTAACAACACTCGCCCCGACAGTCTGTTGAGGCTGTACGGGGGGGGGATGTTTGTTGTTGTGTTTTAAATTCGATTCGAAAGATCCGAGTTGACCAGCGGCAAGTAGCTGTTGGTGCAAGGCAAGACGAGACGACGCGCATCGTCGAAGACCGTGTCCGCCAACTGAGCTTTCGCTGGCACGGTCCCAGTACGACGCCTCGGTCTGCGAACGATGAAGCCGCTACCCGGTTCGCCGCCAACACACGCGCCAGCAGAGATCGAACAAAGTTGCAGAGGCACGGGCTCACGTGTGTGCATACGTATTTGTATTTGATGAAAGCGCCCAAAACTGCTGGGTTGCATGTAGGCCCGGACATTGCAGGACAGCGAGTGGGTTCGTGAACCCGCGACCGCAGTAACGTTGGGCACGACGAGGCGTGAAGCCGTCGGACAGATGTTCCTTCGTACGCGCCGGTGTTGCCTGGGTGCATCCGGTTCCCTGTCGCCGCACGGTGCTCCTTAAAATGGAACTGGCAAACAACCCCGGTGGAGATCCTTGCTGAACAATAAAAAACAGGAACACTGAGACTCTTTGAGGTTTTTGCTGCATAAATAATAATGTTTGGCGTTCTATTTAGCATTGTCATTCGTGCACATTGCATCTGACAATCTCTGGAGAACCACACACGAGCTGGATGACGGCAGCCGAGGCGGTGAGCGAGCAATTCCCAAAGCTCTGCGGTCCTCTATATATTTTCAGCCAATTAATTCGTGTTTCATAAATAAACGACACTGCTATTTGATGTATTATTATCCGTACGATAGTTGGATGTGCGTACGTTGAACTTCTTTCGCGCCGTACTTGGCCACCCGTGCTAATCGGAGGCGTGGGAAATCAGAGGTGTGGTGACCGGTATGACACCGGCCACCACATTTCCTTGTCGTGCAAATTGGATTATTATTATTACAAACGCGGAGAGAGAACGGAGGCCGTTTGGAATCGCGGGGGGGGAAGGTGCGGCATCTGCTTCTCGCGGCTTTCATCCGCAGTCGTGTTTGTGCGAATTCACGCTCCCTCGTTTAAGCTCTCGCATTTTACAGGGAAGTCACGTGGTGCCGAGTAGGTGTCTCGCAGGATAACGACGATTGATTTAGATGATGATGCTGCTGATGCTGCTGACAACGCCGCTTCAGCTTGGTTGGACCACGGTTCATGGAGGCTGAATTAACGAGAGCTTGTGTTTAAATATTGGTTTGTTTTGTCAATTCATCCCTCTTTCCTCCGTCCCTGGTGCCTACGGTTGACGTGCTATACACAATTCATAAACACAGCGCACACATAAAAAAATAACAAAGATAAAGATCCCCACCTACAGCCTCAACAGACTGTTGGGGCAAGTGCTTTTTGCGAGCACCTATGAAGGCCGGCACGGCGCACGAGGGGGTGGCTGGCCAACACCACGCCCGGCCACCTTTGTCTCCCCAGTGGCGATGTTTACACACCACACCAGGTACTCATTTGAGCCTAAGTCGACCTAGGGGAGGCCCAGGAAGGGTTCAGATAATCGTCACTGGTGTTGGCCGTGAGCCGGGAATCGATCTTGGGTCACCGGTTTCGCAGCGCAATGCGCTCACCGCTACACTACCGCTCCCCATACACACACACACCACTGGGGAGACAAAGGCGGCCGGGCACGGCGCTTGCTACAACGCCCCTCTCGCACACCACCGAGCAGTGCCAGCCTTATAATAGGCGCTTGCCAACGGCGCTCATCCCAAGGTTATGTTGGTTCAGTTTCAAGTATATTTAGTTGTGAGAACTCCGTGGACAATAAGACGTGGATAGATTCCCGTTTGCGAGAGCGACGTGAGTTGCGAGCGCGATCGGAGTGATGTCAACAGCATTCCTACAATAAGCTACATGGGGAAGCGCTGTATATGCGCGTTTGCCTTTGTGCGCCGGGATCAGTGGCACAGTGGTTAACACACTGCGCGGCAAAACCGGCGACCCGAGTTCGAATACCCCCCTCCCCGCCACCGCCCATGACCAATAACAGTGGCGAATATATGAAACGGTCCTGGGCTTTCCCTAGGTCAACTCAGCCTGAAATGGTGCGATGTGTAAAATTCGCCACGAGGGAGACAAAGGCGGCTGGGCGTGGTGCTCGGCCACCCACCCCCTCGTGCGGCATGTCGGCTTTTATCTCGGTGCTACTCGCTAACAGCGCTTGCCCAAACCGTCTGGTAAAGGTTGTATGGGACGGGGGATCATTGTCGTTGTGTGTGTGTCTGCATCTGCACAGGTGGAGATCCCGAACATCCAGAAGCAGAGGAAGCACCTGGCCAAGCTCGTGCTGGACATGGACTCGGCTCGAGCAAGGTGACGCAGATGATGACCACAGTGGTGATGTTCACAGTGACGATGGTGGCGGTGGCAAGCGGTGATGTCTCCAATTATAATGCTGACAATGATGATAATGACGACAGTGATGATGTTCACAATGATGGTGGTGGCGGTGGCAAGCGATGATGTCTCCAATTATAATGTTGATAATGATGATAATGACGACAGTGATGATGTTCACAATGATGATGGTGGCGGTGGCAAGCGATGATGTCTCCAATTATAATGTTGATAATGATGATAATGACGACAGTGATGATGTTCACAATGATGATGGTGGCGGTGGCAAGCGGTGATGTCTCCAATTATAATGCTGACAATGATGATAATGACGACAGTGATAATTTTCACAATGATGATGGTGGCGGTGGCAAGCGATGATGTCTCCAATTATAATGCTGATAATGATGATAATGACGACAGTGATAATGTTCACAATGATGATAAAGATGACGGGTTATGTTCACAATGATGATGACAGTGATTATGATTGCTCTCGTTTACCCAGGAAAGCATCACCAAATGTCACGATTCCTTTTTCAGGAGGGTCCTGCCTAGTTTCCACAGTTGGGGATAATGATTGCAATGTAGACTCCAATTGCATTATTTGAGGTGTTTTTTTTATTTGAACCATGACACTGGCACACAATGACATGGTCTTTCAAATGAACTTCACAGGGTCTTTATGGTTCACTCTGAAGCCTGCAGCTCGCGTATCTTCAATAAACTGGCAGTAATGACGAGGGTGGCCCTAGGATTCGTACCGCGAACCCCTTCAACAAGCGGTCAACACTCTATCACCGGGCCGCATGGCCCGCCCTGCTGCAGATCATGATGGTTATTTAGATTATTTGGCTGCTATAAATGTCCACGCGATGAGCCACTTTGTTGAGCCTTCATTTGTGCCCCAGGTCGCTTCTGAAAAATAAGCTAATAGCTTCAGTGGGCTATACCTAGTAAAATAAAAATTGTTTACTTTTGTTCAATTTCGATTTAAAACTTTCGTGACTGCAGGGATTCATCTTCTTGGTTCTTTCGGTAAAGTCACGTAGAAGGGAAATAATAAAATAATAAAAATGAAACATAATAAAAATAATTCTCACGACGTTTCGGCCACAACACAAGCAACCGTCCTCAGGTGAAGACCAGGTCTGTCGGGGAGACAAGAAGATAGTTTTGTTAATAAAAAAAAAGAATTGGTTACCTTTCCTACACTTTGCACTCCAATCGTGTTTTGTATTCTTAGTTGCTGTGACGTTCCGACCCCGTGCCCCTACTGGACATCTGTGAAAAAGAGCTGTACAACTCCTCCAGTAAAACAAACTTATTCTGATGTTGTTGAAGGTCTCTCTGGATTTGTGCCTCCTGCAGGTGGCAGCAGGCCACCAAATCTGGAGCCCCCGGCACGAACCTCCAGACCCTTGCCGCCAAGGCCGACTCCCTGCGCGAGGAGATGGAGGAAGCCATCAACAAGGTGGAGATGTGCAAGGTGAGTCCCCCCCTCCGCTTCTCCCTGGTCACGGTGGCGAAATGTTAACTCCCTCGCCTGGTTTGCAGCAGGTCGTGGGTTCGATCCCGACCCTGACGCCTGCTGCTGTATATTTGGAGTTTGCGTGTCTCTCTCTCTCTATCATCATCATCAGGGTGGATAGGAGATGTTAACTACCTCGCCTGGTTTGCAGAAGGTCGTGGGTTCGATCCCGACCCTGACGCCTGCTGCTGTATATTTGGAGTTTGCGTGTCTCTCTCTCTCTATCATCATCATCAGGGTGGATAGGAGATGTTAACTACCTCGCCTGGTTTGCAGAAGGTCGATCCCGACCCTGACGCCTGCTGCTGTATATTTGGAGTTTGCGTCTCTCTCTCTGCCCGTGGTCGCATGGATTTTTATCCGGGTCCTCCGGTTTTTCCCTCCGCATTTAGAATCAAGTCACGCATTTAGAGTATTTGGCTGCTGTACATTTTCCACGTGATGAGCCCAACTTCGTTGAGCTATCATATGTGATCAAGTCGCTTCTGAAAAAGAGCCATATAGCTTAGGGGGTCTTACCTGGTTATAATAATTTTAAAAATTTTTTAGTTTAGTCCTCACGCCGAACGCGATGAAGCGTGAGGATGCCACTGAGCGGCACTTCGTCAAGTTAAACCCGGACCGGCGGGGGCCGGCGTGACCATGAGGTCAGAGTCAACCCTCTGTCTGTCCGCGGGGCGTTACGTTCTTGAGAACACCTCACGAATGCAGAATTCGCGAATGCATAAACTTTGTTCCAACGGGGTGGGGGGGGAAAGGTTGAGTTCCTAGTACGAGTGAACGGGGGGGAGGGGAGGTAAATGTTTAATAACAATTATAGCAATGAATAATAAATACATTATAACGAACGATCTTTTTTTACTTACCTTAAACAATAACCACAATAATTAAATACATATTTTTTGAAAGAAGGATGTTTTTTTTTTACCTTTTGATGATGATTTGACAACGATGGAGGTGGTGGTGGTGGTGAGGAATTCAGAAGAATGACTCCCCGGGAGATGCAATTGGATTGCGTTCCACTGGCCAGTGTGCGCAGTGGAACGCAATGAACTCTGTCCGTTCCAGCTGGATAAATTGGCTTTCAGTCACGCAAGCGGTAAACGTTTGCACCAGGTGGCGGCTGGGCTTATTGAACAAATTCCCACGCAGCTAACCCGAATGTACTATTTTGTTGATCAGTTTAAGTTGTGCACTCGGTTTGGCTTCACGTTACCGCTGTGAGAACATTGACTCTCACATACAGAGTGCGGTGGTGAAGTGCTGCCCTCTCCTGTGCGGATGACCAGAGGTCACGTGAGCGGTTCTTGGCGGTGGCGAGGGCATTGGGCTCCGCTATGGCCGACCTGCGACGCGGTTGGAATTCCGGCACGCGCGGCGGCGGCGTGGTCAGAATCGGGATATTTTATTTAGACTGCAGGAGGAATCCGATGAGCTATGAAGCTCTTTTTGACAGATGCCCCGTAGGGGCACGGGGTCAAAACGTTACAACAGCAAACGATACGAAACCACGAAAGGAGCGCAAAGTATAGGGAAGGTAAACAGATCACTAGAAATATCAAAATATCTATGGGGGGGGGGCGGGGGTGCAACTTGCTTGTCTTCACAATTTTACTTGCAAAAATAAATGAGTTTATTTATTACAGTAATACGGTACTTTTTTGTTATCTTTGAAGGGTTTATCAAGAGCTACTTTAAGAAACTATTCCAGTCATCAGAATTTTATTTAATTTAATCCCATTCGGCCCAAACCCCTATTAACTCTCTCTCTCTCTCTGGCCTCCCTGTTTATGTTCTATGAAGAAGGACCGTTCCCCGAAACGTCGACGATTTCATGTATTTTCCCTTGAGGCAGCGTCGTTGCTGAGTGTGGTGAGTCTTTGTTGCTGTGAATTGTGGTTGTGCACCGCTGCCAACGCCGGGACGGTGGCAGCGGTGGCGGCAGTGGCGGCGGCAGTTTGCATCGTGGCACCTCGTTGTGTGTGTGCGTGCACATGCAGGACCAACTGGCGACCGACCTCTACAACTTCATGGCCAAGGAAGGGGAATACGCAAAGTTCTTTGCTGCGGTGGGTTGTCGCTCGGGGGAACGTTTGCTCTGACGCGACGATCCTGGAAGTCGCCCGCTAGTTGGAGCTGCGTCGTGCTGCGTCGTGCGTTGTTTTTCACCCCCCCCCCCCCCCCCCTGTTGAATTTCGACTCCGGACTCTCAACGCAGGTTGTTGCTCGCTCTGTGCGGTCGTAGTGGTGGTAGTAGTAGTGGTGGTAGTAGTGGCAGTAATAGTAGTGGTAGTAGTAGTGGCAGTAATAGTAGTGGTGGTATTAGTAGTGGTGGTGGTAGTAGTGGTGATATTAGTAGTGGTGGTGGTGGTAGTGGTGGTGGTGGTAGTAGTAGTGGTAGTAATAGTAGTGGTAGTAATAGTGGTAGTGGTAGTAGTGGTGGCAGTAATAGTAGTGGTGGTGGTAGTAGTGGTGGTGGTGGTAGTAGTAGTGGTGGTAGTAGTAGTGGTAGTAATAGTAGTGGTAGTAATAGTAGTGGTGGTAGTAGTGGTGGTGGTAGTAGTGGTGGAAGTAGTGGTGGTATTAGTAGTGGTAGTAATAGTAGTGGTGGTAGTAGTGGTGTAGTGGTAGTAGTGGTAGTGGTGGTAGTAGTGGTAGTAGTGGTAGTGGTGGTAGTAGTGGTAGTAGTGGTAGTGGTGGTAGTAGTAGTGGTGGTTGTAGTGGTCGTAATAGTAGTGGTGGTGGTAGTAGTGGTAGTAATAGTAGTGGTGGTAGTAGTAGTAGTAATAGTAGTGGTAGTAATAGTAGTAGTGGTGGTAGTAGTAGTGGTGGTATTAGAGGCAGTAATAGTAGTAGTGGTGGTATTAGAGGCAGTAATAGTAGTAGTGGTGGTATTAGAGGCAGTAATAGTAGTAGATGCTTTCCAAGAAGAGGGGCGCGCAAAGCGAAACCGCACGAGGAGACGGCTGCCTGCCGAGTAGTGCGTACAGTCCACACACAGTACAAACAGTGCACATACACAGAACACACACAGCACATACACACACAGTACACAAAGTATGATACTGAGATTTTTGGGTAGAAATAGGTTAGCCGCATGTACGCGAAATCGCACAAACCGAAGCTGCGTGAAGTGAGGTCCTTGACCAGGTGTCGGCAACCAAAAGAACAAGAAGACCCCTTTTTTTTCAAATTCTGTCAATAATTTTCATATTTCAAGAGTCGCAATGCCACCTGGTGAATACGAGACGGTGGGTCCTTGATGAATAGCGGTCACGAAGCTGTCCTTGAAGAGCCGCATGCAGCTCCAGAGCCGCAGATTGCCGACCCCTGTACTAGATATTAATTCAACCCCAGTGTACAACATCTGTTGCAGTAATATGACAACCCCCATGGAAAAGTGACACCTGGAATCTGAATACTAAATATTATTTAGACCCCAAGATACAATAGCAGTCTGGCTCTTCTCTGCACCCACCACCGGAGTCAGAATTAGGTAGGCGGTTTGCATTGTACCCTCCGGGGGTCAAATACGACGACACGAGAGAAACACGCGTCCATCTGTCGTCCCCCGTGCAGTTGATCGAGGCGCAGGCCGAGTATCACCGCAAGTCGTTGAGCGCCCTCGAGAAGATCCTGCCGGCACTCAAGATCCAGCAAGGTGAGCGGCGCCGCGCCAGCCAGCGCCGCGCCAGCTCGCACGGAGCGCTCCGCTACCCGCGGCACACGTTCCCGCTCGAGGGGCTTTGTGTTCCCCTTGCGATGTTTGTTTTCGCCGGGGTGAACGATCGCTACCCGCGCGACGCACGCGCGCCCCCTTTGCGTCGGGTCGTGGATCAAACAGTCGGTACGGTGAGGGATCGAGTTTGATTTTGGTGCAGTCATTGGTGACCGGGGCTGAGACCTACTCTTAGGTTTTTTTGGTCAAGTCACGTAGGTGAAAAATAAAATTAAAATTAATTGAAATAATAATAGAAATAAAATAATAGAATGAAATAATAAAATAATAACGGGGCTGAGACCCATCGACTCCCGACACTTGAGAATCCTGTTTGATCACTGGCGGCTGCATCCCCGGATCCCAACCCGGCAAGCGGTGTTCGCTCAGCACTCTGACCTCTCGACTCTCTGCCGCCTCTCACAGAGAGGGTCATGTTCGTCACGTGACCGTCAATCCAATAGTTTCAGTTGTCTTCGATGTAATTTGGCCAAATTAAGTGGGCAACTCACTAGAATGCAGTGGGTTTTTTTTGTGCACTCATTGGTGACCCGGGCTGAGACCCATCAACTCGCCACACATGAGAATCTGGTTCTTCACTGGCGTCTGATATCCGGATTGCAACCCAGGTTCTCGGCGCTGTGACGTCCGTGCCGCCCGGCTAGCTGCCCGTAGTTGACGCTCACGAAAGCCGACATCGCAGTGGCGGGGTCGGGGGGGGAGCAAGCGAGGGAGGGAGGGAAGCGTCGCATCTCGAGTCCCCTGAGTTATGAGGGCAGCCGCTGCTCGCGAGACTCCAAAGCCGCACGATGATGGATGTGACGGGGAGTGAACCCAGGACTGCGCCGCGCGTTTACAAAAGGCAATTAGCTTCACCGCGGGGGCCGGCGATCGTTAATTACCACAGCAAGATGGCAGGGGGAACGTGGGTAGGTTTCTTCTGGAGCCTGCCTCGGCCTAACATGGGCTGCTGCCGGGGTGAATTGGAACTTGGGTGTTCGCTGCGATGTGGCGATGATACTATGGCACATCGTACAATATTAGGTTTACGACCATCATATTGGCCACAGGGCAAAATATGGTTACGTCGTTGCTTTTCCCATTCTGAGACGTCTGCAAGTTGCAGGGTGGCTGTCCCATTCTCACCGCTAAACGTCAGAACGTGGATGCGGCTCAGTGTTAATTTTATTGAGAGAGGCGTAGCAGCACCGTTGTTTTTAAAGACATTGTACTCACCGCAGAGAACCGTAGCAACACAACCGCACTCTGATAGCTGGCGCCAAACTGTGCCACACGCCCTCCCGCATGGCCTTGTGGGAGCCTCGGTACCGATATAGTACTTCCAATGTCATTCCAAACACGGTTACAGCATTATGCGCTTTCAAATGCACTTCTGCGGCCGTCTGGAATTCTCTTCCTTCCGATATTAGGAAGCCTACTGTAGCTTTCCACTTTAAAATATAGATTCAAAACTAATTTCTTTCGAACAGCTTTTTATGTTTAGTTTGTTGTCCTTCCCCCGCACCTCTGATCGTCACGGTTGGCTACGTACGGTGCAAAAGAAGTTCAACATACATACGTACATGTACAGCAAAACACTAAAACGATCAAAACCGATGACGTACACGTACGTCATCGCAACGAGAAAGGCGTTGAAGCACCAGGGGTTGATACGGAAGCGCTCGCCGCGTTGTCTCGTCGTGCGCTTGCAGACAAGTGGACGGAGAAGCCGTCGTTCGGGGTGGCGCTGGAGGAGCACCTGCAGGTGTCGTGCCGCGAGATCGCCTTCCCCATCGAGTGCTGCGTCACCATGCTGCTGGAGAGCGGCATGCAGGAGGAGGTGGGTCACAGTGGTTGCCGTCGTCTTTGTCGTCGTCGGCGGCTCTTCGTAACGACGACACTCAAAAGGAGGCGGACCTTCAAAAGGACGTGGGATCCGTTGCTGAATAACCCGATTGAACCACTCCCTCATGTCTGAGACCCCTCGGGCCCACAGTGTCGCCAGGACTGCACGAGACCCCCCCCCCCCAACCCCAACCCCCTCGGAGGTAGCTCTGTGATATCCATTCTTTTGGGCCAAGAGTCCCCGAGAGGATTCTGTGTGGCAACACAATTAAAAAGGCAGCGTCAACAACTGATATTGAGTCTTTTTATGTTTGTCCTTCACATGGTAATTGTGCACAGAGAAAGCCACGTTCTCGTGTTCATGAAATGGCCAAGAGCCATTGCCTCGGTGATTTGCCCCATTGATGGTGATGGAGGCATAATGTTAATGTTGTTTTAACGTTTGTCTTAAATGTTTGCGTCGTTTCATGAAAATAGCATCTCAGAATCGCTGAGGAACCACAGACAAAGCTGGAAATGCGGCGGCCAGGCAGTGAGCTGGTGCCACCAACACTTGACCAATCCCTGCGGTCCTCGATATGTTGAGCTGCTTTTACTCAAATAACGAGCTATTTATACACGTGGAGGATCCGGAGAAAAAAAACCCCACGCGTGGGTTAATCGGATCACAATATTCCTGAGCAACCCCTCAATCCATCCCGTGGCTTGGGTACCGATGCCACAATCGGGATGCAATTTTGGGGCGGGGGGGGTGTGGCGACATTTCAACGCGAACAAAAAAAAAACTAGGCCGGCGCTTGCACGGCGAGCGAGGCCGCGTGTTGCCCTCGATCTGCCGCGCGTCGCCCTCTTCCCGCCAGGGCCTCTTCCGGATTGCGCCGGCCGCCTCGAGGCTCAAGAAACTGAAGGCGGCTCTGGACTGCGGCGCCGTGGAAACGCAGGAGTACGCGTCGGACCCGCACGCCACTGCCGGTAAGCTTGCTGAGCTAAACGATTTGTATCTTGATAATTGTTTTTTTACCCTTCTATCTGGCAACAAAACTGACACCTTTTTTACAAGGAGTCATGTTTACATAGACCACAATACCTGCAGTCATAATGCAAACAGGTAAGGCCCACTGAGCTATATTTGAGATGTTAACTGTCTCGCCAGGTATGCGGGAGATTGTGGGTTCGATCCTGACCCTGACGCCTGCTGTGTATTTGGAGTTTGCATGTTCTCCCCGTGGTCGCGTGGATTTTTGTCCGGGCCCTCTGGTTTTTCTCTCCACATTTTAGAATCGACGTGTATTTAGAGAATTTGGCTGAGATAAATTCCCACGTGATTGGCCACTTGCTTGAGCTGTCATTTGTGGCCAGATCGATTCTGAAAAAGAGCTACATAGCACAGTGGGCCTTACCTGGTCAAATAACAAATAATAGTTTTTAGTTGATGTCTTCTCTGCACACATACAACGTTGGGCCAACGGTCACCCTGTATATTGCTGTGTCCTGTGCAGGGGCCCTGAAGTCATACCTGAGGGAGCTGCCGGAGCCCTTGATGACCTTCAGCCTTTACGAAGAGTGGATCCAGGCGTCCAAGTAAGACTTCAGAGTTCATTTACACCATTGGAACCTCATTTGCCAGAAGACAAAATATGATAATTGTTTTTTTACCCTTTTATCTGGCAACAAAACTGACACCTTTTTTTACAAGGAGTCATGTTTGCATAGACCACAATACCTACAGTCATAATGCAAACAAAAAACATTACTCTGATAATGTATGCACTGTCCTTGAAGTTGATTGGTCCACACCCGAGACAGTTTTCCTTAGAGCCTAGTCTCACATGGTGTTGGACCAGATGACGCCAAAAGGCGAGCCTAGTCTCACATGGTGTTGGACCATGTGAGACTAGGCTCTAAGGAAAGCTGTCTCGGGTGTGGACCAATCAACTTCAAGGACAGTGCATACATTATCAGAGTTATGTTTTTTGTTTGCATTATGACTGCAGGTATTGTCGTCTATGCAAACATGACTCCTTGTAAAGAAAGGTGTTCGTTTTGTTGCCAGATAAAAGGGTAAAAAAACAATTATCACTTCAGAGTGCACTCGCTCTCTACGGGTTACACAAGCGAGCGGTGCCATGCGGCACGAGCAGTTGAAACAACGACAACAACAACGGCAACGACGAGTGCTTTGGTTGAAACGCACGGGCACGCGCTCGCTCGTTGAGCGTGGAAATGTCGCCAGATTTCCTGCATGCGTGCACACAAAGATCCCTCGTATAACCTTAACAGACTGTTGGGTCGAGTGGTGTTAGCGAGCACCTATGACGGCCGACACGGCACACGAGGGGGTGGGTTGTCAACACCACGCCCGCACACACACTCAAACAACAATACATGCACTCTGCACGCATTAACGCATCGCTAATCGTCACCGTTTATCTCATCACAAACTAATCTAAACTAAACTAAAACTAAACTATTTTTTATTTTACCAGGTAAGGCACACTGAACTATATTGCTTTTTTCAGGAGTGACCTGGCCCCAAATGATAGTTCACCAAAGTGGCTTATCGTGTGGAAATTTATAGCAGCCAAATACTCTAAACACACGATTATAAATCTGGAGGGAAAAACCAGAGGACCTTGTCGAAAAATCCACACAACCACGTGGAGACATGCAAACTCCAAACATACAGGGATCAAGGGTCGGGATTGAATCTACCCCTGTTTACCAGGCGAGGCAGTTCACACAGAACAGAGTATTTTTGTGTATCTACGTTTACCCACAATGCTCCATGGCAACTCATAACTAGTTTGTGTTCGCTTCCTGATCAAGAGCCGTGTCTCTCCATCTCGACAGCTTCCAGGACCCGGACAAACGTCTGCAGGCCCTGAAGAACGTCTGCAATCAGTTGCCCAAGCCCAACTACGACAACTTGAGGTGAGAGGCCTCCAGCAGTGGCCCAGTTCGTCCGTACCACCAACAACCGCCACCACCACCACCATCGCCACGACGGCCCACGTAGCCGGCGAGCCCACGAATCAACACGATTCATGGCCACGGTTCTTTTGAAGAATGTATTTTGTTCGTAACTTTGTTGCAAACGGTACAAAATCACTGCGTGGATTCATGTCGTGTGGACACAATCAATGTGTGGATTTACATCGTGCGGACACGAGCAACACCTTATATCTTATATACACCGATTCTGATCGTTACCCCGACCACGGTAGGGCACGGAGGCCCGATAATCCCTCGATTGATCCCTAATCTTGAGGGTGCATTACGCCCGGCCTGTTCAATTCCAGTTTCTTGAATGACGATAAAAAAATAATGTTTACAAAAAAAACAACACCCGCACGGCGATAATATTTTTTTTTCCAGAGAGAGGCCGTCAATTGTAGGCCCGTGCGAGTTAATCTGTGACCTCTGTGAGAGTGTGTGGGTCTCCGCGTAAGTCTACGCTAGACGTTGTGTGTTTATGCAGCGTCTAAGTCTAAATGCCTCTCGGCATCAGATTATTTTATTTATGCTGGAGGAATCCGACGAGCTATGAAGCTCTTTTTCCACAGATGTCCAGTAGGGGCGGGTCAGAACATTCCAACAACTTAACAATGCAAAAAACACGATAGGAGCGCTAAGTATAGGACCGGTAAGCCAATCACTTTAAAAATATACCAATAAAACTAAACCATTTTTATGTTACCAGGCAAAGCCCACTGAGCTATGTAGCTTATTTTTCAGAGGCAACCTGGCCGCAAATGATAGCTCAACGAAGTGGCTGATCACGTGGAAATTTCTAGCAGCCAAATTAATCTAAATAATGTAAACGCTGACATGGCTGTCCGCTGTGCCTCCGTTGCCCGGGATGTGGTGGAGGAACGTACCGGCCGGCATGAGGGGTCACTGCGCCCCTCCTCCTCCTCCCGTGGTGACCTGAACTGACCCGACAACAGATTCTTGCGGTAGATGGAATGGAAGCGGTAATGCACTTTAATTTGCTAAGTAACTGCCGAGGGACGTGCAAAATGCAAAAAATTAGGTCGTCGTGACGGAGGAGGCTCCCTTATTCTTTATTACATTTTTAAAAACCAACAAAAATATAAAATATTTCAGCGGAAATTGCCTCTCGCTAATGCCACCGCATCCTAGGGGGGGGCTGGTCACACGAGGAGTCACGCGTAGGTGCCGAGCGCTCGCGCGGTCGTGCAAACCTCCGCCGGGGAGCGCGTGACCGACCCGCGTCGAGTGTCTCTTCGTCTCGGCGTCTGCGAGCGTCCCGGGCGCCCGTTAACGCGGCCGCCCCCCCCCCCCTCCCCCTGTCGTGCGGGCGGGCGGTGCGCAAGGTACCTGGTGAAGTTCTTCTCCAAACTCTCGGAGCACCAGGACGAGAACAAGATGACGGCGAGCAACATGGCCATCGTGCTGGGGCCCAACATGCTGTGGTCGCCCAACGAAGCGTGAGTGGCAGACGCGGAAACGGCAGCGTCCGGCGCGAACTCACGAGCCCCGGGGTGAGGGCTGCCACTTTCCCAGTTCCACGTGGGCAGTGGTAGGAGGGGAGACGGTGACGTCGGTGATGTATATATCTGTGTTGAACTTTATTTTCTTGTGTCTTTCGGTAAAGTCACGTAGATAGGTACGTGACTTTGCCGAAAGACCCAAGATTTATGTTGAACTTCTTTCGCACCATACGTAGCCAATCGTGTTCATTGGAGGTGCGGGGGAAGGACAACAACAAACTAAACACAAAAGCAGCTCGAAAAAAATTCGTTTGTTGATCTATATGATTTACAAGTGCACAGCTGAAGCGGCTTTCTAATATCGTAGGGAAGAGCGTTCCAGACGGCCGCAGAAGCGCATCTGAAAGCGCCGCGTAATGCGGTGACCGTCTTTGTTCGATAGCTAGCCAAAAGCCGCTCCTGCGAGGATGACCGGAGTTGGCGTGGTGATGGTTTACGCTCCTGGACGAGATCAGCAAGGTATTGTGGTTCATCTGTCTCAAGCACTTTGTGTGTAATTAGTGTGACCTTTTAATGTATTCGTTCGGCGGTCATCGCCTAGCAGCGGTCGTCACCTGGTAGCGATGGACACCTTAGTTGCGCGACGCTAGTCAGGTGCTTCCTGTGATTTTCCAACGTTATTGCCACCGTATATGATTATGTTGGCAGTAGTAGGTGAGCGGTGATTATCTATGATGTATGGAATTGGAGGGTCAGGTAAAAGCTCAGGAATTGTGAAGGAAAAACAATTATTTTAGCGTGATAAAAAAACACACTAAAATAACTTGTAGTTGCGCGTGATGAACGACGCATTCGAATCGTCAAATACTACTGCGTGGGTTTTTGCGGAAGTGCTGTACAGCTCTCCGATGCTTTCAAGGCGCTCCCAGCACACGGAGCCAAACGCCAAACGTTGCGGCGAGCAACACGCGGCACAACCTGACAACACATCGGAGAGCCGGGCATTCAAATGTCAGAGAGAAACCGATCGACAGAGCGTGCGAAATTAACAAAGAAACCCCCGGTCATGACGTGGCCTGGGAGAAGCCAAACACGGAGCGTGCGCAACAGCGGCGAGAGCCGCCACCCTGGAACAACATCCTGTGATATGCGGTCACGTGACCTCCTCCACGTGGCCATGTGACCCTCCCCTTACCGGCCGCGCGAACCCTCCACCCTCTGTAGCCGTACGACGTCAGCTTGTGGTCATGTGACCCCCCCCCCTCCCCCGTGTGCAGGAGCATGACGGACATGATGACGACGGTGTCGCTGCACACGGGCGGCATCATTGAGCCCATCATCCAGAACGCCAACTGGTTCTTCCCTGGAGGTCAGTGGCCTTCCTGAATAGTGGCTAGGAGATGTTATCTGCCTCGCCTGCTATGCAGGAGGTCGTGGGTTCGATCCCAGCCCTGACGCCTGCTGCTGTATATTTGGAGTTGTGTGCGTGTGTCTCTCTCCCCGCGGTCGCGTGGATTCTTCTCCAGCTCATCTGGTTTATTCCCTCCACATTTATAATCAGCATCACGCGTTTAGAGTATTTGGCTGCTATACATTTCCACACGGGAAGTCACTTTGTTGACCTATCAGTTGTGATAGCCAGGTCGCTTCTGGAAAAAGAGCTATATGGGCCTTGCCAGGTAAAATAAAAAAATGTTTAGTATCGGATATGATTGTTTGGTTGTTGTTGTTATTGATTCCAGAACTGGATTTTGGGGTGACGGCCAATAGCGGTGCGTCCAGCCCCACCCAGACGAACCACAATGCCAACCACGAGATTCCGGCCATCATCGGTGGGGCTACCACCCCAGTCGTGGGCTCCGTGGGCTCCGTGGGGTCCATGGGCTCCGTGGGCTCCGTGGGGTCCGGGGGACCTCCAGAGGGAGGAGGGGGCACTGGGGGGGGGTCCCCCGAGACGGAGCTCAAGGAGCCGAGGCCTCACAGCATCGCCACCGACAACGTGTCCATGGAGTTCCGCAAGGACGGGTGAGCACAGAGAGCCGTAGACTCACACAGACACCCATAGACTCACACAGACACCCATAGACTCACACAGACACCCATAGACTCACACAGAGAGCTATGGACTCACTCGCACAGAGAGCCATAGACTCACACAGACACCCATAGACTTACACAGAGAGCCATAGACTTACTCGCACAGAGAGCCGTAGACTCACACAGACACCCATAGACTTACACAGAGAGCCATAGACTTACTCGCACAGAGAGCCATAGACTCACTCGCACAGAGAGCCATAGACTCACTCGCACAGAGAGCCATAGACTCACTCGCACAGAGAGCCATAGACTCACACAGACACCCATAGACTTACACAGAGAGCCATAGACTTACTCGCACAGAGAGCCGTAGACTCACACAGACACCCATAGACTTACACAGAGAGCCATAGACTTACTCGCACAGAGAGCCGTAGACTCACACAGACACCCATAGACTCACACAGAGAGCCATGGACTCACTTGCACAGAGCCATAGACTCACACAGACACCCATAGACTCACACAGAGAGCCATGGACTCACTCGCACAGAGAGCCATAGAATCACACAGACACCCATAGACTTACACAGAGAGCCATAGACTTACTCGCACAGAGAGCCATAGACTCACTCGCACAGAGAGCCATAGACTCACTCGCACAGAGAGCCATAGACTCACTCGCACAGAGAGCCATAGACTCACACAGACACCCATAGACTTACACAGAGAGCCATAGACTTACTCGCACAGAGAGCCGTAGACTCACACAGACACCCATAGACTTACACAGAGAGCCATGGACTTACTCGCACAGAGAGCCGTAGACTCACACAGACACCCATAGACTCACACAGAGAGCCATGGACTCACTCGCACAGAAAGCCATAGAATCACACAGACACCCATAGACTTACACAGAGAGCCATAGACTTACTCGCACAGAGAGCCATAGACTCACTCGCACAGAGAGCCATAGACTCACTCGCACAGAGAGCCATAGACTCACTCGCACAGAGAGCCATAGACTCACTCGCACAGAGAGCCATAGACTCACTCGCACAGAAAGCTATAGACTCACTCGCACAGAGAGCCATAGACTCACTCGCACAGAGAAACATAGACTCACTTGCACAGAGAGCCATAGACTCACGCTCACAGAGAGCCATAGACTCGCTCGCACAGAGAAACATAGACTCACTCGCACAGAGAGCCATAGACTCACTCACACAGAGAGACATAGACTCACTCACACATAGAGCCATAGACTCACTCACACAGAGACCCATAGACTCACTCGCACAGAGAGCCACAGACTCACTCGCACAGAGAGCCACAGACTCGAAACACAGAGAGCCTTAGACTCGCACAGACAGCCTTAGACTCGCACAGACAGCCTTAGACTTACAGCGAGACCCATAGCCTCACACAGAGCCGCAGACTTAAATAGTTAGCCTTACTCAGCAACCACACAGGGTTCTCAGTGGAGCTCACTGCTCAGGGTTAGAAATAAAAATCAAACCCTAAATGGATTTCACATGGATGGACTTCTGGATGCAATTCATATGACCTGTTCTGAGACTTTTCTAGGTAGACCCGGCCTAAAATGAGCGCCCGGTGCAGTGCAAACATCAGCACTGGGGAGATAAAAGTGGTCGAGCGTGCGGCTAGCTGCACTGACCGGCTCATGCACCGTGCCGCTCTTAATAGGCGCTCGCTAACACCACTTTCCCCCAGGACGTCGGTGTAGCCTACATAGCCTACGTGCATCCTGCTGTACATGTGTGTGGAACAGTGGCACCGTGGGAGCGCAGGTAGCGGCGTCTGTCGGTCATCTCTGTGCGTTAACCCGCAACACCTGGGTCTATCCCATGACCTCGTATGCCGGCGAGCTTTAACATATCACGGCGCCTCGGAGTGCACCTAACCTGGCACCGGCACGGTGGTGTCCTCACCGTTGCATTGTGGCGATTGTCGGCTGTTGTTGCCGTGGTCGTCGCAGTCGCTGCTGCCCGTGTGTCCGTACTAACAACCTTACGGTGTCTCTTTAACCCCTTCAATGCTGCCTCAGCCTTCGGAAAATCCAAAGGTACTACAAGACACCTTAACCCTCCGCTGCCTGACACTCGGTAACGCGGCGGCAGGAGGGCTGTTGATAATTGCCCCCACCACCACACCCACCCCCCTCCGCCGCCGGAGGAAATGAAACGTGAAATGTTTAGCAGAAAACGAAATAAAAATAAGGAGTGACCGCATCCAGCTGGTGCGCTGGGCGGACAGATTTAGCGCGCTGCCAGTCCGCGTGAACGGAGGCCAAGCCCACGGGTGGACGTCCCGAGCGTTCCCGTGACGACGAGGTGTCTGGCACGACCTACTTTCGAATCGCTGTTTCAAATGTTGTTCGGAAGCCACTGGAGTGCTATACACTTTTAAGTCTCGATTGAACTGCTTCTCTTGTTGTTGTCCCCCCCCCCCCCCCCCCGTACGTCTGATTAGCGCGGTTGGCTACGTACGGTTGCGAAAGAAGTTCAACATATATACCGTACATTGGCGTATGTGTTATTTTTTTTGCTGTACATAGCCAACCGTGCTGATCGGAAGTGAAGCATCTGTTGGGATGTCTCGCGGAATAGTAGTGTGACCCTCCGTGTTAGAGAGTGGCCCACGGAAGGGGATATGGCAGAGCTACGTCCGAGACACTCTCTCGAGCAACCCTCTGGTCCGCAACGTAGAGGGGGCAGCTTTGTGCCACCCACTCTCCCACTGGGAGCAACGTTTGTCGCGTGATAATTAAAAGGATAGTTTTCCATCGATAACTGGATAAATTCCAGCTCTGAGAGTTAGAGGCTGAGTCTATCGACTCGCTAAACGTATTGTCCCCCCCCCCTCCCCCTGCACGTCTGATTATCGTGGTTGGCTACGTACAGTCGCGAAAGAAATCCATTGCAGGGTAGTGCCATTCAGACGAGCGCTAATCACACGGTGTGGCCGCTATGAAGACAGAGAGTCGCGCTTCTCCCTGCTAATGGGGGGGTGGTGGGGTGGGGAGGATGCAGCGCACGATCGTAGACATCTTCGTAGATTCCTTCCTTGTCCGATTGCTTCGCGCCGCCTGATCGGCCTCTCTCAGCACGCCTTCGAGTTTGAATGCGGCGTCACTTTTTTTTATAAAAGCGTCCCGCGCGATGGCCCCGTTGCATTGGGGCGTGACGTTGCGGTTCGGGCCCAGCCGTAGCCACGTTCACCGCTCGTTGCAGTCGGTCCGCGGTTGTACTAGGAGCCGTCTGCATCACAGGGGACGTTAAAGGGATCTCCTGGCGGCGTTCAAGATCGGTGGAGCACTGCGCGTTGGAATCGGGCTCCAAATTTGGCAAATTCGAAAAATGTATCCCCAACAAACTTCATCGGTTGGGATGACACGCGGAGCAACAAATGCCCCTTACTGTGAGCCGACTGCAGACTTTGTTATTGAGAGCCGTGCAATGTAAGAACGGCGCAAACACCAAACGTGCTCGGTTACAATTATCTACCTTTTATTACTCTTGTTATGATTGCAACACCAGCGGCTGTGATGTCACTGTTGTGCGCACCGACTAAATAAGAACTCTCTGCAGCGTTTGGGTTCCGTGCTCTTTTCAGTGAGCAATACGGAAGTGCTCCGCTGCATTGGTGGCGCACAGCCAGGGATGGAAATGCCACATTTGAAACTACAATATTTTTTTTTTATTTTACCAGGCAAGGCCCACTGAGCTATATAGCTTTTTTTCAGAAGTGACCTGGGCGCAAATGATAGCTCAACTAAGCGGCTTATGTGGCAATATATAGCAGCCGAATACTCTAAACGCTTGTATATTCTAAATGTGGTGGGGAAAACCGGAGAACCCGGAGAAACATGCACACGAACACAGGGAGAGAGAGAGATAACAAACTCCAAATACAACAGCAGGCGTCAGGGTCGGGATTGAACCCACGACCTCCTGTATACCAGGCAAGGTAGTTAACATCTCGCCACCGCGGACGCCCTTAATTTCCGCGGTGTGGGCCGGTCTCTGAATGGGGCGACCGCGAGCGAGTAGACTCTGTGGCCGGCGTGCTCGCTCGCTCTCAAGCGACCGCGGTGGCTGTGGCGGGGCACTTCCGTGTTGATCTGCCTCCTCCTCACCCCCACCCCCGCAGCATGGGCGTGCGCGTCATGGACACGGACTGGATGGCGCGCCGTGGGGGCCCCATGGGCTCGGGGAGCTCGCTGTGTGGGGGGGGCGCGGGGCCCCCCGGCTTCTCGGGCAGCGTGCGCCGTGCGGCGTCCACATCCGGCGGGGAGCAGTCTCCCGGCGCCGACGCCACCCCGCTGGAATCGCCGCTCAGCCCCGGGCCGTCGCTCCACCCTGCCGCCGCCGCCGCTGGCGCCGCGCCCCCCGCGCCCCCCGCGCCCCCACTGCCGCCCGTCCCTCCCGTGCCCCCCAGCACTCCTCCGGTCGCACCCGTGGCGGCGACCCCCTCCGCCGCCACGGTCGCCCCCGCCGCGCCCTCGGCCCCGACGCCGCCGGTCGTCCCGCGGCACCACATGGAGGAGGCCGGGTGAGTGAGTGCATGACGTCGTGCCGGGGAGGGGAACGTGTTGGGGGTGGTGGGATGGGGGGGGGGGGGCACCCGGGCGGCACCCGCAGCATCCAGTCCACATTTTGCCGAATACGAGAATCTACTTACAAATTGACTAAATCTGGAAGCCGCGTAGCAAAATGTCCCCCTACTGGGAGACTGATGCCTGCTTGCAGGGCGTTGCTCTATTCACCTTGTGACACGCAGGGGCAGCTGCCACCGGGGGTGCCTTGCTGTAGGGTGCCTCCAGATATACTGGAGGCACCCTACAGCTTTTGCGTTTGCCGTGCTCGCGCAGTCAATCGCGCAGTCAATCGCGCGGGCCGTTGCGTCCAAGGTGTTCACGGTTCCGGCCCGTGTTTGGCCATGCCCGCCTGTCAGCCCACTCGTTTCGCAGGTGCTCACTGCCTTGTCTCCTCCCTTGTTGTGTCTTAACAGCGAGCACTACTCACTGCCTTGTCTCCTCCCTTGTTGTGTCTAAGAGTGAGCACTGACTCACTGCCTTGTCTCCTCCCTTGTTGTGTCTCACAGCGAGCAATGGCTCACTGCCCTGTCTCCTCCCTTGTTGTGTCTTAACAGCGAGCACTGGCTCCAGTCCAGGCGGCTGGCTTTCCACTGTCCCCCTTCCTCCTCCTCTTCCTCCTTCTCCTCTTCCTCCCTGGAGGAGCGGCCCCCGCCCACCACGAGCTCATTCCACCCAACGAAGCCCCCCGTGGCCGACGGGCTGTTCGGGGGCTCCAGCACACTGCCCACTTCGCCGCAGAAACGGGCGGCGCTGGGCCACTGTGCCCCACCGACGCTCCAGATCCACCACCACCAGCATCCGCAGCAGCCGCAGCAGCCGCATCAGCAGCAGCCGCATCAGCAGCACCATCACCCCCTTCAGCATCATCTACAACATCACCCTCTCCAGCTGCAGCAGCAGCAACAACAGCAGCAGCAGCTGCATCAACAGCAGCAGCAGCACTATGACATAAACTACAACCCTCGGCCTACCTACATCGCGATTCCCAAGCAGCCGTCCCCGTCGGACACTCACGTGCCGGAGCCCGGCACGGCACCGCCCGTTTACATGAAGACGCCGCTGCTGCTCACCAAGCGCGCCACCCTGGGCGGGCAGACGACGGGGACGCTGGGGCCCACGGGGGGCGGCTCCTCCTCCGGCCGCACCGTCGGCTGTGGCTGCGCCCGAGAGGGCAGGCCTGGTCTGTATAGGTAACGACGGCACGCCCGAGAGCCCCATCGCACCGGTAAAACCGCCGCGGCGCCTTCCCGGTGCCGCGTCGCGTCTCCCCCGTGCCTCCCGTTGCGAGCGAGGATCCTTCCGGCGCGACGACACAAATTCTGTCCTCCGTCGTCCTGAGCCCGAACCCTGTCCATGCGTGTGCGACCCTGCATGGCGCTAACCCCCTCCATGCATGCCGGAGCGTAGCGTCGCGCCGGGATAGCATCACCGTCATCGCTGCCTCCTCCTCCGCATGCCCCTGGAGCCATCTCTCTCGCCAGCGCTCGCTCGCGGCCCAAGCATCGCGGACAGAACGCATCCGGGGTGCGGCTCGCCGGGCCGTCGGTGCGTGGCCACCGTGCTCCGGGGACATTGCTGGTCCATTCCCGCATGCGGCAGCCGCTCCCCGATGGATGAGCGGAGTTTGACGGCGTCCCGGCCCAGCGGATTCACTCGCCTGCTTCTTCCATCCCATCCTGCCCTTGTGTCCTCCGGACCCATATGCGCGCACGCACGCGCGTGTGTGCGTGCGCTCATCTCTGTGTACTAACTTCGCCATCTCCCATCTCTGACCTTCACCTTCTGAGCTCACGGCCTCACGATGGCCGTCGCTACCATTGCAGCGGCGCCTGCGGCTGAACCCCTGTACTACACCTGTACTACACCTGTACGTGTGCTTGCCGCTTGTAGTTTGTCCGCCCTCTCTAAGCGGAGGCCGCTGTTCCCTTCAGCACACTGAGGAGCTCGGGCAAGGACAGCGCCATGCAGAAGAGCTGCACGCTGCCAGCGCACGCTGGGTCCGGCCTCGCCCAGATCAGCATCGGCGCCAACCAGACGCTGTCCGGCCCCAGTCCCGGCCTCGGCCGCAGAGGTACGGCCTCCGCCCCCCATGGGCGGACTCGCGCGACGGACGACGGGTTTCGCGCAGCGATCGAAAACCTTGAGCCCACCGAAGGTCGATCGCCTCTTTCACTGCGAGGCCCTTGCCGTGGCAGCTGTGAATGAGCACGTGTTGATTAAAGTACGGGGTTGTCAGGGCTAACGGAAACCCCTCTGGTAGCCGATTAGTACAGCTAAGATGCTTGCTTGCGGTCACGGACAAATGTCGTTTGCGGCGCGTTTAGAAGCGATAGGCCTCTCTCGTGGTGGCGGTCGCATTCAGCCCATAGGTAGGCCCCCCACTCTGGGCCATGAGATGGTGAAGGGACAGCACCACCAGCCCCCTGGTGCGGAAGCGACGCGCGGTGGTCATGGGTGGTGAAACGAATAAACGCCAAAGACCGAAGGGGGGTGGGGAAGACTTGGGGCGCCACGGTGGCGAGATGTTAACTAACTCGCCTGGTATACAGGAGGTCGTGGGTTCGATCTCGACCCTTAACGCCTGTTGTATATTTGGAGTTTGCATGTTCCTGTTCGTGGTTGTGTGGATTTTTCTCCGGGTCCTCCAATTTATCCCTCCACGTTTATAATCAACATCACCACGCGTTTAGAGTATTTAGATTCTATACATTTCCACATGATGATAACCCACTTCATTGGGCTAAAATTTGGTGGCCAGGTCACTTCTGAAAAAGAGCTACATAGCTCAGTGGACCTTGCCTGATAAAATAAAATACTTTAATCGTTTAAAAAATAGTTTTAATGCCCCCCTTCTCTCATCTTCCAATCGCCTAAAAATACCACGTTCCCGAACGTTGCCCCCTAAAGGAGTAGTAGGGCAGTGAGACCATCCACCTTCCATTTCCGCCGCTTGTCGTCCGCGGAACATCTGTAGCTCCCCGCCCCCCCCTCTCTCCGAGTCGCTCGCGCTTTGTCCCGGGCTCTTGTTTAATGAAATTTTTTTTTTTAAATAGCAGTTTCATAAATGGCCACACGCTGCACACGCCTGTGCCACATATCGCCGCGCGCGCCACGTGTCGCCGCGCGTGCGTTTGTATCCCCCGCGTGTGCCGACGGCGCCGTGCTGCGCCCTGCCGCCGCAGCCAGCAAGAAGCCGGCGCCGCCGCCACCGAAGCCGCCCGTCAAGCCGCCCTGTCTGCCGGCGGCGGAGCCGGTCAGCGAGCCGCCCTCCTCGTCCGCGTCGACGAGCCGCTCGTCCACGCCGCCCAGCACGCCCCCCACCAAGGCGGCGCACCCCACGCCCCCCGTACGTCGCGCCCGCGTGGGGGGGGAGGGGGTGGTGGCGGTGCGGGGGTTTGGGGCTTCACGCGACGTGGAGGCTGAACCCGGGATGACCCTGCGAGGGATTTGAGAGTGGACGGAACGGTCTTGACGTGTGGCGCAGTGCGAGCCCCGTGGCGACGGTGGCTAGGAGATGTTAACTACATCGCCTGCTATGCAGAGATGGTCGTGGCTTTGATCCCAACCCTGACGCCTGCTGTATATTGGGAGTTTGCGTTTCCTCTCTCCCCGTGGTCGTGTGGATTTTTCTCTGGGTCCTCCGGTTTTTCCGTTTAGAATCAACATCACCACGCGTTCAGATTATTTGGCTGCCATAAATGTCCACGTGATAAGCCACTTCGTTGAGCTATCATTTGTGGCCAGGTCGCTTCTAAAAAAGAGCCTTAGCTGGTAAAATGAAAATTGTTTCGTTAATAATATAAGAATAGGTTTTAGCCGTTCCGGCACTAAAACAGTTGTGTTAAGATGTTAAAACTCCAAAAAAACACTTTTTGGAAGGAATCATGTCTACAGTAACCACACGTACTTGTGGTGAACATGCAAAAAAAATAATATCTAACACTATGTAACACAATTTTTGTTCCTGGGTATTAAGTGTTATTTCGTAATTGCTTATGCCTAAAAAGTATAGTAGATGGCTATCATTCTCCACAAACTTTGCTTTTGTGACCAGGACAGTGATATTTTGAAATGTACCTATTTTCAATGAGAAAGCGGGCAAATTTGTGTCTTTTCGTTCACATAAAGTCAGAAACAAACGACATATGAATGAAAATGAACATGTATTTATACTAAAGTAATCCAAAAATTACTGCAAAAGTACGTGTTGTTAATGCAGACAGGATTCCTTGCAAAAGGTTTCAATTTGGTGTTTTAACATCTTAACACCTCCTGTTTTATTGCCAGAAAGGGGTAAAACCCATTCTTATATTTTGATGAGCCAACTCGTTCTCTCGCGCGTTCACTTCGCGTCGGCAGAAACCGCCGCCGCTGTCCCCCGCCGACCCCGACGGGGAGAGCTCCGGGCGGATGACCCTGAGCCGCCCGACCCCGCGACCCCGCCAGCGACCCTCCGTGCCACCGCCCCCGCAGCCCCCGGGCCTGCACCCCGGCTCGGCCACGGCGCCGCAGGACTTTAAGAGCCCGACGACGCCGGGCTCCGAGCAGCCCATCCTCAACCACAGGCCCAGCATGTCCACCAGTGAGTGGCGGCACCTTCCACATGACCGCCTGTGTACGCCGTAGTCTCCGCTTTGCCACGAGAGCACTACCGGCCGTACACGTCAGCTGCCTCAGCACTACCGCCAGATGTTCACTACCAGCAGACCACAGAGAAGTGTCTGCACTACCGAGTACACGTAGCCTTCTCAGCACTTACTTCTGGGGTTGCCACGGATTTTGCTTTTCTCAGGATCCTCTGGGTTTTTTTTTTGGTAGCTGTGCTGGAAGATTTGTAAATCTTCCCGGGACATTATAAGTCCCGGGTTTTGTCAGTTGCGTAACACTGCACGGCTCAAGACACTGATTTCACGTGTAGCACTCTCCTCTTCCAGTATTGTGAGATATTGTTCTTCTTCCCGTCATATGTCTCAGTTGTTTGTATTTTTGGAGGTGGCAACCCCAACAGCTACCCTTGCACAGTTACCATTTTTCCTACCACAAGCAAACGTAGCCATCTGCACACCCTCCCACACATACACACAGCCACCTGCACTACCACCCATTCACACAGCCACCTGCACTACCACCAGAGCTGACCATGTGCAGGCCGTGCTCTGAGCACTGCGGGGCCCGCATGTGCCGGTGGTGATGACGCGTCTCGCCACAAGGTTGCGCCGTGTACATGCGGGCGCCGTGCGGGCTTACAAACTACTGTACTGCGCTGATTCCCCATTGCCGCCTGCTGGATCTTGCGACGGCTCGTTTCATCTCCAACCTTTGGCCATGCACGAGCTCATTTTTCCCCGTGCAACTTTTCAACGTGCCCCCCCCCTCTCCCCCCTCTCGTCGTCGACCGTCAGGTCTCGTCTCGACGGTGGATGCCTTGAAATTTCCCCTCCGTCGCGGTTTGTGCGCATGGCGATTCATATCAGAGCTTGCGATCGGCTGCACAAAAGCGTGTGAACGTTGAGCTGCCACTGCTGCGACTCCTGGGTTTGAATCCTGGCAAGCAGCTGGGTTAACACTGGGGGTATGAAAGCACGTTGGACTTCTTTCGCACCGTACGGAGCCAACCGTGCTAATCGGAGGTGCGGGGGAAGGACAATAAGTTTAGTGAGTCCATGGACTCGGCCTCTGCCACCAATAACTGGCTCAATTACAGCTTTGAGAGTTAAACTATCCTTTTAATTATCACGCAGCAAACGTTGCTCCCGGTGGGAGAGTGGGTGGCACAAAGCTGCCCCCTCTACGTTGCGGACCAGAGGGTTGCTCGAGAGAGTGTCTCGGACGTAGCTCTGCCATATCCCCTTCCTTTGGCCACTCTCTAACACGGAGGGTCACACTCCTGTTCTGCGAGACATCCCAACAGATGCTTTACTTCCAATTAGCGCGGTTGGCTAAGTACAGTGCGAAAGAGGTTCAGCATATATACCTCATGACCGTGACCCCAATGGTACAATCGGGATAAAGGTGGGGAAACAGAGGGAATATTATTAACAAAAGGCTAATTTGCCAATTTCCCAGAATCGCGCAAAACCTAACAAAGGCCGCCTCGCCGGTGTCCTCCTCGCATCTCCTTTCACGTCTGCCAAAGTAAAACCTCCGCTGTGCTGTCGTCACAATAACCTCTTGCTTCGTTGGCTCCGAGGGCCGAGGGCCGAGGGCACACCCGCCAAGGGGGGGGGGGGGGAGCAGGGCCTCCATGAGCTGGGCCTCCCTTCTGTGCTTGCTGGGTTTGGTGACGGCTGTCTTTCTCACCGTTGCAATACCTCCCCCCCCCCCTCCGCTTGCTGTCTGGCAGCTGTCTGATTGGGGGAGCTGTGGTTGTACGAGGATGCCGTGGGTAAGATGGACTTTCTTTAAACACTTTTCCGAATTCAGAATAGCGCTGACTTTGCCTTGAACTTCAACCTCGGCCCAGTTTGTCAATTTGTGGGGGGGGGGGGTTCAAATCGGGAGCTTATCGCTTTTTATTTGCATGTTTAAAATATTTTAAAAATATATATATTCCGTCACAAATATAAGCCCTTGTCAACTTTAGAAATCCAGGTTGAGTTTAACGCGCAGCTGAGTGATGTGCGCCGGTGCTGTGCATGTAACACTGGCGATTGCAAGCCGCAGTTTCAGAGTTGTCGAGCTCATCCGCCTCCCACTGCCGAGCCTCACGTGAGCGAAGCTCGCGCGTGAAGCTCCCCTCACAACAACCTAACCGCATCCCAATCATCGCTGCCCTGAGTAAACGCACGCGCTCTACTCCGTAGGGTTCGTCGCGGTTGTGCTGCTGCTGCTGCTGCGTCGTGCTCCGGCGTGTTTTTGTGTTGCGCTGCGTTTCCGTGCGGCGCGACATCACACACGTTTCGATCCGCCTCGCTGGGAGTTTCTTCTGGAGCTGAATTCCTGAAGGAGCCTCCCGGTGGGGGAATAAAACACCGAATTCATCTGCATTTTATGAGGAAGCCACAGGAGCTATGCACTTTTACATCTAGATTGAAAAACTAATTTCTTTAGAACTGCTTTTTGTGTTCAGGTTGTTATCCTTTCCTCGCACCTCCGATTAGCACGGTTGGCTACGTACGGTGCGAAATAAGTTAATAACACCTACACTAAAAACACATGCACCGCCAACGTTTTTGCGTCGGGTTTATTTCACCTCGCCACCAACGAAATACAAAAGCGATAACGCGAATGTAATTGCATCCATTCCCTTCGCCCGCAAACTCTGAAGGCGCGCGCCAGCCGACGGCGCACGGTGCGGCGGTGGCGGCGGACGGGCAGGACGGGCAGAGGTGCCTGGAGGCGACGCCATGCACCCAGCCCAGCAACGGGCACGCCAAGCACTTTGACGCGGAGAGCACCGCCTTCTGAGGGCTGCCCCGGCCTCCACCAAGCGGCGCCGGGCCCGACCACTCGCCAAACAACCCACCACCACCCCCAAACCTCCACCCCACTCTCCACTCCTCTGTCCGTCTCCAGGTTTTTTTTGTTGTAAATAAGGAACGCTCCGTTTGCATCGCAATCTTACGAAGTATTATCAAACTTTCCATGGATTATGCCCGTGCGGTGTGCGTGTTTCTGTCGTCGTCTTTTCTCGTCGTCGTTGTCGTGGTGGGATAATGACCTCAGCCGGCTCAATCGAGGACCACTTCCTTCCCCCTTGTTTACACCGCCCCGTTTTGCCTTGTGTGTGTTTTTTTGCCGGCAACAAGAACGAGCGCCGCTCGCCTTTCGCGAACGACGCTGACGCTGCTGCTGCTGCTGTTGCGAGATGTGTGCTTGCCGAGGATGAGGGGGTGTGGGGGTGTTTATCTCGCGGTTGCCGTGCGGTGTGACCGGGTCCAACAACTGCCATATCCAATGCATGTCTTTGCCTCTATCTCTGTTTTTGTTTTTTTGGACAAAAGCATCTTTGATTTGCCAAATATAGAACTTGATTGTGTTTTTTTTTTTCGCGCAGGAAAGAGAAGGATAACAAATGAGAAAAATTATAATAATATCCATTGATTGTACTGCGAATAGCAGTGAGTATTTAGTCATCTTTGATGTCCATGTATTGTAGATGCAGTATATATTAAAAACACAAGTATTTTCGAGCGGCAGAATTGAACGTTACTCCAGAGAAGATGAGTGCCAGTTAGCTCGCTGTGCCGTGTGCTGTATTGTAAATCTTGGCGATGTAAATAAACCCGTGTGCAGTATTCTTCAGGCCTATAGCGTTCGTCAGTCACGAGGATATCCATGAAGGTACTTGTGTTGCATCTGTGCGCGTCCGTGGTTTGCGGTTGGAAACAAACAAAAAAAGAGCACTCCAAAAAGTAAACGATGTAAAATAAACGGTCTGTTGTTGTGTACCGCAGGCAGTGGGCCGTGTGCTTTGCATGGTTGCATGTTTTACATACCTGCTTAGTTTACAGTGCCGTGTGCAGAGCGCGCGCGGTGTGTGCCGAGAACCAGTGGCGCGTAGCGATCGAGCGTGCGGGGCGGTGCAACGGCACCGGTGCCCACGGGAAAACGGAGCCAGGAGCTCGGCTACGAACCACGCCACGCCAGGGCCACTGGCTGACACCCTGTAAGACCCAGGCTCTGCCAACCACGTTATGCCCGTGCCACTACCTGACACCCCGTGAGACCCAGGCTCTGCCAACCACGTTATGCCCGTGCCACTGCCTGACACCCCGTGAGACCCAGGCTCTGTGCCAACCACGTTATACCTGTGCCACTGCCTGACATCCAAGTTTCCTGCTCCCCCGTGACCGTGACCCTGGGCTGACCGGAGTTGCCTGGACACAGACGATGACGTGGAAGATAGCAGGAGCCGCGGCCACGGCCTGCATGCGAGGACGCTCGTTGAAGGACGTGGTTACATTCGTGAATCCTGTACCTTGATCTATTTGTATATAACGTCAAATACGCGACGACCTCCGATCGTTCACGTGCGACGTGAGAAAAGCAGAAGGCAGGCGGACCGCCCAGTCGGGGAGATGAGGTCAATGCTGCGATTCGGCATTAGCATTTTACGGGGTGATGTGAAGACGTGGCGAGTGAGACACGGTGAGGGAGAGACGGGTAATCGAGACAAGGTGCGGAAGATAGGCTGAGGACAGGTAGCCAGAGACGGTGAGTGACAGAGGATGAGTGACAGGGTAATGGAGACAATGTTGAGTGAGACAGGGCGAGTGAGACACGGTGAGATAGGTAGCGGGAGAAGCCTCTCTGTTACTGGTAGGAACCTCCTAGTTACACCAGCCCACAGGGGATTATTATGTCCGTCCGTCCGTCGTGCATCCAAAAATGGGAGGGGTGGGGCTGGGTGGGGAGGGTGGGGAGGGGCTGGGTGGGGAGGGTGGGGCTGGGTGGGGAGGGTGGGGCTGGGTGGGGGGTGGGAGAGGTGGGGCTGGGTGGGGAGAGGCTGGTCACTCCGTGGTGCCCTTATAAAACTCAACGTTTAACCTACTCACGCCGGCTTGTGCCCGCCCTCACAGTCGGGCATATTTGCGGAATACACCACGCCGCCGTTGACCCTGGCCATTGACCGAGCAACCCAACGTTCCTACCAGCTCCCTCCGCAGGAATGTGTTAAAGTCTCCGAGGTCGATGTTGTTAAACTCGTCAGAGTGGAGGAAGCGAGGCCGTGCATTCGCTGCTCGCGAACCATGGACAGCGGCGCCCACGCGGCGGCGACCCCAAAGCGACGCGGCGATGTTCGAGTCCCGGTCAGGGGGCCGCCTCCTCAGGGATCGCGGGGACCCCTCGATCATCAGGCGGGGCCTGGAACCGCATCCCAGGACCCCACGCCCTCCTCCCGGTCCTCTGAGGGGCAGGGGCCCAACCCGACGGGGCCCAGGGAGACCGCCAGGGGCGCCCTGCCGAGTAGTGGGGGGCCCTGCCTCTGGCGGAACCCCGCAGGAGGCGGGGGGGTCCAGCATCCAGGAGTTCTGCGGTCAGCTGGTAGAGTCCCCTGGACCTTGGTCTCGCGAGTTGGGGAGGGCTTTGATCTCGTGGTCTGAGGATACCAAAGTCAAGGCAGTAGGGTTCCGCGTCTTGGAGGTCTCGATTGTTCGCGGCGCCAGGGTCCAGGAGTTTCCAAGCCGTGTCGGAGATTCTCAGAGTCTGGGAGATTCTCAGAGTCTGGGAGATTCTCAGAGTCTGGGAGATTCTCAGAGTCTGGGAGATTCTCAGAGTCTGGGAGATTCTCAGAGTCTGGGAGATTCTCAGAGTCTGGGAGATTCTCAGAGTCTGGGAGATTCTCAGAGTCTGGGAGATTCTCAGAGTCTGGGAGATTCTCAGAGTCTGGGAGATTCTCAGAGTCTGGGAGATTCTCAGAGTCTGGGAGATTCTCAGAGTCTGGGAGAGTCTCAGAGTCTGGGAGATTCTCAGAGTCTGGGAGAGTCTCAGAGTCTGGGAGATTCTCAGAGTCTGGGAGATTCTCAGAGTCTGGGAGATTCTCAGAGTCTGGGAGATTCTCAGAGTCTGGGAGATTCTCAGAGTCTGGGAGATTCTCAGAGTCTGGGAGATTCTCAGTCTGGGAGAGTCTCAGAGTCTGGGAGATTCTCAGAGTCTGGGAGATTCTCAGAGTCTGGGAGATTCTCAGAGTCTGGGAGATTCTCAGATTCTGGGAGATTCTCAGATTCTGGGAGATTCTCAGAGTCTGGGAGATTCTCAGAGTCTGGGAGATTCTCAGAGTCTGGGAGATTCTCAGAGTCTGGGAGATTCTCAGAGTCTGGGAGATTCTCAGAGTCTGGGAGATTCTCAGAGTCTGGGAGATTCTCAGAGTCTGGGAGATTCTCAGATTCTGGGAGATTCTCAGAGTCTGGGAGATTCTCAGAGTCTGGGAGATTCTCAGAGTCTGGGAGATTCTCAGAGTCTGGGAGATTCTCAGAGTCTGGGAGATTCTCAGAGTCTGGGAGATTCTCAGAGTCTGGGAGATTCTCAGAGTCTGGGAGATTCTCAGAGTCTGGGAGATTCTCAGAGTCTGGGAGATTCTCAGAGTCTGGGAGATTCCCAGAGTCTGGGAGATTCTCAGAGTCTGGGAGATTCTCAGAGTCTGGGAGATTCCCAGAGTCTGGGAGATTCTCAGATTCTGGGAGATTCTCAGAGTCTGGGAGATTCCCAGAGTCTGGGAGATTCTCAGAGTCTGGGAGATTCTCAGAGTCTGGGAGATTCCCAGAGTCTGGGAGATTCTCAGAGTCTGGGAGATTCTCAGAGTCTGGGAGATTCTCAGAGTCTGGGAGATTCCCAGAGTCTGGGAGATTCTCAGAGTCTGGGAGATTCTCAGAGTCTGGGAGATTCTCAGATTCTGGGAGATTCTCAGATTCTGGGAGATTCTCAGAGTCTGGGAGATTCTCAGAGTCTGGGAGATTCTCAGAGTCTGGGAGATTCTCAGAGTCTGGGAGATTCTCAGAGTCTGGGAGATTCTCAAGAGTCTGGGAGATTCTCAGAGTCTGGGAGATTCTCAGAGTCTGGGAGATTCTCAGATTCTGGGAGATTCTCAGAGTCTGGGAGATTCCCAGAGTCTGGGAGATTCTCAGAGTCTGGGAGATTCTCAGATTCTGGGAGATTCTCAGAGTCTGGGAGATTCTCAAGAGTCTGGGAGATTCTCAGAGTCTGGGAGATTCTCAGAGTCTGGGAGATTATCAGAGTCTGGGAGATTCTCAGAGTCTGGGAGATTCTCAAGAGTCTGGGAGATTCTCAGAGTCTGGGAGATTCTCAGAGTCTGGGAGATTCTCAGAGTCTGGGAGATTCTCAAGAGTCTGGGAGATTCTCAGAGTCTGGGAGATTCTCAGAGTCTGGGAGATTCTCAGATTCTGGGAGATTCCCAGAGTCTGGGAGATTCTCAGATTCTGGGAGATTCTCAGATTCTGGGAGATTCTCAGAGTCTGGGAGATTCTCAGAGTCTGGGAGATTCTCAAGAGTCTGGGAGATTCTCAGAGTCTGGGAGATTCTCAAGAGTCTGGGAGATTCTCAGAGTCTGGGAGATTCCCAGAGTCTGGGAGATTCTCAGAGTCTGGGAGATTCTCAGAGTCTGGGAGATTCTCAAGAGTCTGGGAGATTCTCAGAGTCTGGGAGATTCTCAGAGTCTGGGAGATTCTCAGAGTCTGGGAGATTCTCAGATTCTGGGAGATTCCCAGAGTCTGGGAGATTCCCAGAGTCTGGGAGATTCTCAAGAGTCTGGGAGATTCTCAGAGTCTGGGAGATTCTCAGAGTCTGGGAGATTCTCAAGAGTCTGGGAGATTCTCAGAGTCTGGGAGATTCTCAGAGTCTGGGAGATTCTCAGAGTCTGGGAGATTCTCAGATTCTGGGAGATTCCCAGAGTCTGGGAGATTCTCAGAGTCTGGGAGATTCTCAGAGTCTGGGAGATTCCCAGAGTCTGGGAGATTCTCAGAGTCTGGGAGATTCTCAGATTCTGGGAGATTCTCAGAGTCTGGGAGATTCTCAGATTCTGGGAGATTCTCAGATTCTGGGAGATTCTCAGAGTCTGGGAGATTCTCAAGAGTCTGGGAGATTCTCAGAGTCTGGGAGATTCTCAGAGTCTGGGAGATTCTCAGATTCTGGGAGATTCTCAGAGTCTGGGAGATTCCCAGAGTCTGGGAGATTCTCAGAGTCTGGGAGATTCTCAGAGTCTGGGAGATTCCCAGAGTCTGGGAGATTCTCAGAGTCTGGGAGATTCTCAGAGTCTGGGAGATTCTCAGAGTCTGGGAGATTCTCAGAGTCTGGGAGATTCCCAGAGTCTGGGAGATTCTCAGAGTCTGGGAGATTCCCAGAGTCTGGGAGATTCTCAGAGTCTGGGAGATTCTCAGAGTCTGGGAGATTCTCAGATTCTGGGAGATTCTCAGAGTCTGGGAGATTCTCAGATTCTGGGAGATTCTCAGATTCTGGGAGATTCTCAGATTCTGGGAGATTCTCAGAGTCTGGGAGATTCTCAAGAGTCTGGGAGATTCTCAGAGTCTGGGAGATTCTCAGATTCTGGGAGATTCTCAGAGTCTGGGAGATTCCCAGAGTCTGGGAGATTCCCAGAGTCTGGGAGATTCTCAGAGTCTGGGAGATTCTCAGATTCTGGGAGATTCTCAGATTCTGGGAGATTCTCAGAGTCTGGGAGATTCTCAGATTCTGGGAGATTCTCAGTCTGGGAGATTCTCAGTCTGGGAGATTCTCAGAGTCTGGGAGATTCTCAGTCTGGGAGATTCTCAGAGTCTGGGAGATTCTCAGATTCTGGGAGATTCTCAGAGTCTGGGAGATTCTCAGTCTGGGAGATTCTCAGAGTCTGGGAGATTCTCAGAGTCTGGGAGATTCTCAGTCTGGGAGATTCTCAGAGTCTGGGAGATTCTCAGATTCTGGGAGATTCTCAGATTCTGGGAGATTCTCAGATTCTGGGAGATTCTCAGAGTCTGGGAGATTCTCAGATTCTGGGAGATTCTCAGAGTCTGGGAGATTCTCAGAGTCTGGGAGATTCTCAGATTCTGGGAGATTCTCAGATTCTGGGAGATTCTCAGAGTCTGGGAGATTCTCAGAGTCTGGGAGATTCTCAGTCTGGGAGATTCTCAGAGTCTGGGAGATTCTCAGAGTCTGGGAGATTCTCAGATTCTGGGAGATTCTCAGAGTCTGGGAGATTCTCAGAGTCTGGGAGATTCTCAGTCTGGGAGATTCTCAGTCTGGGAGATTCTCAGAGTCTGGGAGATTCTCAGTCTGGGAGATTCTCAGAGTCTGGGAGATTCTCAGAGTCTGGGAGATTCTCAGAGTCTGGGAGACCTCCGTTGTTGGCTCCTGAGCTTGGGTCTCTGGTTCTCCAATGCACGGCCCCTGGGCTATCGTGGCGACTCCGGGTGTTGTGATCGTGCGCTTTGCTGATGCCAGGGCGCAGTGATGTCAGTGTCTTTGTGCGCTTGTATACTGTACGTGTGTTTATGTTGGAATCGACACGTTATTGACTCATTAATGTTTATTTGTAGCGTGGATAGGCGCATTAGTTAAAATATCAAAGAGATGTTCCCTCCTCCCTGGGCACAGGACTCAGCCCCGCGCCACGCGACGGCTCAATGCACCGTTCGAGAGTGTTTGTTTTCATCCCAATGAAACCCATGTTCTCCGTCACGAAGGGTGCGGCAAATCACCGTGGCAATGCTTCTTAGCCATTTCATCAGCATAAGAACCTGGCTCTCTCTCTCTGTACACAGTTACCACATGAGGCTAAACGAAAAAGAAACTCAATCAGTTGTTGAAACTGCCTTTTTAATGTTGAGCAGATTTTGAATCTACGTATTGCCAAGAAATGGAGCATCCGTTCGGATCTCTCGCAGAGCAGTGCGACCTTTCGTGTGAGAGAAGGCCTCGCGGATGTGGACATCACAGAAGTGAGAGAGAGAGATCTCTTCCAGTGACCTCTGGGGTCCACACCGTACGTAGGGGACAGCACCGCAGACAATAGTAATATTTGTGTCGCACGGCAAGTCAAACCAATAATTTAAATGACAGCTGGAATGTATCCAAAGTGTAGTCGTTGGTGACCATCAACTCGCCATAATACCGTACTTGGGAACCCGGTTTAACCCACAGCTGGCTGCCTGGATTCGAACCCAGGCCCTCAGCGGTGCCTAACTCTGCCACCGCCACCTCTCGTAGACAGTCATTTTTTTCCTATTCATGATAAGACAAACCGTATTAATTCTCAGATGTAATTTGGACAAATTAAGTCCACAACCAGATTTGAAGAGCTGGCAAAAATACACAACCTGACAAACGTGAAGTACATAATAGCCACTGCCAAGTCATCCAGTGGATCTGCTCCGAATGCGTGCCACTGTCCGCAGGCTGAAGCGTGTCTCAGTGCTTCTGAGCGGCAACAGAGGGCACGCAAATGCGGGTCGAGCGAATGCTGCGTTATGTGTACAGCATTGGTCTTTCACATAGCCTGGTTGTTTGATATCGGAATAGTGTCCCAGAAAGTATGAGAAGTTATTTAAAGTTTTTAAAACATGGTGATTCATTCTTATTTTTTTTTTATTGCATCTTTAAATTTATTTGTAGCTATTTTAGCGATAAGTCAAGGAATATGTAGGTCGATGCTCTCCAGTTACCCGGGTGAAAGTGGGCTAAGGCCGAGCCCGCATCTGGCCAACTGGCTCAAAAGGTCACAAACAATAAAACGCAGAGAGCCCTTCCCTGGACTCACGCTGGGTCTCATCGCTCCTGCAACCCAGCTGGGCTCGATTCCGAGCCACAACGCAACGCAGCAATTAGTTACAACTTACCCAGGTGTGACATGGGTATACAGCACCACAAACAAAAACAAATATCCGCCATATAGAAACAGACGACTCGGGCAAGTGCTGTTCGCGAGCACCAATGAAGGCCGGGATAGCGCGCGAGGGGGTGGGTGGCCAGCACAACGCCCTGGCCACCTTTGTCTCCCGAGTGGTGATGTTTACACACCGCACCAGGTAATCATTTGAGGCTGGGACGACCTTGGGGAGGCCCAGGACCGGTTCAGATAATCGTGACTGATGTTGGCTGCGAGCAGGAATCGAACTCGCGTGGCTGGGTTCGTAGCGTAGCGTGCAAACCGCGACACTACCCACAACAGAGCACCGCACGCTCACGCACACAGACTACTTGTGCGTCATTATTGTGCACTTCACAACGGTACGATCGCACAGCAGCTAAAACACAAACGAAGGCACGTTTTGCATCGTCAAAATATCACAAATATCATTTACAAAAGGAGTCATTAATGTCACTGGAGAGGCCTCAGGAAGTGTCACAAAACAATCTCCCGAGCGTTACAAACTGTGAATCGATACATGATCCTTCACACTCGCCTGGAATCGCTCCCAAGTCCGCATCATGTCCCTCGCCCCAGAAAGTCGCTGGATTTTGTCGCTAATCACTTCGACAAAATGTCATCTCGAGGGAAACCCCCAAAAAGTCGCTCGATCTAGCGACAAAATCGCCGAGCCGGCAACAGCTGTCCCAAAGAATGGGCGCCAGGGTGGCGAGATGTTAACTACCTCGCCGGGTATGCAGGAGGTCGTGGGTTCGATCCCGACCCTGACGCCTGCTGCTGTACATTTGGAGTTTGCGTGTTTTCTCTCCCCATGGTCGTGTGGATTTTTCTCCGGGCCTTGTTTTTTTCCCTCCACATTTTGAATCAACATCACGCAGAGTATTTGGCTGCTCTAACATTCCACATGATGATAAGCCACTTCGGTGAGCTAACATTTGTGTGGCCAGGTTGCTTTTGAAAAAGGGCTCAATAGCTCAGAGGACCTTACCTGGTGAATAAAAAAAATAGTTTTTTTTTCACTCAAGCAACCTCCCGGCAGCCCGTCAGCAGAGGGCCACGGCGCCGACGCCGCTAATCCATCCTCGTTAGGGTAACTCCCCCCCCCCTCTGCGCGGGGACGACGGAGAGGTGCCGTCAGCCGAAGTAGGCCCAGAGGAAGATGCCGGCGGACATCCAGACGAGGAGGCACGAGTTCATGAGTCGCCTCGCCCTGGGATTCTCGTACAGGGCGGCCTCGACGTCCCCCACGGGTGGCAGCGGCGCCTCGTAGCCCCGCTGCTCCGTGCCGGCGCCCGAGCTCGACGGCCCGTCCAAGCCGCAGAACCACAGCAGCGCCCGCTTCCACAGTGGCCGGCGGCGGGGCAAGCTGCCGTCGGAAGCTGCGCGCACGGCGGGGGGGGAGCGGGGGGGGGGGCACGGTGGTGGTGGCTGAGTGAGTCACATCGACTGATGACGGGGCGTTGATGCCAAGTGCCAAACCAGTGGTCGTCGGATTAACTCTCGCAACACATTTGCAAATGGTGTGGCTAAATGCTTTGGTTTTGCCATCAAAAAAGTGTTGCAGCGCTTTATAGGATTTTTATTTGGGATTAAAAGTGTTGGAGTGAGTTATAGAATTAGTATTTTGGATTAAAAGCTTTATATCGTCTAACAGGATTATTACTCGTGATTAAAGGGTTATAGCGCTTTGTAGGATTTTTCTTTAGGATTAAAAGCGTTATAGTGTGTTCTGAGTTTCTTATGGGATTCGCAGTGAAACCGCACATTTTTCAAACCTCTCCCCCATGCTACTCCAGCGACTCCACCGTGGCGACTCCACCGTGACTCACCTCCGTCTCGCGTGGGCTCCGAGTCGCCCTGCGCGATGGACGCGTCGTCACGGAACGACACTTTCTCGGTCCCCCCGGCGGCGTCTGCGTCGGCGGCGATGACGCGGGCGTCGTTGCCATTCCGGTCCTCCGCCGGCGCGAGGGGCTTGTCGTTCCGCGTGAACCACGTGAGGCGCACCAGCTGTCGGCACACGGCGCGGATTCAGCGATGCCCCCCCCCCAAACGGCGTTACTGGCGGCCTACGAGCCGACCACACCGCAACGGCGCAACCGCTCTCGCCACAACCCGGGAAGCTAAGCAGGCGTTTGAGCCTGGAGGGGGCCCTTGGATGGGAGCCAGTGCAGCAAACGGCAGGGTGGGCCAGATGTCTTGTGACCCCCCCCCCCCCCTAACTAATTGGCCCCGAACATTTTTGTTCCTTTGCCATATTCATTTCTGTTTTTTAAATAAACCTTACTTTTAAAAAAGTACATTTATGCTGTGCTATGCGTGCTTATCACTGGCCAGCGCATTAAGACATTAACTGTTTTGATGCTGTCTTTCGTAACAGAGAAACGCTTTTTACGGGCATTCGATAATTATTTCAAAGGATTCTGGTTTGCGGCAATGTGACTGGCAGAGGGTCGTGCAGAAAAATCCATTGTTATTGTGCTGTACATGGCCCCACGGTGGCAAAATGTTAACTACCTCGCCTGGTATACAGGTGGTCGTGGGTTCGGTCCCAACCCTGATGCCTGTATATTTGGAGTTTGCATGTTATCACCGTGGTCGCGTGGATTTTTCTCCAGGTCCTGCGGTTTTCCCCTCCACATTTCGAATCAACATCACGCGTTTAGAGAGTTTGGCTGCTATACATTTCCAGATGATAAACCACTTCGTTAAGCTATCATTTGTGGCAGGTCGCTTCTGAAAAAGAGCTATACAGCTCAATGGCCCTTGACTGGTAAAGTAAAAATATTTACACTATGAGACCTCCTTTACCAGTGGCAAAATATAGTAATAGGTTTTAACCCTTTCAACTGGTAAAAACCTATTACTATATTTTGCCACTGGTAAAGGAGATCTCATAGTGTAAATGCTTACCCCAAGCTCTCAATACTCTGATAGTGCGCTGTCTTTGAGTTGTACGCTTTTGGCGTCATCTGGTCCAACACCAATGGAGACTAGGCTCTAAGAAAAGCTGTCTCGGGTGTGGACCAATCAACTTCAAGGACAGTGCATATCGTTATCATCATCAGAGTTGTTTATTTTTGTTTGCATTTTGACTGCTTGTGTTGTGGTTATTGCAAACATGATGCCTTGTATAAAGGTGTCAGTTTTTGTACCAGTTTAAAGGATAAAAACCTATTACTAAAGTAAAAATAGTTTAGTTTTAGTTGACTATGGCCACCTGTACCAACCAATGTACAATGTACATTACTGGGGGGGGGGGCCTTTAAACAATGCGGGAGCCTCACGGAAATCTCAGGAACGTACGGGCCAACCGCACTCGCGCACGCCACCCCCTGCAACGGTCCTGTCACCTGGTCGGGCGTTGGCGCGTCGGTGGCGAGGCTGACGGCCACGATGACCACGAGGGTGATGAAGGAGAGGAGCATGGAGAAGTAGAGGTAGTGCACGTAGCGCGTGACGGACGGGCGCGTGTCCTCTTCGCCGCAGCCCGGCTCGGGGTACACGAAGTCGAGGACCATGCGCGTGAGGCCGACCGCGAGGCCCACCATGAGGCCCCAGAACGTGCCCTGCGCTCCGCACGTGTCGGAACCGCGGTTTGCGGCCGTTCTCCGATTAGCACGCAAGGCCCAAATTCGGGCTTTGGGCAATTGTTATATTTTTTTATCGTTGTTGTGCAATAAGGTGTTGTAGTACTAGTAGCTAGATTTGCAATGTGACGTATTAGCGTGATTTTGCCGTGCGATCTCATTGGCCCATTTGGACTGGACCCAAAAAACAAATGGGCAGGTGAGGAGGAATCTTTGGGAACTTAAAGCCAACTGAGGACGCAAATGAGCAATGAAGCGGACACATTTTTGAAATTTCTCTACGCAGACCGGCTCACTGGCCCGCGGAATGGACCACCCCATCGGGCAATTGCCCTACAGACTGCTGTCCTATGGCCCCGTCCGGGCTTTCGTACGGTGCGACAGAAGTTCAAGATACGTGCGTGCGCGCGTACGTTCTGCGGCACTCGCAGTCACCAACTCGAGGCTCGAATGCGTTTCAGTTTTGTTGCCAGAAAAAAGGGGAAAAACATATTGTATTTTGGTACTGGCAAAGGAAGGTCCCATGATACGTTTGTCGAGTCGAGGATTCGTAAGCAGTGAGCAATCGCAGATGTTGCTTGCGCGCGTGTTTTTGTTTGCGCTTGTGTGTATTTACGTCTTTGTATTTTGTGCGTTTTGTATGTGTGTGCGTATGTGAGCATGTTTACATGTGTCTGGGTCAATGTGTGTCGATATGTTTGTGCGTGCTAGTGTACGTCTGTCTGGCGGAGCTGTTTCTGGAGGAACCCCTCGGGTTCTTTTGGTAAATTCACGTAGATAGAAAATAAAATTCAATAAAATAAAATTAAAAATAAAAGCAAAAAAAACCCACGACGTTTCGAAAGCAAAACAAGCAGTCTTCATCGGGCGGAGAGAAAAGGATGAAATGTAACTTTAATTTTATTTTTATTTTCTATCTACGTGACTTTACCGAAAGAACCAAAGAATATGAACCCCTCGGGGTTCCTCCAGAAACAGCAAAAATCCACTTCGACACTTCGCCTGGCACAGGCGCCGGGGTGACGTCACTGGCACTTAGCGAATGGCGGTTGTTGTTGTTATGTATGTTAGAGGCTATACGGCGGATCTTGGTGGGTGTGTGTCCGAGTGTGGGTCTGTCTACCGTTGAGAGCGGTGGTGCAGTGGTTACCACACCATGCAATAAACCCGGCAATCTGAGTTCGATTCCTGCTCAAAACAAACATCAGTGACAATATTCAAACCGTTCGCAGGCCTCTCTTAGGTCGACTCAGCCTCAAATGAGTACCTGATGCAGTGTGTAAAATATTGTCATTAGGAAGAGAAAGGCGGTCGGGGGCATGATCCTAGGCCACCAACCCCCTCGTGTGCTGCGCTGGCCTTCATAGATGCTCGCAAATAGCACTTGCCCCAACAGTCTGTTAAGGCTATACGGGGGGGGGGGGGGGATCTTTGTCTTTGTGTGTGTGTACGTGCGTTGTGCGTACGGTCTCGTTGGCCCGCCTCCAGGCGCAGGCCAGCATGAACGCGATGGCGACGGGCGGCTGCAGGTAGGAGCTGATGGCCTGGATGTAGAAGAAGAGCTGCCCGCCCTGGCTGGCCTGGACCACGGGGATCCAGACGATGGACACCACGACGAGCACCAGCACAAACACCCTGCAGCACACGCACAGACACCCTGCAGGCAAATGCATAGACACGCTGTGCTTTGGACACCGGGACAGTCTTTCTGAAACTGGGACTGTCCAGACCAAACCGGGATGTTTGGAAGCTTAGCAGACTCAGACTCGGAAAAAGCCGCTGATTTAAATGTAAATTAGTTTAAACGAATGTGTAATGAAATGCGAATGTGTAATGAAATGCTAATTATTTACCCAGTCGAGGCTAATTCAGGAGAGCCTGAGATTGTTGTGCTGTATGTATGTTGAACTTCTTACGCACCGTACGTAGCCAATCGTGCTAATCGGAGGTGCGGGGGAAGGACAACAAACTAAACACAAAAAGCATTTAGAAAAAAAATAGTTTTCGATATAGATTTAAGTGGCTTCCTAATATCGGAAGGAAGAGTGTTCCAGATGGCTGCAGAAGCACATCTGGAAGCGCACGATGCAGCGATTAGAGTGTTTTAGCACTAGGTATGAAATCCAAAGTATCTGAAAAAAAAACACAGTTGGGGGGGGGGACACTCAACATTGCCATCTTTTGGTAAGACTTTCAAAGCCACGTGACTACAACACCTGGGCAAGCCCTTTTGGTCACCAATCCAAACATTAACCGACCTCAAATCTGCTTAGCTTTCGATATCCGACGATATCGGCAGCACTTACGGAGATGTTTTGTTTCTTCTGGGCAACGAAAAGTACTTTCCACTCGCGTGACCTTGCAGGAAACAAGCTGGCAAGGGCCCCGTTGTTTTAAAAAAAATTAACGGACAAGTAAATGATCGGTGGGGCGGGGGCCAGGGTGGCAAAGCTAGCGCCAGGCGACGCGTGGCTCTCGTCCAGAAAACCCAGGGAGAGAGGCACGCGACGGCGCGGGGTGTGGGAGGGCGCCAAGCGTGGAGACCTGCCGACGATCATGAGCTCGCGCTCGGAGGCGCGCGGGCGGATGTAACGCCACAGGTCCATGGTGAAGATGGTGCTGGAGGAGTTGAAGATGGAGGTGAGCGAGGACATGAGCGCGGCGATCATCACCGACATCATCAGCCCGCGGAGCCCTGAAGTGGGGCACACGGTGACACGTGGGTGACGCACGGGCCGACAGACACGGAGACACACGGAGGGGGACACGGGGACGCTGCGAGGTCGTGTACCACAGGAACTCACGTAGTTGTACAATGTACTGCAATACACGTAGTGTATGAACGTAAATTAAACCGCTTGAATCGCTGGGCAGCGCTCACCCTCCGGCAGCAGCTCCATGACGAGCTTGGGGTAGGCAATGTCGGTGCAGCTCACGCGGTTCTGGCACACGGCCTCGCACACCTCGGGGTCCACGCACGCCACCTCCTCTGGACAAGAGACAAAGATCCCCCGTGTAGCCTTAACAAACTGTTGGGGCAAGTGCTGTTAGCGAGCACCAATGAAGGCACGCACGGCGTGCGAGGGTGTGGGTGGCCAGCACAACGCCCGGCCGCCTTTGTCTCCCGAGTCGTCTTGTTTATTACACACCGTACCAGGGACTCATTCGACCTAGAGGAGGCCCAGGACTTATTCAGATAATCGTCACTCGTGTTGGCCGTAAGCAGGGAACGAAATAAGGACTCCGCGTTCATAGGCAGTGCGCTGACCACTGCATGTCTCTCTCTCCGTGGTCGTGTGGATTTTCCTCCGGGTCCTCCAGCTTTTCCCTCCACATTGAGAAACATACGTTTAAGAGTATTTGGCTGCTATAAATGTCCACGCCATATGCCACTTCGTTGAGCTATAATTTGTAGGCAAAGTCGCAACTGAGAAAAGAGCTACATAGCTCAGTGGGCCTTACCTGCTAAAATAAAAATAGTTTAGTAAAAAAAAAATTAGTTTTTTAGTTTTATTTCCAGGACAGACTGCAAAGCAGCCCCCCCCCCACATTGCTCACAGTGACTGCCCGTGGCGCAACTCACCGGTGAAGAGCACGCGGCTGATCATTCCCGGGAAGACCATCATGAAGAGGGGCAGCACCTTCATTGAGGAGGCAAAGAGGGAGGCGCCCTTGGCGTGCGAGAGGTTCTTGGCGGACAGCGACCTCTGAACTATGACCTGCGGGAGAGTGGAGGGCAAGGCTCGCCGTGTTCGTGCCGCACGTGGACGCTCGCCGCACGTGGAGGCTCACCACGTGACAACGGATATTGTTCCGCGCCCAGCAGCACCACCAGTGGTGGCGCAAGCCAATCGGTGGGGAGATGGGGGCATCACGTGCCGACAAACATTATACTGTATACCAGAAGTCGCAGTTACCTGCAACATTTTTCAGTTAATAAACTAATTACAATTAATTTAATTAGATTTACGAGATGTTTATTAAGGTTATGAGTTTTAGCTGATTTGAGTATTTGGTACACCCCTATGCATTTCATTAATCCGTGGCCCTTTGAGCCACTTGGAGTCCTGAGCTTTTTCTCGGTTTGCTTTACGCCTCGCGCCACCAGCTCGTCAGCGCCGCAATCTCCTTCCGTGCCGTCCACGTCTCAGGGCAATGATCGAGACACATTTTCAAATGGATGGAATTTCCTTTAAGTCACTGATGCACGGCAACATCAAAATAACGGAGGAGAGTAATATCACTCTCTCAAGCTCACGGCCACCAGAAGCTTTTAAAAGCTACTTTTTATATTCCTGGAAACAGTTTGAAAACACTATTCCGCTACTCTACGTCAAGCTTTCCGACTATGGGAGAGTGTCAGAGTAATTCAAACGACACTGTCAGGTGGCGAACGGGAAAGGTTATTTTCAAATAAATTTGGATATGTAAATAAATTTGCCGACTCATGAGTGATGATTGCAACGTTGTGTGAACTGCCCTTTAACAAACGTATTATTCAGCCTGTTTATAAACATAGAAAAAAATACAAACCGTCACCTCATGAACTACCGATTTGGTAATAATTAAAACATTTCACGCGCATGGTCATCGCTCTCGAAGAGAGAGCGACTCAGAGCCGTGAGAGGGGGACCAACAGGCGAGCGAGAAGGCAGCCACACGGTGAGACGGCACCAACAATTCCCCAAGCTCTGCGGTCCTCTATATATTAAGATGTATATCAGCCAATTGATGTTGGAGGAATCTGGAGCACCCAGAGAAAACCCACACGCTTGTGGCCGAAGCACTCTGTATCCCATGCAGATGGAACGAGTGGACTCCACATTTGCCTGTACTGCCTTCTTCTGGCGAGCCAGGGTACGGCTTCCTCCTCGACTCCCACGGGAAGGGAGTTTCACAACATTCGGCGGTGATCCACCGACCCACCGCTGCCACCTCCGCAGTGCCGGACCACAGGCAGCTCACGTGCGTCACCAGCGCCCAAGCTGAACGAAACTACGTTCTGAAGCCACCCGACGCCACCGCCCATCTGGAGGCCGCAGCAACGCGGGCGGAGGGCCGCCGCCACCGTACCTGGTCGGTGCACCAGTACCAGATGGACGGGATGCTCATGCCGACGATGACGGCGGGCCACGGCAGGTCGGAGGTCACGGGGTCGCGGAACATGTGGAAGGCATCCTCGCGCGGGATCCCGCACGTCGAGTTGGGGTCCCGCCGCGTGGGGATCGCCAGGAAATAGCGCTCGTACAGGTTCTCATAGCCGCCGATGTTCCAGAAACCTGACGGGAAGGATTGGGCAACGCCTGTCACGGCCGGCTCGCTGGCAACATGTCTCGGAGGCCTAGTTAAAGGGCTGAGCCTGGAGGGTGTTTGACAGGCTGACCTCTATGCAAGCTGGCTCGTCGGGGGGCATCTGCGGGGATGCGCTACGTTGTTCACCGCGTCAGCAGTTCAGGTTACCTTTGACTTTGGAAACAAACTGCCACTCACTGTATCCCATGAGGATGAGCGCTCCGATGAACATGATCAGCGTCTGCAGCGTGTCGGTGTAGATGACGGCGGCCAGGCCACCTGGGAGGGGATCGCACGGAGGTCACGGTCGGTGAACCGACAGAACAACGCAGGTCCCCCCCCCAGCACAACACAGCGCCCCCCCAAGCACAACACAGGGCCCCCCCCCACTGCCAGAGCACAACACAACGCCGATGTCCATGCTGGGGCTGGGGGAGGAGGGTGGGGGGGGGTCGTGGAAATGCGCGACGAACCTCCGATGGTGTAGAGTGCCGTGATGGCCAGGAGCAGCGCCACCGCCACGTAGAGGTTCCAGTTTAGCGCCTGCTGGATGAATACGGCGCCGGCGTACATGTCCACCTGCCGAGGTGGGGGAAAGCAGACGCCGCGTTTGCCACTCCTCAGAATCAGAATATTTGTTCATGCCGAAGGAATCCGATGAGCTATGAAGCGCTTCCCGATGACGGCTCGCCGCTCATTCGTGTCGCCACGAGGACGAGGAGCCCAGAGGTCGGTGCGCGCCGGGAGGGATGGCGTGGGCGGGCGCTGTGGCAATACGCCGGTGCCTGCCGGATCGTACGATCGCGCAGCTGAGCCCACGAGCCGTTACCGATATCTTGGTGAAGATGTAGATGAAGAGGTAGAGGACGGCGATGTAAATGCGGATGCGTTTGCTCCCAAACCTCCTCTGCAGGTATTCGGGCATCGTGGTCACCTGTCCAGCGGGGGATGACACGATTAGAAAGATGGCAGCAGTGATTCTGTCTCCGCTCGGCTATGCCCACCGCAGATGCCGTCACCGCTCAGGCTGCGGTCTGCAAATCGATATAACGCACGGCGTGAAGCTACGGATTCCTTGCACAGCTCTGCGCGTCTATTAATCCCACGGGCATGCTCTATCCTCCACAGGCCCGCTCGTCGTCGAGACACACCGTGTGGACCAACGTCCCACACTGGGACTCGCCCGGTGACGGCGTGAGGAACAGGACGACCCAAGACACAGAGAACCACTTCCTCACCGCCATCCCACCAACGTTTCGTCTTCCCGGCTTCGGGCTGCCACGACGGCCGTCACGGGGGCCTGCCGCTCAAGAGGCTCCGTACCGGCCAGGGTCCTTGGGCAGCTGCCCCCCCCCACCCCGTCCACACCTGGAGCCAACGCGACCACAGCCCACTCGGTGGAGGTGCTCAGCGACGGGCCGTGCCATCGCGCATTGTCGACGAGTGGCACCTGACCGGTGGACTCGGGGCCCCCCCTCCCTCTACGCCGCTGCTGATGAAGCGGCTGTCCCCTGGCCCAGCAGGATGAGTGTGCAACAATAATAATAACACGAACAAAAACCGTCGGTTACAAGTGTGACGAGCCTCACCCCGGATGCGATGTAAATAGGCAGGAAGACCCAGGCGAGCAGAAGCACCACGAACATGCCCTGTAGGAGACACGTGGACAGTGAGGCCGTGGACAGCACCCTGCACACAACACCCTGCAAAACACCCTGCATGGCTCCCTGCATGACAACCTGCAGTGCCCTGTACGGCGCCCTGCCCAGCACCTTGCATGAGCCACCACCCCAGCTGTGAGTTTTCCGCATCATACGTACCAGTCAAGTACCACTCGCAATAGTTACATGAGACATGTGTATGCAATGTATGCGGGCGTGTGTTGCGTTCACAACACTAATAATGATGTGTGCTAATTGCGTTTGGGTGTATGTGTACACAGCACTATGTGTGTACATGGCACTCGCCCCAACAGTCTGTTATGGGCTATATATGGGGTGGGATGTATTTCTTTGTAATGCAGTACACATTAGGTGCACACGAACAGCCCGTGTTGGATCAGGCCAATCTCAATGGTGTAGCATTCGAGTGTGCAGGGAGTGCAACTGCACCGGAGCCCGTGGGCCAGAGGGCACCAGGCGTTGGGCTACGAAGAGGGTGGGGGGGGGGTAGGCGGAGGCCACTGCTGGTGGTTGGCTGGGGGCCCTGGCGGTGCCAGCTTTAGGCACGGGCAAACGTCAACATCTGTTCAGAGCGCCGGTGGCAAAAACTGTCGGGGCAGCGTCACTTCACCCCATCAACGCTGCACTACCGCGTCCTGCGCTGCTCGCGAAACGGGATCAGCGGGGGGGGGGAGGGTGTGCCGCGTGCGTGGGGGCGACGCGCCGAGAGGAACGGACGTTGAATTCGTAGGCGGCCACGGCGATGCCGGAGGCGGCGGCGCTGCCCGCGAGCCCCATGAAGTGGCCGCTGCCCACGTTGCTGGCGAAGAGAGAGGCCCCGACCTGCATGCGGCGCGCACGGGAACACCACCACCCACCGGCAGCTCGGGGGACTCTCACGCGGCATCGGTCGCATCTCCCCCCCCCCCACCCGCCGCCGTTTCCAACGCTCATCTCCAGCCACAGAGAAAATCCCACCGCTCTCGTCACATGCACGTTTGGCAAACTGGATGTAAGATAAGCTATCATCAGCCATTGTCTATCCACTGCTGGATGAAGGCCGCACTCCCGATGGCGACAGCGTGGGGGGGCGGGGATCGCTCCGTCTCCGCGGCGGCCGGCCTCCTGGAGCTGTTCCGTCCCTTGACTGCCATTCCGTCACCAGCCTCATCCATCGGCCATCATCCCATGAATCCACTGCTAGCTGAAGGCCTCCCCAACGCGGCGTCGGTCGTCGTCGGAGCTGATTGACCGTAATTCACCGTGCTGCTCGACGCGGATCGGTGAAGGGGGCACTCAAGGCTGTGTCAGGTATCACTCGCACCGATGCAAGCCGTGGTGCAGAAGCGTAAACAACTTGGCTGTCTGTAAACAACTCGTTTGTCTGGCACAGCGGGGGAGGCCTTCACCCAGCAGGGGATTGACTAGGGCTGTGAATTATTTACATTCATACCATAACATTGCTAATCTTGCCAGACTTCTAATTGCACACCGGCCACCCTCCCTACTTCTTCCATGCCGTCTCCACCGTCATGATCGCAGTCGCGGGTCAAGTTAACGATCATCGACGACTCAGTTTTTGCTTCGACTGCACGTGGCCTAGAATCGTCCTGCACGACGTCAATCGCTCAACCGTCGAAAATCCGGCACGACCCGGTCGATTAGTTTCCACCTCGATATTTTGCGTGTCGCTGGTAAAACCGGAGTGTGCGCCGCAAGTGACCGGCAGTAGCCGCAGCCGCGTGGCGAGGGGATACTCGATGCGGTGAAGGAGACATTTTTCTGGGTCACGACAACAGATGTCGCACGTTCGTTCGCATGCCCTATCGTGTCTATGGTTGCCACCTATGAGGTGTAACAACAACAAACAACCAGCACGTGTCACGAGAAAGAGAACATCTCACAATATCAGAGGAGGGCAGAACTGGATGTAAAGGCATCGTTTAAAGTGGTCTATTATAATAATTCGACCTAGTATAATGCAAATGACAAGCACTTTTAATGTCCTTAGAAAGACTGAGAGATTTTCCATAACGGTAGCGACCTCCTCAAAGAAGAGGATGACCCCAGACAAACCCAGGGCAGGAGGCAACCCACGTCACTTGTTCGGTAGGAACTCACCGTCCACCAAACCATCTTCTTTCCGGCCAAGAAGTATCCGGTCACCGTTCCCCGCTTGGTCCTCCACATGGACTGTGCGTGGAGATGAGGAATCGGCCGCACACACGCACATGAACACACACACGCACGCACATGAAAACAAACGCACGTGATCATACACGCACATATAGTACACACACACGCGTACGCTTGCGCACATGCACACGCGTGCACACGAACACATGCGCACATGCACATAAACATGCTGCCGCATCACCTCTGCCGCTCTTGCTACGAATGCTATAACCAAGCTCCGTTCTGTCTGAGGCTGTATATGCGGTCTATTTACAAGCATCCACTCAAGAGTTTTTGGCGCTGTGTTTTATTTGTATGCGAGCATTATTTACTGCTGTGTATATTGTTTGCGGTAAGTTCTGGCGTGGGTTTCTAGTAATTTGTTGTTGTTGCTCTTGACATTTTGCACATCCCCACCCTCCCACTGCCGACCATCTTAGGCTGCGGTTCGTCCTTGTAACAGAGCTGCTGAGATCAATGGGGCCGTGGCAGCTGAAATGATAAGAACAATAAAGTTAATGCCTATGAGTCTCTATGCAACTCTATGGATCTCTATGTACCTCTATGCAACTCACTGAATCTCTATGTCACTCGATAAACAAAAAATTCTACATTGTAAATAATAAAAGCAAAAAAACACAATTTATTTTTTTACTTTCTTTTACTTTTTTCATCGTTTTTTTTCTTTTATTATTTTCAAAAAAATTTGTATAAAAATTGATTTTATTTTATTCTTATATTTTTTTCTACGTGACTTTACCGAAAGAACCAAGAATATGAATTCCTGCAGTCACAAAAGTTTGAAGTCAAATTGGTCCTCTCATCTTGCCATGCCGCGTGCATACAGAGTGGACGGAGAGTTTGGCGATTAAATAAAAGAAGTTAACAATCACTCAGTTTTGCTCCGCTCACTCATTAAGTAATAATTGCTCATTCGGTAAGTTTCCGTGGCTGAGTGAATGTTATCCGGCGGAAATTAAACACCGCCAACAAAGTGCTGAGCTCAAGATAGAGCTGTGAATAATTGGTCACCCGGTGGCGTTTAACTTTGGAGAACTTTAACTTACCGTCTGGAGATTCACAGGCCCTATCTATAATCCCCGTACATTCAAGTGAGGTGACCACAGCAGGGATTTAAAACGCACCGTGCAGAAACTTGGAAACGCACACAAGAGTAACGAGAACTAATTGTAAAATATATTTTGTTAAAATATTGTTTGCCCCAGAAATGACCGATCAGCTTCCGCAGCCACTAATTAAATACATCTGAGAACTACCGCGTGTTGCAAAAGGTTACTTAATAATAAATGCGCGTCCACGCTTTTTCCTAACTTGTGCTGATAAGCCGCGTGTGAACAATTACATTTTTTTATGGCACAACTTTATCAAGAATTGTGTGACCAGTAAACACTCAACATAAATCAAGGCCCAGTGAGCGCTGGTATGTACATATTTTGAACTTCTTTCGCACCGTACGTAGCCAACCATGCTAATCTGACGTTCTGGTGGACATAGGGGACAATCCATTTATGGAAACTGCACCCGTTACGAATGACTCCTAACCCTGAACACAAGAACACGCGACTCAACTCCGTTTTACGAGAAAATGAAATGTGATGAAAACGACGCAGGGGTGCCGAGCGCGATGTGGTGGCCGTCACTCACCCACAGCCCCACGGCCAGCACGAACACGAAGTACAGCACCAGCACCGCTATGTCCACGCCCGTGAGGCCGCGGGACCCGAGGACCCCCACGGTGGCCTGCACGCCGACGGTGGGACCCGGCCGGGGAGACGTGGCCGCTCGGCCCGGCACCTCCATGGCGACCTGCACCCCTTGAATCTCGGCAGCGGCGGTGGCCGCAGCGGAGGCAGCGGTGAAAGGAGTGGGATTGAGCTCCGGGGGGCTCAAGGTGCCTCGTCGCCTCGTTCACATCGGAGTTCGCTTGTGCTGCGCCGGAGCTACTGAAGCAGCTGGAGCAGCTGCAGTTGCTGAGAGCCAGCAGAGCGTGCGGTCACCACTCTGGTTGCACGACATCGAGAGGCGGTGGTGCAGTGCCCGGCCACCCGCTCGCGCTGGAACCAGGGTTAAAGAGTAAAGTGTAAATAAATCATTTATCCTGGCCTCCATCCCCCCACCACCTCTCTCTCATGCATATGTATGATGTGAAATTATACCACAGCATTCTTTATTGGATCCTAGTTTATGCCTGCAGCACGCACTCGTGTACGACATTCAAAACGGCGGCAACCTTTGGTCGCACTGGAATGTTTGTGATTTGGGTTTTGATGAAGCTGGTCATGGAATAAGGGAGGCAAGAGTATAAACCTCGACCCCAGTGCAATGGTCGTGACTGTGGGGAGGGGGGGGGTGCGAGGTGTCAAAGGTCAATCGGCTCAACTCTCATCTTCTCCGCTCATCTTCTCTCATCTCTATATTTCTATCATCTATTATGTTCTTTCATCTCTCATCACGGTCACCGCATCCCGCTTTATCAGATGCACTTCTGCGGCCATCTGGAACGCTCTTCCTTCCGACATTAGGAAGCCACTGGCTTCCAAATTTCATAGCTTTGCACTTTTAAATTGAAAAAATAATTATTTAGCTGCTTTTTGAATCCTATGCCATAGCAGGTTTTATACACGGATTACAGATAATTTGTGTTTGTTTAGGCACATATGTTCCTCATTCATTATTAGATTCAGTTTGGGAGGGCTGTCATCTGAGTATGATGAAGGGAACTCACTGTCCATGACGGGTGGGTATCATCACCAACTCGTATTGACCAGCGTGGTGAAGTATGGTCACATTCTCCCCCCCCCCCGCCCCCAAAATTATATTGTAGCCTCAAACACGGTCTTTCGAGTATCTTGCAATTCGCGACTTTATCAAACATGTACGGCCTTTTTGTAAATCCACGCCAAGTATTTCTTTACTGATTTTTGTGTTAAGTTTGTTGTCCTTTCCCCGCACCTCTGACGAGCGCGGTTGGCTACGTACGGCGCGAAAGAAGTTCAACGTACATCTCCGCCCCCTTATCTGCTCCTCTAATCTCATCTGTATGTTATCTCTCGGTCTTCACCGAAGCACAAAGTCCGACCCGGGCAGCCACACAGCCCGACGACCCAAGATGGCTCTGGCCCCAGTGGTCGCAGACATCATCTCTCTTGATCACAATGTGCTCTGGGGGGTGGAGGGGGTTTACAATGAACAATAAAACGAAGAAATTAACAAATAAATGTGACGATTAAATAAAAGGAGTGAAAACTAAATAAAACATCGCCAATGATTAGTGTGTATTTTTAAAAAAGAACGTTATGGAATGTTTTACTGAACATGTAAGAGTTTGCAACCTTGATGCAGACCCCAAACCCAGTTCAGCTCATTCATGCCTGGAGGTCTAATTATCATGACCAGTATCGGATGATAAATCTGAGCCAGACGGCCTCTGGTACTGAAGAAGTAGCAAAGCAGTACACGGACCTTCAGTTAAAGGCAGGTGAGAGCTCATTGAACTTTTCAAGAGACCTGGTCCATTGACAGTCTCATTACACTGGTCAACACACTTTTTCTGGCATAAGGTATTCCAACGGTTTTAAAGTCATTTTGGGGTGCTGATTCCAAATCTGGCATCAGTTTCAAATATTGCATTTTCAATAAAAACTGCATTAGAAAAATATTAAATAAATGTGGATATCTACATAAAATGGTATTATAAACAAACTATTTTAAACACTAAAGCAGTCACTGACTCGCAACAACTTGCAATCATAAGTGACAGAGTTAATTTCGGGTCAATCAATGAAAATGGGGTATGCCGATAGCATAAAAATGTGATGTGATAGAGCAAATCTGAGATCAGATTTGGAATCAGCACCCTGAAATTAGTCTAAAACAGCTGCAAAATTCCAGGCCACAAAAAAATGTGTTTTTTTTGTTGACCAGTGTTAACGAGGGCCACCAGGTTAAGAAGTACTGTACAGCAAAGGAGGGGGGGGGGATTGACGGCCTAAGCAGTATAAATGACTGTTATTAGCACCGACTGTACAAGGTGGTCCAGATGTCGTGTGACCCCTCAAATAATTGACCCCTAAAATTGTTTTTCCCTTTGCGTATTCGTTTCTGCTATCACACCCATTGGTATACAAAAATATTAAGTTTTAGAGAATTGAATGAGAGTCAGAAGACATCTGGACCACCGTGTACATTACATTTTCATATCCACTCCGGATGAAGTCCTCCTCCCCATTGCCCTGTCAGTCATGGGTCGGGTTGTTTGACCATACTTCACCACGCTGGTCGGTACAGATTTATGAAGCGGGGAGGTAGGTTGGGTGGGGGGTCAGGACCGGTTGAGATTTCATCACTGATGTTAGCCGTGGCAGGCAATCGAGCTAAAGTCGTCGGGGGTTCATAGTGCAGCACGCTAGCCATGGCGCCACCACTCCTTCAACACAAATCAATACAATTAAACACCATTTGAAACAACACAGAGCGGTGTGGGCCCGTGTAGTGACGTGCAGCTTGTGCGCTGTCATGTATGCTGTCACCAGACGTTCCCCTATGCAGCCACTGGCTCCCGCCATAGAAATGTGGAATTTATACCACTGCCTAATAGTTCATCTTCTTGGTTCTTTCGGTAAAGTCACGTAGAAGGGAAGTAAAAAAAACATAATAAAATAATATAATTTATTATTATAAAATGTATTAATATTATTAGTAATATTATTAATATATTAATAAGAATAAAAATATAATTTATTATTTCTTTATTATATTATATTATTATATTATGTTTCATATTAATTTTTATTATTTTATTACTTCCCTTCTACGTGACTTTACCGAAAGAACCAAGAAGATGAATCCCTGCAGTCACGAAAGCTTTAAATCGAAAGATGCCTAATAGTTTTAAATAGGCTTTGCGTGTGATTGAATAATCTATATAAATAAAGAGCTTAATCTGTACGTCTCAAAAATCTCTAGGGTACTTCCCGGCAAGTTGGAAATCTGCAGTTTGGTACACAGATCGCTTTTAGGACGCAAACAACAGGAAACATCTGGAAATCCGATATTTTGCATTTTAAGGCCCCCAAATTCCCGATTTTAAGTGCCCCATAAACATGTTTGTGTATGTCATTCAGAAATCCTTCAAAATATAAGAATGCGTTTGTTTTCGTTTGATAGAGCGTTAAACAGCAAATAAAATAAAAGCGAGAACCATTGGTTCTATCTTTTATTGTGTTAGAGATGTCGGATTCTAGTGGTTTTAAAATAAATTCGCATTTTACGTTCAAATTAGATTAATTCGAAAACGGTAAAATATAGGAGCTTCCCTTCATATGGTATTTAGTTAATACATGTTTGTTCTTCCTAATAAATAAAAACGAAACCTTTAAAAATAGCGGTTTCCGATGGGAATTCTTTAAATATAAGTTGAATCAAGTCGTCAACAATGAGTGTTTTTTTTATCGTAGATACAAATAATAAAGAATCATATCAGGTCAATTATTATATTTATTGAAAACTTTTGCCTGGCAAAGACAGGCAAACATTGCTTGAGTGGCAAAATCTGAAAGCTTTATGATCTACTATTAAAATAAATGACACCGCTTTGTGAATTCACTGCTGGATGATGATGGCCCCCCATGCCATATTCAGATTCCAAAGAACACAGGGTGAGATGTTACTATCCTTTGTGCAAGCACTTCCAAGAGTTCATGAACAGTGAGCCTGGTGAAATTTGGGGAGCGCATCGTCAGTAGTGACCCTTTGGTTCCTAGGGTGTTTCGGCCTTTCATACTATACACCCTCCCCAAAGGCGGCCAGCGACAGGGTGATCAATCCTACGCTTGCGTCCCATTCCCAATTAGTCATAGGAGTTGCCTTGTTGTTGGTAGCCAACATCCCATGGGACTATGCATGGCAGGGGCGTCCTCCTCCCTGAGTCAAGCATTGTTGACTGCATACCTCCTGGCCCTCTCACTTTGGGGCCCAGCTGGGGTCATGACTGAAAATGTGCTTCTGGCCACTGCCTTTTGACGTGAACACTTTGATGCTGCCCGTAATCACACGAATGTTCCAAAGAGGCCTTTGCCGATTCGAATAATGTTATTAACTGGTGGATCGCACGTAACCACGTCGTTTTCAGCAGACGATTTTGCAGCTAAATCCATTACTATACTGCACTGCCTATGCTTCACCTATCTTACACCAACCTGCACTGACCAGCGGGGTGAGGTATGGTCAAATAATCTCCACTTCCCACATGTACGTTGAACTTCTTTCGCACCGTACGTGGCCAAGCGTGCGAGGTAAGGACAACAAACTTAACACAAAAATTTAAGAAAAAGTTCTCAATCTAGATTTAAAAGTGCATGATCCCAGTGGCGTGGATTTACAAAAAGGCCGTACATGTTTGATAAAGTCGCGAATTGCAAGATACTCGAAAGACCGTGTTTGAGGCTACAATATAATTTTGGGGGCGGGGGGGGGGAGAATGTGACCATACTTCACCACGCTGGTCAATAAGAGTTGGTGATGATACCCACCCGTCATGGACAGTGAGTGCCCTTCATCATTCTCAGATGACAGCCCTCCCAAACTGAATTTAATAATGAATGAGGAACATATGCACCTAAACAAAAAACTAATTCTGTAATCCGTGTATAAAGCCTGCTATGGCATAGGATTCAGAAACGTAACACGCCGACAAAAGAAAACTAAACAAAGCTGATGAGTGTGCCCGATGCTTTTAGAATCATCTCTTTGCAGGGCAGTGAAACGCCTCCACAGCAATTGCTGCGTGGATCGGACTTAATGAGTTATTGAATTTGTCAATGAATGGTGGATGGGGGCAATCAGTGACAGCACGTGTGGGATAATGAGTAGGCCAATCGAGATCATTGTTGGATGGGCGAATGAGTGGCGAGTGAATTAATGACTTAAGGTGAGTTGGTGAATGATTTAGACTGAGATTATAAACGACGAGGGGAATGAACAAATGTGCCGGGTGAATTCAAAGGGAGGAGTGAATGAAATCGGCCAGGGTGGGGCTGATCGAATGGATGTATTAATTGTTTTGCGAGTGGATACATGAACGAGTGACTTAGTGTGTGAATAAGTGAAATTGTCACCATGGGCGATGCGTGGAATTGAGTGGGTGAGTGAACCTTCGGGTAACTTGTGATTATATTACACTTGTTTAGCCAGGGAAGCCTCATTGAAGACGATGACAGCCGTCTCCATTTCGAACGTCCACTGTTAAGCAGATGTATATCATACATTATAAATCTCAACGTTCATCATACACAGCCCCATCACAAGGGAGAAACACAAATAGAAAAAAAAACATTTTTCCCGTATTGCAACGGCAGTACACCGTATGGACCTGAAAACTCAATTTCCCTCTTAATTTTCCCTGTTCAAGAATACGGGTAAACCGTATAGATTGACATGTATCATGTATGGTCAATACACCCGCAGTATTAATCAGGGCGGCCTGTCGCATTCGAAACGTGACACTCCGTAACAAGCAGTGAACACGCTACGGCTGGACCGCGTTACCACCGCGCAGAACGAGAGTTGCATGCAGTGAGTGGGTGATGTCAATGGGAAGGACATAAATTCCGTGACCCCCAATGACTGTGCGTGAATGAGCGTGTAGGTAAGGTGAACGAATGCACGGCGGAATGAGTGGGTGAGTGAATGGGTGAATAAATGAGTGGGTGACTGAATGAGTTGGTGAATTCATACATGGGTGAGTTAATGAGTGGGTGACTGAATACATTGGGTGAGTGAATGACTGGGTGACTGAATGAGTTGGTGAGTGAATGACTGAATGACAGAATAAATGGGTGAGTGAATGACTGGGTGAGTGAATGACTGGATGATTGAATGAATGGATGACAGAATAAATGGGTGAGTGAATGACTGTGTGACTGAATGACTGGGTGACTGAATGAATGGGTGAGTGAATGTGGGTGACTGAATGAGTGGGTGACTGAATGAGTGGGTGAGTGAATGAGTGGGTGACTGAATGACTGGGTGACTGAATGACTGGGTGACTGAATGAATGGGTGAGTGAATGTGGGTGACTGAATGAGTGGGTGACTGAATGAGTGGGTGACTGAATGACTGAATGACAGAATAAATGGGTGAGTGAATGACTGGGTGAGTGAATGACTGGATGATTGAATTAATGGATGACAGAATAAATGGGTGAGTGAATGACTGAATGAATGGGTGAGTGAATGAATGGGTGACTGAATGAGTGACTGAATTAATGGATGAGTGAATGACTGGGTGAGTGAATGACTGGGTGAGTGAATGAGTGGGTGAGTGAATGAGTGGGTGACTGAATGAGTGAGTGACTGAATGAATGGGTGAGTGAATGACCGTGTGACTGAATGACTGGGTGACTGAATGACTGGGTGACTGAATGAATGGGTGAGTGAATGTGGGTGACTGAATGAGTGGGTGACTGAATGAGTGGGTGAGTGAATGAATGGGTGAGTGAATGAATGGATGACAGAAGACAGAATTAATGGTTGAGTGAATGAGTGGGTGAGTGAATGAGTGAATAAATGAGTGGGTGACTGAATGAGTTGGTGAATTCATACATGGGTGAGTTAATGAGTGGGTGACTGAATACATTGGGTGAGTGAATGACTGGGTGACTGAATGAGTTGGTGAGTGAATGACTGAATGACAGAATAAATGGGTGAGTGAATGACTGGGTGAGTGAATGACTGGATGATTGAATGAATGGATGACAGAATAAATGGGTGAGTGAATGACTGTGTGACTGAATGACTGGGTGACTGAATGAATGGGTGAGTGAATGTGGGTGACTGAATGAGTGACTGAATGAATGGGTGAGTGAATGACTGTGTGACTGAATGACTGGGTGACTGAATGACTGGGTGACTGAATGAATGGGTGAGTGAATGTGGGTGACTGAATGACTGAATGACAGAATAAATGGGTGAGTGAATGACTGGGTGAGTGAATGACTGGATGATTGAATGAATGGATGACAGAATAAATGGGTGAGTGAATGACTGAATGAATGGGTGAGTGAATGAATGGGTGACTGAATGAGTGACTGAATTAATGGGTGAGTGAATGACTGGGTGAGTGAATGACTGGGTGAGTGAATGAGTGGGTGAGTGAATGAGTGGGTGACTGAATGAGTGACTGAATGAATGGGTGAGTGAATGACCGTGTGACTGAATGACTGGGTGACTGAATGGGTGAGTGATTGTGGGTGACTGAATGAGTGGGTGACTGAATGAGTGCGTGACTGAATGAGTGGGTGAGTGAATGAATGGGTGACTGAATAACTGGGTGAGTGAATGAATGGGTGAGTGAATGAGTGGGTGACTGAATGACAGAATAAATGGGTGAGTGAATGACTGGGTGAGTGAATGACTGGATGATTGAATGAATGGATGACAGAATAAATGGGTGAGTGAATGACTGGGTGACTGAATGACTGAATGAATGGATGACAGAATAAATGGGTGAGTGAATGACTGGGTGAGTGAATGAATGGATGACAGAAGACAGAATGAATGATTGAGTGAATGAGTGGGTGAGTGAATGAGTGGGTGACTAAATGAATGGGTGAGTGGGTGAGTGAGTGAGGAAAGGGGGGGGGGGGCACGCACGGTCCGCGTCGCGACACGTGGCTTTGCCTTGCAGGGGGCATCCGGTTTCTTGCGCGCGCCCGCGGGGGGGGGGGGGGTCAGGGGTCAGCACTTCCGTTCAGAGGGGGGGGGGCGTGGGGGGGATACGCGCAACACGTGACGGCGGAATCACAACACGGAGGCGAGGTTACACAACAACAACAACAAACAACAACATCCACAGCGTTACGTATTAGCTACTTACCGCTAGTTATTAATATTAACAAGACGGCTACGGTGGCCGATAGCACAGTCTCAGGAGGAAGACGCGCGCGACGAAAGATGTCCAGTTGACAATTGGCGGGCGTGACGAGGAGGAGGAGAGGAGAGGGGAGGAATTGAACGTTGACTGGACATTTGTGGGGGAGAGAAGAGCTTCATAGCTCATCGGATTCCTCCAGAATTGAGAGGAGGGGAACGGCTGATAGGGAAACGCGAGTGGGGCGGGGTGGGTGGACGGCTTCCAAGAAGAGAGACGAGAGGGGTTAGACGAAGAAAGGGGGGCCATGACAGGATCACTTAAGTGGATGGTCAACGAGGTGAGGAGGAGGTGAGGAAGAGAGAGCGAGATTCGAGGAGGTACACGGAGACCACACGGACCCCAGACGGACCCCACACGGACCGGCCTGGCGGTGAGAGAGGGAGGCAGCGAGGAAGCGAGGCGGGACCTCTCCCTGCCGGCCGGAGTTGACCCCCTCGGTTCGACCCCCTCGGCTCGACCCGGGGTCAAGTCCATGGACGCGTTGACCCTGCTGGGAGTCTACTCGGGGGGCTGCGTCCTGCTGGTGCTGCTCGTGTTGAGCGGACGAGGCCGGGGCTGGCTGGACGCGGTGAGTGGGGACCACATGGGGCATCACCACCCACGTCCCACCCCCCCCCTCTTCAATGTCCCGGCAGATGCCTTGGGGTTGGCCATAGCTGCCTCGACTCTACAAGCAGCTATTTGGAAAGGTGGACGAGCTCTGTGATTGTCCACCAAACGCGATATGTCGGGTGAACGCCACGATGCTCCCCTCGGATTTCAAAGTCGTTCCCATTCAATCGCAGCACAGCGACGAAAAGCCATTGATCACGTCAATCGCTGTCAACAATAACAACCGCGATCAGATCGATACAACTCACCACCGCTCGCCACCACTATCACTCCACCCCAACCGCGACCTCCGCTACTAATTCAGTAGTTTCTCGCAGTTGCTTGACATTGGCCCCCGTGTTGAGTCTCCAACAATAGCTACTTGACATCCCCACACCACCTCACGATCCGAACGCCCACGCGCAAAATGTTCATCGTCTGTACGTGCCGCATGTATAACTTCTTTCGCGCCGTACGTAGCCTTGCCACGCTAATCGGAGGCGCGGGGTAAGGACATCAACCTGAGCACAAAGAGCAGTTCGAACGAAACCGAGGTTTCAATCTAGACGATTTAAAAGTGCATGCAGCTCCGGTGGATTTTTCTCGTATCGGAAGGAAGAGCGTTCCAGACGGCCGCAGCGAGTGATGAGAAGCGGTGCTGAGCCATTATGCCGATTTGCAGTTCCATTCACGCGCCTGGCAATGTGCTCTATCGGCTTATGTCGTTTATTGTGAAATTTCGGTCACAGTTCCTATGATTCTAGATTTGAAGCTTTCGTGACTGCAAGGATTCATACTCTTAGGTTTTTTTTCGGTAAAGTCACGTAGGCCAATCGAGATCATTGTTGGATGGGCGAATGAGTGGCGAGTGAATTAATGACTTAAGGTGAGTTGGTGAATGATTTAGACTGAGATTATAAACGACTAGGGGAATGAACAAATGTGCCGGGTGAATTCAAAGGTGAGTGAATGAAATCAGTGACTTTACCGAAAAAACCTAAGAGTAAGTTCCTATGATCACTGTTACATTGCTTTTATGGCTTTAATTTGGTGATTTCGAAAAGTTTTTTGGTTTGGCCATGTTTGTTTGGTGTAGTACGGAGTTAGACTGATGGCCTTAATCTAAGTTGTCTTGTGGTTGTTGTTGTTTCAGTTGCGTCCCACTGGGATTTTTGCACACAGCGTTGGTGTACAGTGCTTTTTCAGGAATATTTTGCTGTCTTTTCCTGGATTTTCTGTTTGCACATAGTCATATGGTCACTTTAAGATGTTTTCTCGTTAATTTTTTAGTTTTTTGTTTGTTGCGGTTGCACCCGATTCAAGAGCCAAATGGCTCACAGGCTAAACCAAATAAATGAAATGAAAAAATTAAAATGAAATGGCATGTCTCGGGTGAGATCTTCACGCGTGCTGTTTTGCAGGCGTCTCGATGCGTCCCCACGCCTCTGAACTCCGCGGTGACAAAGGTCATCGACCACCTCTTCAACCGCAGGTAACCGCGATGACCATCGCAGGGGTCGGTGTAAGGAGAGGACAGTTGTGGTGTGTGGAGATGCGGAGAGTCAATCACCCACCAAAGACAAAGATCCCCCCGTGCAGCCTTATCAGATTTTTGGGGCAAGTGCTTCTGTTAGCAAGCACCTATGAAGGCCGGGAAGGCGCACGAGGGGGGGTAGGTGGCCAACACCACGTCCGGCCACCTTTGTTTCCCTGGCGATAATGTTTACACACCACACCAGGTACTCATTTGAGGCTGAGTCGAGCTAGGGGAGGTCCAGGACCGGTTCAGATAATCGTCACTGGTGTTGACTGTAAGTGGGAATCGAACCCGTGTCGCAAGTGTCGTAGCGCAGCGTAGCGCTAACCACTGCCGCTCGCCACAAATCATCCACCGTTATCGTTACCACCAACACTGGCGCAATCCTCGCGCAGGTAACCATTTGACTTTTCCTCCCGTGTTATTTGGCAATATGAGGCACTGACAAGAATAAAAGTGTACGGCCTTTATTTAGACAACCCCCGTGATCAAATCACCCGGGATGCTGCCGATCTCGTCATATCTCAGAAGCTAGCAGAGTTGTGCCTGGATGGTGAGTGCTTGGACGGGTGACCATCACGCGCAAGTGGTGTCACTGGACAGTGGGTACACGTGTTGGGCAGGAGAGGGCAGTGCAGTAAAAGACAATGTTCTGTACGGTACTTGGAATTTTTCGCAAAGCTTCGCAAACCGACACAGGCTTGTCCTGTTGGACTGTTACCATACATCCCCTACGGTGGCGTGGGGAGGCCCTTATTCAGCAGTGGATTGACATAAGGGCTGTACGAGGTGAACCGCTGCATGCCTGTGAAGCCGTGGTGGATCTGGCCGTGTGCTTGATTTGCTGCCCGTGTGGATGGAGGCGAGCGCAGGTCGTGGTTCTTCGTGTGGCTGCACGCGGCCCTGGAGGCGGCCGTGGGGCTCGAGTACTGGCTGGAGGTGGCCGGGCTGTGCCACCAGCTGGCGCTGCCCTCCGGTGCCATCGCTGCCCCGTACGCACTTCTCTGCCTCCACGCCTGCTTCTTCTACCTGTGCTGCACGCGCGACCCGGGTCCGTGTGCGCGTCCGTGTGCCACGTCCGTTTCGCTGACGCGGGGGTTTTTTAATTTAATGCGATGACCTTTAACAATACTGAGCTTCGACGGCCCTGGTCCTCTCGTATCAAGCACGGTAGCATCGATCGCATCACTCGGTTATTGACAGTCTCATAGGAAACTGGGCAGTTATACACAGAGCAAGGCTGTTCATCTGGTGTCCCACAGGCCACATCTGGCCACTGAGGGATACAGATTAATGGGAAGAAACATTCACAAGTGGTCATATGTGTGTATGTTAAACTTGTGTCGCACCATACGTAGCCAACCGTGCTTATTGGAGGTGTGGGGGGACGACAAACTAAACACAAAAAGCAGTTCTAAAGAAATGTTTTATAAATCTAAATTTAAAAGTGCATAGCTCCAGCGGCTTCCTAATATATGCACACTGTTCACCCCTTTTGTCCACTGCTGGATGAGGGCCTCCCCAGGCCATGCAGGTGATTAGGGTATTTTGACCGTAATTCGCCACGCTTGTTAGTGCAGGTTGGGGAAGGCAGGAAGTATGGTACAGCCCAACAATTGCTTTTGCTGCAATGCCCTCCTGTGAGGTTTGAGATGAGAGAGAGCTGTGGACAATAAATACAGATTAGTGAGATAAGGTGAGCTAAAACGGGAGGTGAGAAACCTGGAGACAAGGTACACATTAGTGTTCACTGTGTACGGATGTCATGACGTCACGACGCCGAGTGACGTCATAGCGTCTGTGCCAATGGCATATGATATAAAATGATCCGCCAGCGCACGCCGGTTTATTATGCAGCCTACTTGGAAAATGTGGTTGAGGAACCCTGCCCTGATGCATCAGTCACTGTGTACTCCAGTGTGGCATGTAACGATTAGATGTGCATGCCGGTTCACAGTTTGTTGCTTTGTGTGTGTAATTGGCGTCATTTGCTTCTCCAGGCACAATCACTCAACACAACCACGCCAAGCTGAGAGCCGTTTACCCGTACGATGGAAGGCTCTTTCTTCAGGGCCGCGTCTGCCGCACTTGTCTTTTTGAAAAGCCGGCGCGATCCAAGCACTGCCGTGAGTAGGCGACCGCATCTCACCAGCCTCCTGTCAATCTACTGCTGGGTGAAGACCTTCCCGCGGGGGTTGTGAGACCATAACATCGCCAGGCGGTTCAGCGTGGGTCAGTGAAGAAGCGGGGGCTCTTGACCGAATCAGTTATCACTCACCACAGATGTTAGTGGTGACTGGGAATCGACGTCAGATTTGTAGGTTTATAGCCCAGTGATCTCACCACTGCACCACCACTTCCACTGCAGTGGTAATAAGTGAACACGTAGATTAGTTTTTGCAACGTAGACCATTTCTTTTTTGTAACTATTCATTTCAAATTTGAAAATGTTCCTCATTTTTGTACTGCTCTGTAGTGGATGGCACACTCTGCAATCAACTCATTGAGTTCAATTCTCGTCCACTTTTAACATCAGTGGTGAGTAACATCTAAACTGTTTCTTCCACTCTCTCCCCTTCACCAACACTCACTGACCACATTAGCGAAGTGTGGTCAGATTAACCCCCACGACCCATGCGGCATGTATAGGCACTCGTCCAGCGGTAAGATCGACCAAAGGGCTGGTGCATGTGTTAACGCTGAACTTTAATCGCATCTTTGGGACACGAAGCCACAGCAACGCAAGACCCTCTGCTGCCCTCCCAGGTGTCTGTGACCGCTGCGTGCACCGCTTTGACCACCACTGCGTGTGGGTGAATGGCTGCGTGGGCGCGGGGAACCTGCCCCTCTTCCTCGGCTACCTCCTGTCGCTGACGGCGGCGGCCTCCTGCATGGCGGCGGTGATGGTGGCCGCGCTGCACCGGGCCGCCGTGCTCTCCGGCCTCGTCCAGGAAGGCTCCGTCGGGGGCCTGCACGGCGAGATGCCGTCGCTGCCCATCACCGACATCGTTCAGGTGCGCTCGCAGCATCCCCATAGTTCCTCATTTTACGTTGTTTGTCCTTGTGCCCAATGTAATCCCCATTGTGCCATCGGTGTCATGTCATGGGATGAAGAATCCATTAGAATCTCTTGAGAAGCAGTGCCACCTCTGTTCTAAAAAAATGGCACCACAAGCGTATTCTAGAGAACTACCTTTGTGGTCCACACGGTTGAGGGCAGCACTTTCCCACCTGCCCTGCTACTGATAGTATGCTTGGGCAGCTGTGAGGCTCTTTGAACTCGAACCCAGCATTTTAATGGTACCAGCTCAGCACCCTGAGCCAATATTCAGTGGGCCTCTTTACTCACACTATGGACACGTGGTGTATATGCTCTGCAAAGAGCTCTTGTCACATGGCAACCCAGATGTATTATTTGGGAACCCTGTTTCTGTACAGTTGCTGTTCCTCAGCTTTCCAAGGCTGGTCTTCACCCTCGGCTTCCTGATCATCATCTCCGTGCTGCTTGGGGGCTTCACGGCGTTTCACCTTTACCTGCTGCTCATCAACCGCACCGCCAACGAGTGGCACCTGGCGCGAGGCTGCCCCTCTGCAGCACGGCCGCCCCCCTCCGCCGCCGCTGGAGACGTCCGCGGTGGCGGAGCTGCGAGCACAAAATCCCAGCCTGGCGGAGCACCGACTCCAGATGTGGAACGTTCACGGTCGGACTCTGAACCAGGGCGAGACTCTAAAGCTAAACGACGGATCGTTCGACGGCAGCGCAGGGCTCAGCTGGCAGGTCCTGCAGGAGTTCCCGCAGGAGGTTATGAGGATCTGCTCCTGGACGATCGAACGAACTTCTACTCCAAGGGGTGGATGCGCAACATTTCAGAGGCGCTGTGGTCTCACGTTTGAGCTGCTAATAGCGTGATGCCTCTGCCTGTTACACAGCGAGTGTCTTGAACAGTTGTTACGTCCAACCGTGGTTCTTATTTTGCTCACGAACAGTTGTGCGTCATCCGGCAGAACGGCAATGTTGATGAGCGCAAGGTTATTTAAAACCATCGCATATGAAAACATTACCGCTTTGCAAAAAATGCACCTCAAAAATAAAAACGAATTTAACAGTGTTATTTTTCACGTGGCTTTTGCACAAACATAGTACCATGCTGCTTGGTGTCTGGGATAGTTGTGCTGCTGCTACTATTTAGTGTGGTACGCGGTAGCGCCTCTAGTGCCTACAGGATTCATGTGACCCCATTGCACATCGCGTATATTATTTGAAACGTTAATTCTTACACGCAATTCGAGTCATGTATCGTGAGCTTGAGAATCGATTGATTCATCGTTACACCCTGAACCAGCGGTGGCCAACCGGCGTTTCCCAAGCTGCATGCGGCTCTTTAATCCATCACATGCTGCTCTATCAAAGGGGTATAACGTAAGAACGTACTTTCACAGTAGCAAATAATAATGAATTTCTACCATGCTGTGCTGAAAACTATCAATATACACACACTTAGATGTGCGCTTGGCTCTTTTCACAACTCGTGGGTACTTTTTGGTCTGTGACAGGTTGGCCACCCCTGCCCTAAACGCGGTCTGCGTTGCCGTCTTGACGATTGCTGTTTATCGTAAGATTTCCCTTCAAATCCTGGCGCCCTCACCATTGCGACTAAATGTCGCAGACGTCACGATTGTTATATTTTAACAAAAATTACGTAATGAAGTTGAGCAGACGTGAAGATCGGAACGGTTACTCTGAGCTTAATCGATAGCTTCATCGATAAATCTTTGCACCATACGACCCATCCCTCATCACCAACCTCACCGTTTGTCTTCCTGGATTTGACCTGCCATGTAGGTCACGGGCCCTGCCCAGCAGGTTCCCTTCCGTCCAGGGTCCGTGTGCAGCCAACCACCGCACCTGGAGCCAACGTGGCCACAGCCCTCTCGGTGGATGTGTCCAGCGACAAGCCCCGAGCCGACTCACCGATGGTCTCGGGGGCCCCCTGCCTCCGTCTACGCCGCTGATTTAGCGGCTGTCACCCAGTTACGCAAGAAGGGCACACGTTAGTCATCATAATAACTGAGGCCTCTTCATCATAATAAGTTGATGTTCGTGTACTTCTTGCAACGCATAGGCTATTGTATGGCAGCTGTGCTTGTGCCTTTGTAATCTTTACAGAACGCCTCGATTACTGCAGAACTGTCTGATGGTGATGTGACGAATCCCAGACTGAGCGTCGGGCGAGTTCCACGTACAATGTGTGCAATGGAGTTCTTGAACGTCGAGGATCGCGTGTTGGGTTTACTCGATCCATGGACCGCTGGAACGGGCACTCGGGTCACGCGAGCGAGTGAATCTGCACGCTGCAAGCGGAGCGGCTACAGTGCGCGCGTCTCTTCTCGGTCGGAAACCGGACTCGGGTGAACGGCCTCCCAATGCCGCGGTGGAATTCAAACCCGGGGAGCGCCCTTTTAGCGGCGCGTGGGGGGGGAGGGGGAGATGCATGAAATCACATGGCTCGCCAACAAAAAAAAATAATGCACAAATGAGTGTCATTGTGACGGGCGGAGAGGACTCCGCCGGTCGCCCTGCGCCCGTCTCGCACAATGGGGGGCCCTGTGTCGTGAGCGGGTACGCAGGGGCCACGGCGCTGACAGACGGTAATTGCAGACTGCCGGTGCTGCCGAGAGAGAGGGGGGGTAATGGTTCCTGGGATGAGCCGTGGACAACACCCGTTGTTGAAATGGATGTCACCTAAGCCGTAAACGGCACGCGCAACCGCTGCGGCCGCCATGGCGCTGCGTCGTTCCCTTCGGACGAATCGCCATGGAACGCGTCCGATTTTTTTGTCAGAGCTGGGAAGTTAAAAGCGGCATGTTGAGCCTGGTTTGGTGCTTAGCATGGTCTGGCCACCGTGCACAGAAGGTGTTGTAGGCTGGTGCAGGCTGTGTTCCCAGCAGAGGGCAATGCAGCAGCAGCAGCACCCGTTGCGATGCACGATGCTTCGAGGTCTCTATGCTCCCTGTCTTCAACCCGCACCGGGCAGCGTGGTGAAATATGGTTAAAATAACCCCGACTACCTGATTGGCGCGGGATGGCCCTCATCCATGCGGAGTTGCATGCTTGGAAACGGCAGCGAGAGACAGTGGCGCACACATTGATCAGAGAACTAAGTCGGGGCAGGACACGGCGGCTGGAAGCGATGATGGTCGCTGGTCGTGACAGAATAGCGGGCAAAGGAGAAGAACACGCGAGTGAGACCGAGCAATGAAATCATCTCGTCTTCAGGTGCTAGATGGATGGTTTCATCTTGCGATCACGAGAGGAGATGGCACTGGGCCGGAGAGACCTCGTTCAGCAGTGGCTCGATCGTGGGTGATCATGATGACTACAGTCCACAGCTTTTGTTAAGTTCAAGTGAAGGAAAGTGGCTCCGACTTGTCGAGGTGAAATTCGTGGTGGGGCAGAGGGAGAGGGGCTAGAGAGAGAGTATAGTAAGCCCCCCACCGCACCCCGATTTGCAAATTGTTGTTGGAGACAATAGCCACGTCTGCCCCCCTCCTCCCCTACTACCCCTTGTGTGTGATCACCCTGGGCTCGCCGCCAGCTACACCTCTCAATGTGCCTGGCTCTAGGCAGTCAGCAGGAGTGCGGAGGCGATGGCGTGGTGGGGGGGGGGGGGGGGCACGGACGTGGTGGGGGGTTAGAGTGGGGGGGGACCTCCCACGGGGAGATGGAACAGCGATCGCCCCTCGGACGGTAGAAGGCGCTGCTCTGGGGGGGGGGGGGGGGGTCGTGTCCACGTGTGCGCAATGTTTCCCGCAGTCCCGTGCCCAGAGCTGGGACTGCAGCACGAGGCGCGGTGACACCACGTGACGCAGGGGTCGCTGCGCGCCCGACCCTGAGCTCAGTCCGTGCCGATCCGAGACTGCGGGACGCTCCGTGGGCAGCAGGAGGGCAGCAGGAGGGCAGCAGCAGCGGCAGCGGAGGGCAGCGACTGTCCCCCACCCAGCCCCCCCCCCCCCGCGGGGCATGGGAGGATGAAGAGCGCTGAGCGGCCCGGATTCATCCCAGGAGCGATGTTGGACGCGCGGCCAGAACTGCGGAGAGACCCCGAGGCGCACGTGAGAGATCCTCGTCGTCTTTACCAAACTTCCTGTCGTGCTGCAAATTGTCGACGCTTGCAAATCTTCTAGGTCCAGAAAAATGTTAAACATTTGTTCTGCGATACTGCGGTGGCAATGGCGCACATGTGCAAATGCACATGGTCCATTTTTCGTAGATTATAATCCGAAAATTAAGAAGGGCAATTGCCCAAAACGTCGCCTGATATATATTAGTTTACCCTAAAGGCGGTCTTCTTGGCAAATGCGATCAGCTGTTGTTATTTGTTCTCGTGTCGCGCGCACTCCGTGTTCACCAAACTACTACTCACGCAGAGCGCCAATTCACGTACGCTAATTATCGCGGGGCGAGATGGAGGATGTAACTGCATCCGCAGTTGACTTTGATGATGATGATGATTCTCACGATAATATAGATTAAGCTGCTGCTGTTGATAACAGTGACTTGATGACAACGTGACAGTGATCATGCTCATGATGTCGCCACATTACCTTGCTGCTCTCGTCAAGGAGGATGAACCATCACGTAACTCCGGTCATCATCGCAGCCGCAGCGGCTTGTGGCTGACCATCGAACAAAGGCGGCGGTCACCGCATCGCGAACTTTCAGATGCGATTCTGCGGCCGTCTGGAACGCTCTTCCTTGCGATATTAGGAAGCCACTGGAGCTATGCACTTTTAAATCATCTAGATTTAAAACTCATTTTTTTAGAACTGATTTTTGTGTTTAGTCTGTTGTCCTTCCCCCGCATCTCCGATTATCCCGGTTGGCTACGTACGGTGCGAAAGAAGTTCAACACACGTACTTACAATGCTGCACGTGATGTATTTGATAGTAACGATGAACATTGACAGTGATTGGTATTGCTGATGATTCCGCTGCTGGTGCTCCTGTTGAGCATAACGATGATGATTTTAATCATGTTGCCGCTGGTGATGGTGAAGATGATAAACGAGACTGATCGTAACTGATGATGCCGCTGCTACCGCTGCTAATGATGACAAATTGTCGCTGATAAGTGATGATGGGTGCTGCTGCTGCTGATGATGATGATGGGTGCTGCCGCTGCTGATAATGATGGGTGCTGCCGCTGCTGATGATGATGATGACAAATTATCGCCGATAACACTGTGTAACAACAAAAAATTGTTCCGGGTAGTAAGTGTCATTTCCTAATTGCTTATGCCTCAAAAGTACAGAAAATGGCTCTTATTACCCACAAACTTTGCGTTTGTGACCAGGACAGTGATATTTTGAAATTTACCTATTTTCAATGAGAAAACGTGGTGTGCATTTGTGTCTTTCGTTCACATAAAGTCCTGGTCACAAAAAGAAAGTTTGTGGGGAATAATAGACATTTAAAAAAAATACTTTTTAGGCATATGCAATTAAAAATAACACTTAGTACCCAGGAACAAAAATTGTGTTACATTGTGTAATCGCAATGATTGATGCTGCCACCGCTGCTGCTGATGACGATCCTGATCCTGCTGCTGCTGATATTGTTCCGCGCGCTTGCCCCGGGTAGGGCACAGACCCCCTTTGCTCGCGCTGCTGCGGAGTGGGGGCAGCCGCCTCCCTGGGGGGGCTGCCTGCTCGCTGCGGGAGTTCCCGGTGTGGTCTCCACGCGCTCGGGGGGGCGGCTGCCCTTGGCCTCCTCCTCCTCGCGGCGTGTCTCGGATTCCTGTCGCTACTCGGGCCGCGACGCGGGGAGCCCGTGGAGGTGAGCGCGCGTGGGATATTAACCCCCCCCCCCACGCGCCCACCACCTTAGACATTGAGTGAAACATGAGATGTTAGCCCAGTGTTCTTCACTAATTTTAGAGGTGGGGGGGGGGGGGCAATTTCGCCGATAAGATATCATCAGTGTGAGGGCAGCCAAACATTTGAAACCATTGGGGGGTTGACAGCAGCACAATGATGATGATGGTGGTGATGGTGGTGGTGGGGTGTTTTCACATTTGTGTCTTATCGGGGGCCGGACGTCAGGGGCCGCTCTGAAGGCCACCAGGGGCTGCCAGTGGCCTGCGGCCCTTGCAATGAAGAACGCGGCCTTAGCCCTTTGCTCATAATTTCTGTCCACGAGGGGCTGGTGGTCAGAGCCAATTGGAGGGATAATGCAAACAGTAAATATTCATTCTAGATTTGAAGCTTTCGTGACTGCAAGGATTAATATTCTTAGGTTGTTTCGGTAAAGTCACGTAGGTAAAACATTAAAATTAATAAAATAAAAATCACGACGTTTCGGAGGCAACACAAGCTTCCGTCTTCAGGTGCTGTGACGGTTCCACCTGAATACGGAAGCTTGTGTTGCCTCCGAAACGTCGTGATTTTTATTTTATTTTACTTTTATTAATTTTAATGTTTTACCTAAGTGACTTTACCGAAAAAACCTAAGAATAGTAAATATTCAACCCCGAAACTATGTTATTATTTTACCAGGTAAGGCCCACTGAGCTATATAGCTGCTTTGTTAAAAAAAAGCTACCTGGCTATCACAAATGATAGTTATTGTGTGGACATTTATATCAGCCAAATACTCTAAACGCGTGATGTTGATTCTAGATGTAGGGGGGGGGGGGGAAACCGGAGGACTCGGAGAAAAATCCACGCGACCACGGGGAGAGAGAGCCATACAAACTCCAAATACACATTCGTGTAAACAATTGCATTGTTTTAATGCACCACTGGTGTATTTTCTGTTATGAAGGTCCATTGGCTGAAACGTCGCCTATTACATATATATTTTTTCCCTTTAAAGGCCAGCTTTATTGACGAACGTGTTGAGTTGTGTTTTTTTAAATTGTACTCGTGTACCACTGCACCACAGCAGCATCGCCAGACAATGGACTAACTTAGCAGTAAAGCGGCGCCCAACGTGAGAACGGTTGAGAAGCCGCCTACTCCCAGATGCGTGCGCGGGGCTAGTGGCCGGGTGGGCGTGGTTATGTAAAAGTAGGCGGAGCAGACGGAGGGGGGGGGGCTGCCAGCTCACCACGTGTTCTGGCTGAGCCTGCGAGAAATGTGGTACAAGTGATAGCGTGAGCAAGAAGTCGGGGGTGGGGGTCTGTCCCAATTGGCAGGTAATTATTGGTGCTCAACGTATATTTGTTCGTTACGTGGAATGTTTACTTTGAGCCGGAGCTGGTCGCCCTTCAAGAGTACGCAATGAATGCCAAGGTGGCGAGATGTTATCTCTTGTATTCATTAAATGAAGCATCTCTTGTCACTGTCCAGCAATAGTCTGCAAGCATTGATGGGCTCCATTTGCCCTGATAGCGTTTCTCCATTGTGTCAATGTCCTGGTTAAATCGCTCGTCGCTCACTGAACCGCAATTGATAGCTTGAAAGCTTTAGCGCGGGGCCCTTGAAAGTGCGGGGCCCGTAGCATATGCTACTTTTACTACTAGGATAATCCGGCACTGGGTGTACCGTCTTCCTCCCACTTGTGGAGTTTAACCGAGGGTGTGGATAGCATGGATGCCAGCCCACTGGGTGCACCCCTCCCCCACCCCTCACTGCTCGCATGTCTCGGAATCTTTCAAAATCAGAATCTTTATTTATACTGGAGGAATCCGATGAGCTATAAAGCTCTCTTTCACAGATGTCCAGTAAATGTCACAGATCTCCAGGAGATGTCACAGATCTCAAGTAGATGTCACAGATCTCCAGTAGATGTCACAGATATCCAGTCGATGTCACAGATCTCCAGGAGATGTCACAGATCTCCAATAGATGTCCAGAGATCTCAAGTAGATGTCACAGATCTCAAGTAGATGTCAGAGATCTCCAGTAGATGTCACAGATGTCCAGTAGATGTCAGAGATCTCCAGTAGATGTCACAGATCTCCAGTAGATGTCACAGATCTCCAGGAGATGTCACAGATCTCCAATAGATGTCACAGATCTCAAGTAGATGTCACAGATATCCAGTAGATGTCCAGAGATCTCCAGTAGATGTCACAGATCTCAAGTAGATGTCAGAGATCTCCAGTAGATGTCACAGATCTCCAGGAGATGTCACAGATCTCCAGGTGATGTCACAGATCTCCAGTAGATGTCACAGATCTCAAGTAGATGTCAGAGATCTCCAGTAGATGTCACAGATCTCCAGGAGATGTCACAGAACTCCAGTCGATGTCAGAGATCTCCAGTAGATGTCACAGATCCCCAGTAGATGTCACAGATCTCCAGTAGATGTCACAGATCTCCAGTAGATGTCACAGATCTCCAGTAGATGTCACAGATCTCCAGTAGATGTCACAGATCTCCAGTAGATGTCACAGATCTCAAGTAGATGTCAGAGATCTCCAGTAGATGTCACAGATCTCCAGGAGATGTCACAGATCCCCAGTAGATGTCACAGATCTCCAGTAGATGTCACAGATCTCCAGTAGATGTCACAGATATCTAGTAGATGTCACAGATCCCCAGTAGATGTCACAGATGTCCAGGAGATGTCACAGATCTCCAGGAGATGTCACAGATCTCCAGGTGATGTCACAGATCTCCAGTAGATGTCACAGATCTCCAGTAGATGTCACAGATCTCCAGTAGATGTCACAGATCTCCAGTAGATGTCACAGATCTCAAGTAGATGTCAGAGATCTCCAGTAGATGTCACAGATCTCCAGGAGATGTCACAGATCCCCAGTAGATGTCACAGATGTCCAGGAGATGTCACAGATCTCCAGTAGATGTCACAGATCTCCAATAGATGTCAGAGATCTCAAGTAGATGTCACAGATCTCAAGTCGATGTCACAGATCTCAAGTAGATGTCAGAGATCTCAAGTAGATGTCACAGATCTCCAGTAGATGTCACAGATCCCCAGTAGACGTCACAGATGTCCAGGAGATGTCACAGATCTCCAGTAGATGTCACAGATATCCAGTAGATGTCACAGATCTCCAGGAGATGTCACAGATCTCCAATAGATGTCCAGAGATCTCAAGTAGATGTCACAGATCTCAAGTCGATGTCACAGATCTCAAGTAGATGTCAGAGATCTCAAGTAGATGTCACAGATCTCCAGTAGATGTCGCAGATCTCAAGTAGATGTCACAAATCTCTAGTAGATGTCACAGATCTCCAATAGATGTCAGAGATCTCAAGTAAATTGCACAGATCTCCAGTAGATGTCACAGATCTCAAGTAGATGTCAGAGATCTCAAATAGATGTCACAGATCTCCAGTAGATGTCACAGATCTCAAGTAGATGTCACAGATCTCCAGGAGATGTCAGAGATCTCAAGTAAATTGCACAGATCTCCAGTCGATGTCACAGATATCCAGTCAATGTCACAGATGTCCAGCCGTCTCCCCCGCAGGTGGCGCTCTTCCTGGTGTTTGAGGACACGCGGGGCCGGGACGTGAACGAGACGATCGTGGTCAGGAGGGACGAGGAGGTCGTGACCTTCCACACGCTCGGGTCCGCCGAGCAGTCTCATTGCGCACTCTACGACTACCACAACGTGAGCTCACACCGTGCAACGGGGCAAGTGGGGGGCTCTGCCCCCCCCCCCCCCACACCGCACTCCCCTCTCAATTAATGCATTTTGGGCAGCCTTCATGAGGATATTTCATCTACGAATCATGAGTATATGTGGAATCCGCACTAGTTTTTTTTGCACAAAGGCTATCAGGAAGGCGCTGTGTTTCACTTCTTTGCAGTAGGGGGGGGGGTCTATGATCGCCACGTGTTCTCCAAATCAATAAAGCAAGAAAGTTGAGGGTGGTCTTTCCACTTGTGAAGAATTTAGACCACAAAACCCCTTTGGCTCCTGGATTTCTGACCGGGACATTTTACGTTCACTGGGAAAGCAGAAGACGCGAAGCAGTCACAGCTCACACACCCTCGCATGATTAACCAGGGTGGCCGTGGCTCTCGCACCACGAACCTCTGTGCCACGCGGCAAATGCGCTAACGGCTCGGTCATGTCCCATCCAGCAGTGGATTGATCATGACCTATAATAATTATAATGACGACAGATCGAACAACAACAAAAACTCATGAACATGTCCCGACTCACCAAACATCCCAATCTAGACCGAAACCTCGTGGAAAAAGGCCTTTACGCCTTTCTTGGTCAGCAAATGTCATCATTCTATTACAACGCAATTATTCATGGGATGTGGAGTGGGGGGGCTGGATGAGATGAGCGCCCCTCACCCCGCACCTCCCCTGAGTGGGGGGGGGGGGGGGTTTAGACCCGGCCGGGTGTCTGTGCTCGTCCGCGCGTGTCGCGCACTGAGTGAGGCTGAATATTCCCTTTCCCCTAAGTGACAGCCGCACAAATAGGGCCGCGCATTCGCTGCGAGGCGACGCCACTGTCACCATCTCGCGTTCCAGCGGCGGGGAGCGTGGGGGTAGGATTACCCCCCCACCCACCCACTACCCACCGGCCCTCAACCTCCCGCTTCCCCGTAGCAACGCGAAACTCGAGCCGGACCGAGCCACTGTGGGAACGGCTCGCATCGACCCGCACCACGAGTCCCATTCCACGCGCTCCGACAAATTGGTTACATCGACTCCACCACGCACGGTGGGGCTGGGGAGTCTAGGAACATTGGAGAACCCCCCCCCTGGGAGCTCAGCAGGGTCTCTGGGACGGTGACCCCCCCCACCCCCCTTCCTTCCGCCCCGAGTCTCAGGCCGAGCGGCTCAGCTCCATCGCGAGCCGGACATGCACCTGCCCCCCAGGTGCACGTCCGTTCGTGTCTTTAAGCGTTGTGGAGCGGTTGTGTAGCGGTCAGCGCGCTGCGCTACGAACCTGGCGACCCGAGTTCGATTCTCGCTCATGGCCAACGCCAGTGACGATTACCTGCACAGGTCCTGGGCCTCCCCTAGGTCGACTAAGCCTCAAATTAGTACCTGGTGCGGTGTGTAAACATCGCCACTGGGGAGAGAAAAGCGATCGGGAGTGGTGCTGACCACCCATCCCCTCGTGTGCCGTGCCGACCTGCTCGCTAACAGTCTGTCAAGGCTATACGGGGTGGGCGGGGGGGAGATCTTTGTCTTTGATTCTGAGCGGCTGGTCTCACGTGTCTGTCTCCGTGTTCCCCGTGGGACAGGGTCTCGTGTGGGTGCGTCCGGCCTCACGTCGCGTCTGTCTACTCAGGCGCATGAGCCGCCCCGAGAAGCGCCATGTGGCGTCCGTACTGCGCGGGGCCGGCCGCGGTGGTCAGGTGCGGCGCTACGCTGAGCCCCCCAACCCCTGACCCCTGACCCCGAACCTGACCCCTGAGCCGGGAGGGAAAGGGATTTGATTTTTATGCTAGGCTAAACGGACAGCGTCGTGACCCCACGGCCGCTTGGCGACTTCACGGGTCACAGGTTAATCAGTGGAGTTGATGCACCGTGGTTACTGGGCCTGGTTACTGCATATAACCAACGTAATATCAGCATCAGAATCTTCATTTGGACTGGATGAATCCGATGAAGCTCTTTTTCGACAGATGTCCAACAAAGTTTTTTTTTTTTTAATATCAAACGGTCATGGTGAATTCTAGATTTGAAGTTTTCTTGACTGCAAAGATCCATACTCTTTGGTTCTTTCGGTAAAGTCAGTATGGTCACGGTGAACGTGTCGCGGCCCCGTGTCCCCCAGGTGAGGATCTCCCGGAACGCCACGCGCTTCCCCCGCGAGATTCTGCTCATCCGCGCCTCTCGACCCACGCCCCTGCCGGGGCACGCAGCCGTGCCCGCGCTCTGCCACTCCACGCCCGTGCTGTGGGCGGCGAGATCCACAGGTCAACAATCAGCATCATCAGCAACAGCAGCAGCATGGTCATCATCAGCAGCATCACCATGAACGACGCAATACGAAACAAAAATTATTATCATCATCATCATCAACAACAACAGGGGTAAATCAATCTCACAGGTCAATCGCCATTATCCTCACAATGGGTTCAACATCATCAGCAGCATCAGCAGAATAATCGGCCTCATTAGCATCATCAGCAGCATCATCACGGATCAATCGTCATCACCATTGTGAACATCATCATGGTTTAAACAAGCCATCATCATCATTACTCGCTAAACGTGATAACATTAAAGTCTGTATATGCACTATGAAAAGGGGCGATTATCCGAAACATCGCTTATTATACACACGCATTTATTCCCTTTTCGGGTCGTTTTATTTGACGAATGCGTGTATGGTTTAGCACCCTGCGTAAGAAGGGCGAAAAATCCCTATCCCCCAGCATTCACACTCACCATTGGTGGCGCAGCAGGTGATGGTACAGCAAGGCCGTAGCCATGGAGTCAACATTGGGGGGGACCAAATCTTCCAGGGCGTCCCAACCCAGAAAAATATCTAAATTAGAAAACTCATTTCCTGCCTAGAATATTAAAAAAATTCACTAACGCATGGGATGGACTTTTTTTAACCAAAATGTCGAATAGTGTATTGTATTACATTGCTCTGTTTTAACTTTTTTACCATTTCTTGTTTCATTGTATGTAATGGCAGAGATTAGGGATTAATGAAGTACAACCATAACCACAATCATGTAAACAGATATCTATGCATTGATGTATATGAAGACAAGTCCAGATATTGTGGCCAAGGTATAGCAAATTGTTCTTTTTATTTCCATAGCATACCAATTAATTTTTTATAGCAATATACTGGGGGGGGACATTTTGAGCATATTTGAATATTGGGGGGGGGGGGTGGATGTGCCCCCCCCCCCCAATATATATAATAATTACGGCCTTGTGGTACAGGGACTTCCCGCTCACCCTGCATGGCCGTGCGACGCGTGCTCTCTGTTCCCCATTTAGAGATGGCCACGTGGCGCACCATGTACTTCTGCCTGGACCTGTGCTTCCTCAACAGCCTCTGCGCCTCATTCTGCTTCTACTACCTCCCCGACTGAAGATCCCCCCCCCCCACCCCCGATTGGTGCACCCAAAACGCGGGCAGTCGCCGAAGATTGTTTGGGAAGCTGTTTGGAAGTGGTGGTAAGCGGCAACGTGGCCGTGGGTAGTGCCGGATTAAGCTAGTGCGGGACCTGTACCATTGGTTATAAAGGGGCCCTAAATAAAAAAAAACACGTACATATTAAAAGACATTTTTTACTTGCATAGTAAAGTAATTGTATTTTTTAATTTGCTATACAGACAGATAATACGACAAATCGCTAACCTTAAATACCCAGTCGTGCATAAAAGTTTAAGGCAATATAGTACTATAGCAATAGAGCAAGTGCAGAATCACTGAGCCGGAATTGATAGCTTGAGAATTGATAGCTTGAAAGCATTTAGCGTGGGGCCCTTGAAAGTGCGGGGCCCGTAGCTACATGTGTAGCTACTTTTGCTACAAGGATAATCCGGCACTGGCTGTGGGTGGTTTGAAGAAATGAATTGGTGCGCAGTATCCCCCCCCCCCCATCCCTGGTCCTGTAACGTGAACCGTGATGTGCACGTGTAGATACTGTATCGAGTGGTTGTATTGATAATGAAAAACATCGCTATGGTTATAATATTATGTTGTGTCTGCGTCTTGTGGCTTCTCTAAATGAGGTTTAATTCCTTCTGTTAATGCCTCAAATACAACGCAAACGCGCGCACTTGATGGTGATGATGGATTGGGCGACGATAATGGTTTTAGACGAGGATGCTGTTCATCGGATATATCCGATTAGGATGGATTTGACTGGTGGCAATATTTATTTGGACGATGATCTCGATGGAAGCAATGGGTGAAGATGAGCGTCGACTTGTCCTGTGTCACGCAACCTTGCGACGAGTTAGGCGATGGTCTGGAAACAACGTGCCATACCGAACCAGACGCACGCGGTCCAGACCCTCAATTAGGGCCTCAACAATGCCGCGCGTTGGCTGTGAATCATACGACTGACGATAAGTCACGAGGTGTGACACGTGCAGGTGAGTGCGCACGTGTCGTCAGGTGAGGTTGACGGAGGCTGGAAGATCCCTGCAAATCAAGTGGAGACGCGGCGGCTCTGCCGAGCACCAACTGAGCTTCACTGCTCCCGCCCGATCTCCAACCTGCTGCCGATGATTTTGATGCCGACTTTGCTCGCTCGGGTTTTCGGGAAGCATCCTGTGCTGGCAAGCTTGGCCAATTCCAGACTGAAAACTCATTTTCTTTACAACTTTTGCGTGTGTATAGCTTGTTGTCCTTGGCTACGTACGGTGCGAAAGATACATATAGTTCTATTTAACGGGCGCTTGGTTCTTTGTGTGGGAAGAAACACAAGCCGTACCAGGAGAAGGCCCACTTACACATACGTGGGGTTTAAAAAGCCCCCTTACCGCCCTGCTATCTCCAGACCGCCTTGAAGGCCAGCGCGCTTGAGAGTTTCACAAACTTCCACGCGACCAATCGGCCCTTGCCTCCCAGGCACTGGGTCACGGGCGTGCAGAGCCACAATCATACGCACCGCCACCACCCACACGTTCAATCAGACAAACACGCTTAAATTATCACGGTCATAATCGTTTAATTACCACGAGTGCGCGCTTGAGAATGTTCCACCCACCCCGTGACCGCGCGAGTACAAATGACGAGCACGTGGCATCTTCTTCCCTTTAAATCGACCACCCAGCGAGCAGGAGCCTCTCTCTAGCTCCAGTCCTCGCGGCCCACCACAGCTCGCCCTGGACATTCACAAAGCTCCTTCTGGACAAATGCACATTCGGTCGTTGCACGTTGCACACGCCTGATGATTCGGTACCCGCTTCCTGCACGACGCGTGGCACGTTACACGACGCGTCCCTCCCCCCACCCAACTTCAATTTGATACGTAGCGTGGGGACGCTTATTTACCAACTAGCCTTTTGCCCGTCCAAGGACCGGGTGTCTTTCGGTAAATCTGAAACTTGCGAGCGAAAAGCGGACCGCGACGTGATATGCATTGCATCAATTCGTGTGCAATTTGTACGGCCGCGGTGACACAGACCTATTTCATTTAAAGGTTAGAATCCCTTGTTCATCATGACGTCCTTTTTACTTCGATGTCTCAACAGCGTAACGGAGATCGCGTGACGTGAGGGTTCTGCCTTTGTAGTGAAGTTGACGCCGAGGAGGAGGCGCCTGCCCCCCCATGTGGAGTGACGTCACCTGCCAATTTACCCGAAATCATCCATAAATGTCTGTCCGTCCCGTGCGTGACGTCCACTCCACGAGGCACACACCCCACGTGACGTCACTCCATGAGGCCCACCCCCCCCCTCATTAATATTCATGAGTGGGTGGATTTTAACACTAACGCAGGTCGAACTGAATTCAATAATTTATTACGCAAAGTCGCTTCAAATATGACGTTTCTTTACAGAAAGTGACTGTAAAAAAACAATCTACGCAGCACACTGCTACATCTGTGCGTGACGTCACTGCAAAAGAGCCCCCCCCCCCCTCTTCATGTCCGCGTTAAAATTTGCACGAACGCACTTCCACATGCCGCACCCCTCCCCTCATTAATAATCATGAGCGGGTGACGTCACTCCACATGCCGCACCCCTCATTAATAATCATGAGCGGGTGACGTCACTCCACATGCCGCACCCCTCCACAATAACCATGAGGGGGTGACGTCACTCCACATGCCGCACCCCTCCACAATAACCATGAGGGGGTGACGTCACTCCACATGCCGCACCCCTCCACAATAACCATGAGGGGGTGACGTCACTCCACATGCCGCACCCCTACACAATAACCATGAGGGGGTGACGTCACTCCACATGCCGCACCCCTACACAATAACCATTAGCGGGTGACATCACTCCACATAGGGCAACCCCTCCCTCATTAACAATCATGAGCTGAACAATTTTTCTATCAAATATTTCAGATTTACTGCAATATACAGTAGACCAGTCCTTGGACGGGCATAAAAAAACGAGTTATTATTAAGCTGTCTCTGGTGTGGACCAATCAGTTTTAAAGACAATGCATATACTGTCAGACCATGTTATTTTGTTGTATTTTCACCACAAATATGTGGTTAATGCAGACATGATTCCGTGCCAGAAAGGTGGAAAACCTATCCTTATATTTTGATACTGGCAAAGGAGGTCCCATGATGGGGGGGGGGGGGGGGTGTCCATTTGGAAGACGTCACCTGCTCATGAGTATTAATGAGGTGGGCTGGCCGACGCGGAGTGACGTCACGCGCAGGACACGCAGACATTCTTGGCTCATTATCGTAGTAAATCATCGGGCAAATGCAGCGTGGACATTTGATAAGCCAACGTGCAAAGGCGCGCAGTTGGCGTGGTGGCTTGTGCCATGCCGCGGGAAGACACTGCCCTTGGTGGCTCGTGATGTGCCCACGTAACTAGCGGAAACTATTCAAAACTACCAGAAGGAAAGATAACGCCAAGCATCACGGCGGGTCCAGCGGGGTCAACTTGAGGTGACCCGAGCCAGAATCACGTTTCGGCCACCCTTGGTTAGCACGGGTGGCTACGTACGGTGCAAAAGAAGTTCAAGATACATATAAATGTTATGTGAAGGTAACATTTTTTTCCCCGACAATATCACCCCAGATCAGGCAATCGGTGAAATTGGTACTGTCAATATTCTTATACATATACAACCAATGTCCAGTTCTGATCTTCCTCCGTCTCACCACAGTATAATCAGTTTAGTTTTATAGACGCAATCGTCATTTTAACACGAAGGCTTTCGCAACCAGTATTATTCATAATAATGTTTTTTGTATGTGTCGCAACCCTCCACCACCCGACACGGCCAATCAGTAAAACATGTCACGTTAACAAAACGCCAATTAGTTGCTTCTTCAGCCCACCGTTGTGTTTGAAGAGTGAATCCCCAACATTTGGAATTTGAATGTTTCGCTGGTAATTACATCCAACATCTTCGGACGATTTGCAAGAAGTGAAGTCATCCACCTGCTTCGGTCTTAAATAGTGCGGGATGACGTCATCATTGTTGAACCTCATCAGGTTTCGAAATCAGAGGCGGTGTAGTATTGCAATTATATAATAGATCAGTAATCAGCCAATTAGTATGCGACTCCTCGATAAGGAATTACAATGTGTTGTGTATTACTGAATACTCTTCCAGTCTGTAGCTATCACAGCGGTTGACATTTTTTATTTTTCTCAATTTCGATTAATTCTCTAATTAGTCTTGGCCAGTAATAATTAATTTTGCATAACACTTCGTTATCAAAATCAACTGAATGTCCTTGTTGGCAAGCATGCTCTGCCACTGCTGACAGCTGTTTGAGATAATTTAATGTTCCTTTGGTGTTATTTTAGTCATATGCTGTTGCATCCCGTCTGTCCAATATAGCATTTACCGCATAAGCAATTGATCCGATATACACCTTCTGTTGATCACTTCGGTATTTCATCTTAGTGCAAGACACTAGTTTTTTAAGTTTGTGTAACGTACCAAACCTCACTTTAATGTTTTGCTTTTGCAAAATACGGGCTAATTTGTCAGTAACTCCCGAGATATGGTATTTTAATTGTTTTGATAATCTGATCACTTTTCGATTTAAAGCTTTCGTGACTGCAGAGATTCATCTTCTTGGTTTTTTCGGTAAAGTCACATAGAAGGGAAGTAATAAAGTAATAAAAATAAAACATAATAAAATAATATTTTAGCTTGTTTTATTTTTATTATTTTATTACTTCCCTTCTACGTGATTTTACCGAAAAAACCAAGAAGTGGAATCTGATCACTTTCAGCAATATTGTTGTTCAGTCTTGGTTTGGCATTCAATGCTGTTAATTTGAGCATGATTGTAGCCATTCAGTCGTAGTGCTTCTTGAACATGTTTAATCTCTCCCCTTACACTTTCACCATCTGACACTGTTGTTGCCCAATGTATGAGCGTCTTGATGAGAAAGGATTTCTGTGGTGGGTGATGATGAGAATCTGCATTCAGATAGGCATCAGTGTGCGTTCCCTTTCGGTAGTAGCTGTTATTTTACCATTTTGACCGCGTCCAAGCTAAATATCCAGGATGGGAAGTGTATTGTTCACCTCCATTTCCATGGTGAACTGGATGGCCGGGTTTTGTGCACTGAGATGGATGATTTTAAAATTAATTAAGTCTATCTTTACCATGTGCCCAGACAATCGAAGTGTCATCGACATTTCTAAACCAAAAAGATGGTTTTAATGTACTTGAGGCAAGTGCCCTTGTTTCAAAGTTTTCCATGTACAGATTTGCTATATCAGGAGACAAAGGAGAGCCCATTGCTGCTACTTCCTTTTGTTTAAAGAAGTTACCTCTCCATAAGAAATGTGATATTTAGACAATGGTCAGTTAGTTTTGGAATATCTTCTGGTAAACCTGTCTTCTTTACTAGTGTATCAAGTAATTTAAGTGACTCGTTAACTGGAACCTTAGTGAATAGAGAAATTACATCAAAACTCACCAGAATATCATTAGGGTTACGTTTAATATCTGTAATCACATTCACAAGATGTTCTGAATTTATTATATATGAAAATGTCCTACTGATGTCGGGCTATATTTGTTTAGTTACATATTTTGCTAATGTATATGTAGCAGAGCCTATTGTACTTACTTTGGGTCGTATTGGGATACTGATTTTATGAACCTTTGGTAGCCCATACAATCTTGTGGGTTTTGAGGCCGTGGCTTAATTTGGTATTGCTCAGTACTTGGGGATTACATTAGAACCTCGGAGATCGAACGCACCGGAACTCGAATAAATCGGTGCTCGAACGAGGTTTCCGAACATTTTTTGCCCCGGAAACTGAACGAAATTCGGAGGTCGAAACGGACAATCGTGACTTGAAAGAACCTGTATGGCTGAGACGCGTATAGCCAGCGTGCATGACTGCTTGCCCAAAGGTTTTACCGACCTCCTTCTCCTCCTCAACACCTTCCACTCAAGCCATCAACTCTCCTTACTACAGGTAAAGTGACGTTCAATGTTCATTTATTCCATATATTTATTCATTTATTGTGTTTGTGTTTTTGTATGATTTTCTGCATGCAATTACTGTAAACTTCGTGTAAAAATGCTTTATAATGAGAGATTTCTTGTGTCTGGAACCAATTAATGTAATTTACATTCATTCTTATGGGGAAAATTAATTCGGTGTTCGAACAAATCGGTGTTCGAATGGCCTTCTGGAACGAATTAAGTTCGATCTCCGGGGTACCACTGTAATTGCAGAAGTCTTGCGTTCTAAAGTATCGGTTGGATTTCGTTTAATTTTAATATAGGTATATTCCACGTTGTTCACGCAAATTGCATCGCGCAATCGCTGAAAAGCCACATTCGAGCGGAAAGGCAGCATGCCAGGTGGTGAACTGGCAACAACAGTTTCCAAAGCTCTGCAGTTCTCTATGTATTCAGATGTTTTCAGCCAATTAATGATGCTTATACATGTTTCTAAATAATCTTACATCTGCGTCTTCATTGCCTCGTTAATTTGGTCCCGTCGCAGTCTTTGGCGAGTAGTCGTAGTCATTGTCACATGCTTGATGATTTTCATCCACCCAAGTCATCGTTGACTAAAATAAAACAAAAAACTCGCAAATATTTCTACCAACCAGCAGCTGCTGTCACCACCTGTCCGTGTGTGTGTGCTGGCTCCGGAGATTAAAATAGTGCATCGCTCAGCTTATCGGCACGTGCCGTGTCCACCCATGATTTTACTATTTTACTACTTATCACCGTAGTAGTAATACTAAAAATACAACAAAATGTACAACAAAATCGCGCCGCCATGCCGTACCGCACCATGGTAACGGCTCGTGCGGTGGAGCGACGGCATTGGGTAAACGTGGCCCATATGGGCCGCAGGGCTCTCGCGGTTACGTCGCCCCAGACGGGCCCCCCTCACTTCGCGCCAGCAGATTCCTTCTAAGACACAAACTTTATAAAGCACGGGGAATTACACAGTGGGTGGGGGGTTAAATATCTCCGCCAGACTGGAGTGGCATGCGACTCGTAGTAGCCATAAAGTAGGGGGGGGGGGGAGGTTACACTGGATGTAGTGTGCCGTATAATGAATTATCCAGATCACAGAAGCCCTGGGTTCAGCGGCAATACAGCCTTAGCCTCCAACCCTGACACCTGCCCCAACTGCACGAGACTCTCTAAGGCGGAGTGCTTTGGCTTAATATTCTGGAGTGAATCTGGCTCTGACCTCTGCCTTGTAGCGGCGCCAGGTTTTCTCGCCGGGTTGAGGAAAACGTTTGGTGTGCAACGAAATTGTCGGGAGAGCCCTGCAGTGTGATGCGAGTGACTTGGGGGAAGACTTATTTGCCCAATGTACACCCCCGAACCAGGCATCAGTGGCACACCCAGTTAAACGTTTCGCAGAAGGCAATATTTTTTCTTCCCAAGAGTAAAGGCTAAAGGTGCAGGCATGCAAAAAAAAAGTTCACACACCACGGATGGCAGAAGGGCTTAAACCATTGGGAGCTCTGGAGAGCCCCTGTAGAATACTACATTGACAAACATTTCCCCATTCTATTTATACTTTAGATAAAATGCCCGTTCACTGAATACTCTTATCCACTGTAACCACAGCCAGTCAGGTTCCGATTGTGGGAGACTTGTCCACCACGCAGACGAAACTGTCTCCCTATTCAGGATTCGCTCGCTGCCATCGCAGCCTGGCCTGGAAGCACTTGGGGGAGGTGGGGGGAGGGAATTGGCATAAAATCGCAAAACGTGGAGCGGGGTTGTGAGTGTCCTGCACCGCGTCTCACCGGAACCGCGGCCGGAGGGGGGCGCTCTCTATCGAGGCCGAGGTGACCCGCGGGGAACCTTCCTTGCCTGATATCCACTCTAGTTCCAGTGGGCCTCGTGCCAGGCGCCCGATAGCTCCAGGGGTGCGAAGCGACAGCAGTGTACAATTCCCGGATTCCACCGGTCATGGCTCTACCTCAGAGGTGCTAACCGCGCGCTATACACAGCAAGGCTACATCAGCAGTGCAACAGTCACGATTTTTTAAAGATAAAATTCCTCCCTTTAACTAGATAGCAACAACATAATTAAAATAGGACAAACAAATTAAAGATATAATTCCCTTATGTAAAAAAAGGCTTCTTTTGGGAACTGGTGTTGAGATTTTTTAAAGTGGTGTTTGAAACCAAATCACTTTTGCCACAGTTTTCATTAACTTCACCCTGAAACAACAAAAGGCATGCCCAATCGGCTCTCTCGGCCTTCCCAAGTACCCTCGACGATCACAAAAACGCGTGTTGTGAAAAGTCCTCCCGACGTTTACAAAGCGTGGAATTGAAAATCGACTTCCAAGGTGCGGCCCATCGGGTTTACTCTCGTGTCGGCGTCTGCGAGCACGCGGCGGGGTCATATGCGCCCGTATCCCACGTGCGACGGCACGCTCGCCTGCCACTCCGCCACCATGAACGAGCCGGTGCCCAGCAGCGTGGTCACCACCAGCACCAGCAGCTGCCACGTCAGGTGCAGGTAGTTGCTGTAGAAGAAGGCGATCGCGGCCGTGATAGACTAGGCGGGGAGGGAGGAGAGGTGGGGCGGGGGAGCAGCGTCAGTGTACGGTTCGTGGTGTTGAGGATTGGGAAAAATGAAGCCTTGTGTGCAAGGGTAGGGTGGCAGGATACACTGGGGGCACAACGATAGCTCTTTCTTTTTTACTTTTAAAGTTTTTATGAATAAATTTCTACACCCTGCACATAAAATGCAGAGCAAAGGTTCGCAACTCTTGTCGGGTGTACATTGAATCAGAAATCTCCTGGCTCCCTGTGGGCCGAGGGTCACGTGGAAACTTTGCAAAACGTGATGTTAACAACGACGACACATTTTCTAGAGGCTTAAAGTTGTTGACAAAGAAAGTGGGCACGGTGGCCCGTTTGTGGCCAACAGTCCTAGCCAAGGTGCTTGCCAAGCACTTGCGTTTTCCTGGTGTTCACGGGGCGGAAAAAAAAAAACACATCGAGGTCCGGGTACAGCCCGCAGACTGTAAGCATTCTCGTGTCTAGCTGCAGCGTGTTAAGTACGGGATGTGGGTAGCGTGCAGTGAGAGCGCCACCTGGACGAATTTGAAGACCGCGAATGCAGGGCGCGCTGTCGTCGGCATACATGTAGCCTAGCACGCTGTACAGTTGCGTGTTGAAGCAGCTGTCTCCGAAGCCCAGCAGGAAGCTGCACAGCATCGCCACCTCGACACTACGGCAGGGGAGGAAGCCCACCAGGGTGAGCGCGGCCAAATCTCAAGTTTGTGATTGATGACACAACGCGCCGACGAGTGAAAACACGTGAACTGGTTAAATCGGCCGTGATGGCGTGTTGTCCCCTACGGACAAGCGGGGGCCTGCACCTGGGATTCATGAAGCCGATTTTGTTGGAGCCGGCCTCTCCGACGACGGGAGCATCATCCGGAATGTTGAGGAAGATGAGGAAGAAGGCGATGATGTGAGCGATCATGCCCAACAGCACCACAGGGTTCCTCCCAAAGCGGTTATTCCTGTTGAGCAGCCCGAATAAACCTCCGCCTACGTGTGACGGTGAGTGGACAATACAATACAGCATCCAGGTTAAACACACAATACTATTTGTATATAAATAGTACCTAAATACAACTGTATGTCATGTCACGGTATTACATTTTACATTCGCATTATGTTGATAACATTTACAGCAGAGGCAGTCCCCGAAATACGAACGTCAAAATTTCAAACACCCGCATTTACGAATGAACCCCCATAAGATGTTATTCTTTTTATCCATCCGACTTGCGAACGTTCGGTCGTGCTTACAAACCGAACCGTAGAACTATTTTTTTTGGCAGAGCGATCTTCCGCAAGACGTATGAGGTCCAGCATCTCGCTGGGACTCATTACGTCTTGGGACTCATTAGGCTCCTTCCGGCAAGCAAGCCGGCATCAGAACTCAAGATAAGTGAAAATAAAACGGATTTTTTTTTTCATGTTACTTTATTTTGTTTGATTTACTGTCCAGTATTTATTCCAGTATTACATGCAAATATTTCTTATTTATGAGTTGGACAATGCTTCAACGCATGGTCACGTACGGTCACATGTATAACAAAGATCCCACGTATAGCTTTAACAGACTGTAAGGGCAGGTGCTGTTCGCGAGCACCTATGAAGGCCGGTGCGGCACACGAGGGGGTGGATGGCCAGCACCACGCCCGTCTGCCTTTTTCTCCCTAGTGGCATGCTTACACACTGCACCAGGTACTCATTTGAGGTCGAGTCGACCTAGGGGAGGCCCAGGACTGCTACAGATAATCGTCACTGGTGTTGGTCGTGAGCGAGAATCGAACTCTGCTGCCGGGTTCGCAGCACAGCGCGCTAACCACTACACTACCGCTTTGAGTTCCGAGATACAAACAAATTGACTTGCGAACGTGTTTCCGAAACGTAACCCATTCATAAGTCCGAGGACTGCCCGTATACGCATTCTAAATTAGAGACTTAAGTGACGAGGAAGGAGTTTATCCCGGACTTTGAACAGGAGTAGGGAGGCAGGGAGTCAATATCATGGATGGCTTCGGGGAGTTAAATATTGCAAGGGGTAGTGCTCTCTAGCCCCGATCTCACAATGTGGGGCTATATGCTCATTTGTATTTGTCTGTAGTGATAAAGATGTCTGAGCCATGAGGTCTGATCGATCGGACCTGTGATCTCGCCAACACCAATGAAGATCCCCGAGAGGCCGATGAGGCCCTTGGCGTCCGTCACGAAGCGGTTGGTGGCCCCGATGCAGGTGCCGTACACACCGCTGAAGAAGGTCAGCTCCAGCCCTGGCATCAGATGCAAGGTCACGTACGGTTACATGTATAACAAAGACAAAGATCCCACGTATAGTAGCCTGAACAGACTGTAGGGACAAGTGCTGTTCGCGAGCACCGATGAAGGCCGGTATGGCACACGAGGGGGTGGGTGGCCAGCACCACGCCTGACTGCCTTTGTCTCCCTGGTGACATACTTGCACACTGCACCAGGTACTCATTTGAGGCTGAGTCGACCTAAAGGAGGCCCAGGACTGGTTCAGATAATCGTCACTGGTGTTGGTCTCGAGCGGGAATCGAACTCTGCTGCCGGGTTCGCAGCACAGCGCGCTAACCACAACACTACCGCTCCTCACACAGGTATAACGGACGCATGCTCAGAGGTACCCCAACAGCATCGTTCAATATCCACAAACACATCCACTATACGGAAGCTAGGTTTTCACGGCCACTCATAATACAAGTGTAGTCTTCACTGCTGTGCGGCTTTTTGACAATTTATTCTCTCAAGCTTTCACCAACCATGCGTTGTGCTTTGGGCATCTTCAATGCTCCACATGGTGCCAAACCCGGGAGGCCACACTTGAACATCCACTGCATAACAAATGCTTTCCGTACTTTGTATTAGATTTCGACCGCGTGGGTAGGGAGTTCTTTCAGTAGCTGCCACTCGTGTCTGGGGTCGTGCGCCGTGTGGCCTCACTCACCCGTGTAGGCCATGCACACGCTCAGCAGCAGCATGTTCCTGGTGAAGAAAAGCTTCACGGAATTCTCTGCAAGATGAGCACAAGACAAGGGATTACATTCATTGCATTTGCGTTTCAATTAAAATAGCCTAAACTAAACTATTTCTATTTTACCAGGTAAGGCCCACTGAAGCTATGAAGCTCTTTTTCAGAAGCGGCCTGGCCACAAATGAAAGCTCAACGAAGTGGCTTATGTGGAAATTTATAGCAGCCAAATACTCGAAATGCATGTTGATTCTAAATATGGAGGGAAAAACCTGAGGACCCGGAGAAAAATATACGTGACCACAGGGAGAATTCAACTCCAAATATACAGGCGTAAGGATCGGGATCGAACCCACGACCTCCTGCATACCAGGTGAGGAAGTTAACATATCGCCAACATGTGTGAAATGTATGTGGTTAAATCGTATAAACTTGTGAGTGTTAATGTTTCTTACTTAGAGCTTGTAATGGGCCATGTGGAGTTTCTCTTTGGCTAAACACACACACATACACCATTCAACAGCAACAAAAAACATTAGTTGTAAAGGAAACTGTGCTTATGTTAATGACTACAAAGAAAATGTCTGATTCGTTTAAACAAATAATTTCTGTACGGCAGCCTTGGTGGTGTGCGGATGTACCAACACATAGTTACGATGTCTGTAGACGATTCCACAGTATGGGCTGAACGGGTGATAAATTAAACTCGTGATGTGTAGCTGTATGCCTTTCTAACGTGGCCAAAAGCAGGATAGATAACTATTGTTTTTATTGATCTCCACCTTGAACGCGTTACTCCTTAGTGTCCATCGATCCATAGCAGGGGACGGAGGGGGTACTATCGCTCTCGTATGTTTCAAACGAGAGCGTGTTTGTCTCATATTTTATTTGCAGCGTGTTAGTGGTCGGGGCAAAACATTAATTTGCATTTTTGCCAATTTGTTTGTGTCTCCAAGTTTTGGGCAAACCTTTTCCAGTTTTCAATCGGAAATGTCCTTAAGAGCAACGCAATGTTATACTCACAAGTTGGCTAATGTTGGATCATCTCTATGAGAACTATCGTTAAATCGGTAAATGAGGAAAAAACTCACGGAATAGTAGCGCAGGCTCCTATTCCGAAACCACCACAATATAATAATGGGAATGCACGAATTTTCCTAACTCGTAAAAAAAAATGGCAATACATTTCAGCAACAGTCCAGTGGACAGCAAACTGTCTAAGTAAATAACTAAAAATACACAATGCGTTCGTCAATAACGCTACCTTATTAACACTGCCTTCTTACTGCTAAACATGTTTAGATCTTTGTTATTTGTGCTGGTGCACCGCTGCCATTGTGATATCACCAAATAGTCTCCTCCACATAAATGAGCCCCGAGTGAACGCTGGGGTAAAAATACATTGACGTTTCCGAGGCTGGAAGATCCGAGGCTGGGCGCGGGGATCTGGAATCGTGGCCGAGCAAGAAATCACTTACGGGGTCGTCTCGTTTTGGTCGCAGGGCTCATCTGTATCGCCCGCGTCGCTGAGTGCCGAGTCCTGGGTGCCAGATTTCCGCACCAGCACAAGCACCAGTGTCCCCACCAGGCTGATGACGGTGAGGGCCGTGAATAGCACGCGACGATCCTTATCTGCGTAGAACACGGCAAAGAGTTCCCTCTCCACAGCTATGGGCATACATGTACATCAACTATTTCCAAATGACTGCTGAATGAGGGCCTCTTAATTAATTTCCGGTTGTGGGGGCTATTTGAACAAACATCACCACGCTGGTCAGTGTGGGTTAGTGAAGGCTATGAGCATGGAGTATAAAATTACAGCACTTGTGTGCCACTGTTCTCTACCATCCACCGTGCTGCCCTTTCACCTCCTATTAGCTACGTACAGTACCAAAGAAGTTCAACGTACAGCCCTGCATTCTATAGCCTCTAACATCACGCTTAGCTTTCAAGATTTTTGCAGGTGCATTCCGGGTGATTTTGTAGTTGGTAAAGAGTATGCTATGCTGGAAAAAATTTTTCACACTGGCAACATAAGCTGCTCATGCCACAGAAACACTCAGTATTAGGGTCTCACCTGAGATGTGTGTCTTTCCTTTCCAACTCACGTAAATATACAGGTTCCCAAACACCATGCTGAAACGACAGAACATTATAATATTGCAACAACGTTAACCTCTGTGGTTGCTTTAAATCTGCACACAACTGTGTGTTGCTTTGACAGGGATTCACTATGACCGGCACAAATGCACCAACTGTGTGACAGCGATAGGGGGAGGGGGGGAGGACTGACCTGAACTGCAGCAGAGCCCAGAAAATGCCGCTATTCCTGGCCATGGTAGGTGGCGTCAGAGTTGACCGTGAGACAGGTGCCCTGGGCCGTCCACAGCACTGCACGCCGCACGCAATCAACCAATCGCACGTGTGCACCATCGACACAACGGTGAGAGTATGTCAGTTTTCTTTACGCCTGTTTTTCTCGAACAAGTTTGGGAACAACAACAAAAAACCCATGCACATTTCTGGTTTCTGTATCACTTGTCAACATGTTTTTCTTTGAAAGCATTTCGTGAGCAGTATGCACAAGCCCATGAGCAATTTCCAAAGGCAAAACCAATTTGCTGATTTGCAAATCGTAATTTTCTGCTCTGCTTTTAATCTCCAGGTTTTTGGAAGTCCTCCGATCAATTTGGCCCTCTTTCAATGCGGTGAATCAGGTTATCTTTCATGGGATGATCATTTACACAGATTTAATGCACATCCTCTCACGTTATTAGATGAACTGACGGACAGCGCTAATGTGGAAATCACTTCAACCTTGGTTGGAACGTGTAAAAATATTGGGAAAAAATGGCAACGTTTATAAGCAGAAGCCTTCACCTGCCGCGGCAATCCCTATGAGCACCGATGCAGTGTAGAACGACCACGCCATCGGCTTGATGAACGTGGCAATGTAGGCACTGCAAGCACAGACAGAGGACGCGACGCTCTGAGTTGGAAGCCTTACTCCAGGCTGCGTTCATTTACACATGCGGTATGGTGACATCATGTGACATTCGAGGCAGGATGGGAGGACCGTTCTTAAATGGTCGCAACCGTGCCTCTTTTGACATCTACAAATCCCCTGCTGCGTGCGTTACTACTGTATTTGTTTCGAGCCTGCATGCACTTTTCTGTGCAATGGGGTTTCTAACCATTGACATAAAGTGTCACGATTGCTTGACATTGCGTACAAATGTTGCTTTAGAATTTTACTTTCTCGGAACATACACACAGTATTTCCCAAGTAAAGATTAACTGGTTTTTTGTGAAAACAATCATTCAGCCTGCATCTGCACGAGTAGCCTGCAAGTCACTCACACGAAGGTTCAAACACAAAGTCTCAAGGACTCTATAGAGGTTTTTCTCGCAAACAAATGCATCACGTGACTTAACATACACTTTTGGTTATGGTCACCGATGGCAATTTTTTTTGTGGCTAGCACACTGCGCTATTAACTTGGTTTCCAGAGTTCAGTTTCTGACAAGTGACATCTGAACAGGTCCTGGTACCTACTTTCACCAACCCACACTGGCCTGTGTGAAGTACGATCAAACAATCCCCACAATCGAGACGTGCACGGGGAGGGGCCCTCATCCTAGCAGTGGATTGACAAAGGCTATAAATAGGGACCATACGCTCTGTGGTATTCTCTGCAGCTGGCCAGGGTCACCTGGGTAATCGTTTGCAGTAACATGGCTAGTCTATTTCAATTACATATCAGCTGGGATGAGAATGGCAGTTAGCAGAAGCTGCCAGGTGAGTGCCCACGACCCAATTCCCGTGAACTCCTGACCTGTAGACAATGCCTCCCAGCACCATGGACCAGCGAGGCCCCAGCACGGCCACAACGGACGGGGCGAGGATGTTGGAGGCTGAGAACACGCCATATATGATGGCAAGGCTGCAAGGGAGAACACAAACCACCGAGTGTGTCAAAGCCAATAAAAAGAGCACGTTACAAGTAATGCGCAAGGGTTCCAGAGATTTCTTAGCAAATGTGTGTAATTCCGAAGCTTGAAAGAGCAACGCCAGTCATCGCCTGAATTAGGTATCTGTGATTTACATTGAGACCAATCACTGTAATTGTGCTTGGGTTCAGAGAACTCACCTCGTGTAGCCACTCCCACTGAAGTTTCGTGCTTAGGTTATTGATGACCGTTTGCTGCAAAAGAAGTCCAGATTAGAGCCCACATGAAACGCTGTACAATAAAATCAACCATCATAAACCACGAATGCAGTTTACTACACCACCACCGTCATCATCAGCCATCATCAATGCACTGCTGGAATGAAGGCCACCTCAAGCCGTCACCATTTCCCATGGCCCTGTGATGTACCACTCAATTGAAGTAACTGCACACAAGTCGATTTCATCGCTCCATCCGTGCAGTGGAAGTCCTCTTGGGCATGTTCCCTCCTCTGGCTGCTAACCCCCGCCGTTAGTCTCGACTATCAGTAGGTTTTCCACGACATACGCTGTGGATATATCGACAAGAGTAGTTACATGCGCCCTGTTCTTGCAGTGTGGTCCCCTGTATCCAGACCACCAGTGGTCCGTGACGGTCCTCCAAGTGGTCAGGTGGGCTGCGTTCCAAATGCAGGTTGATCCGAAAATAATGACGATGTTTTCATGTTATGTCTCGGACATTAATATCTTGTGTTTAATTTGAAAATGATGGTAAACTACTCTGATTAAACCACTTTAACCGTAAGATCTAAATGCCACCCGAAAAAACTCACAGCTGCATTAAAAACTCTGTTTTTATGTAATATGAATCATTTTGTACGACTGGTATTTAGAAAGACAAGCGAATGCATTTTGTCACCAGGGGTGGAGGGTCTGGGTGGTCCGCGGAAATGTTTCCATCGGCTGAGTGGCTCCGCGAGCCAAAAAAGTTTGAGAAACACTGCCCTGTAGGATTATAAACCGAGGTTGATCTGCCTTTACGTTTCATAAATGACAGCACAACGTGACCAAAGCCTTTTGACCGTCAATTCTATCCCCATCTCCACCCTCTGCTACTTTTGACAGTTTTTAGGAGCTCGATATTGATTGACTCGCAGTAACAATAAACGCTCACAATGATTCTTCCGCATCTGCAGTGCCCTCTCCTATCGCCACGCAAGGGTGTGTTGCAGTAATGAGGTAAACTGATGCCCAGACTGCACACCACCTACACATGATTGTGTACATATTCCCTGTGTGTACATCTGTGTGTTGCGTGCGTGCGTGTTTATCTTGCACAATTTCCTTAGCCCTGAAATGGATACCGCCGAATCATGGCCACAACCGAACAGCACCGCACTTCCCCAGGTTCAATGCCATGACCTGGCACCCAGCCTCCTACACACACACAGCTTCTGTGCGCACACACACATAAAATGTAATTTGTACTCGTATTTCATAATTGGTATCGCTAAGCAGTAAGTTTGAAATGGTGTGACATGTAATACTGTATATACAATATTACATATTCATGTCATCATCAGCGGCCGTAATCAATCCGCTGCTTGATGAATGCCTCCCCAAGCCATCAACCCTCTCTCATGGTCCTGCGATGCACCAATCAATCTCGCACCTGCACACGGGATGATGTCATCAATCTCGACTTCACGGTGGACAGTCCTCTCGGGCACGCTTCCCGCCACTGCCTGTCACTCCATTGTTAGTCTCGACCATCGGCCGTGATCTCTTCTGGCCAAGTGTCCAGGCAGTGTCCAGCCCAAGCCCCAGAGGTCGCAACCGGGTACCCGATACCCGTACCCTACCCGATACCCGGCTACCCGTACCCGGCCGGGTATGGGTAGCCGTTTGCGACCCTGGTGCGGCCGGGTACGGGTACGGGTAGGCCGTGAGTCACTGGTGAGTAACTGTTTGTCACTCATTTCGGGTAGGGTACGGGTACAGGTAGGGAACGGGTATCCGTACCCGGCCGGGTACGGGTACCCATTTGCGACCCTGGTGCGGCCGGGTACGGGTAAGGAATCAAAACCCGTTTGCGACCTCTGCCAAGCCCCCATCAGCCAAATTACAGCTTTCATTTGCATATGTTTTACATTCCACGTGTTCCTCTTTCTGCCTAAATTTAACTCCATGCGTGCCACAGTGGTGAGATGTTAACTACCTCGCCTGGTGCCACAGTGATGAGATGTTAACTACCTCGCCTGGTATACAGGAGGTCGTGGGTTCGATCGCGACCCTGACACCTGTACATTTGGAGTTTGCATGATCTCACCGTGGTCGCGTGGATTTTTCTCCGGGTCGTCCGGTTTTTCCTTCCGCATTTAGAATAAACATCACGCGTTTAGAGTATTTGGCTGCTCTACATTTACACACGATAACAATCCACTTCGTTGAGCTATCAGTTGTAGCCAGGTCGCTTCTGATAAAAAAAAAATCCACATAGCTCAGTGGGTATTAGCTGATGAAATAAAAACAAGCTTTAGTTTCACCGGTTGTATCGATAGAGCTTCTGCTACATCTCTGCCTGTATCACCCGCGGTAGTGGACGATTCCCGCTCACGGCCAACACCAGTGACGATTATCTAAACCGGTCCTGGGCCTCCCCTAGGTTGTCTCAGCCTCAAAATTCGTACCTTTGTGGGGGTGTGTAAACATCGCCACTTGGGAGACAAAGGCGGCTCGGGTGTGATTCTAACCACCCCTTTGCCGGCCTTCCCTCGCCGTGTCGGCCACCCACCCCGACTGCTCACCTCCACGTTGCCGCACGTCTGGAAGGCGGTGAACACGAACATGAAGGCGAAGCCCAAGATGAGGACATTGATCAGCTTCTTCTTGTCCTCCGTCATGGCAGCGGCAGAACGAACAAAGGCCCCCGAATGCAGTCGCTGTTCGCCGTCTGTCTCTTCTTCACTCTTCTCTCGGCGAGAGTTGAGCTGCAATAGCAGCTCCCTCGTTGACGCTACGAGCGGCGTTTACCAACAAAATCGATCCCGCGGGCGATTGGTGATTAAACAAAAAGTAACGCTGTTCCGACACTGCTAAGGCAAGAGGGCCCGGTTTTAGTCTAAACTGCTGGCACGGTGGTGACGTTCACGTAACGCGGTTGGCTCTGTTGAAACGGTAACGTGAATGTAACGCTGTGGGTGAGTGTAACGCCGTGAAATGTAACGCGGTCAGTGTGAATGTAACGCTGTTGAAAGTAACGCGGTTAAAAGTAACGCGGTGGGTGAGTTTAGTGTAACGTGGTAAGTGTAGCGCGGTGGGTGAGTGTAACGCGGATAAGGTAACGCGTGGAGGGTTAATGTAACGCTGTGAAAGTAACGTGTAACGTTGTAAAAGTAACGCGGAGCGCTGCGCCTCGACCGTCGTTTCCCAGCTCCCGCCTTTGTCCTCTCCTCACAGGCCGCGCGAGGACCCCGGCACTGCGCATGCGCGAAAGCGCCCACCGCCGCACGCGATTGGCCGAGAGCGCTGACTCGCTCGCGTCCGGCAAAACTCGCCTCGCGATTGGGCCAAGCCGAGTCACGTGCGCGAGTTTGGCCGTGCACAACAGCTTCTGTTTATAACAACACGGGGACTCCCCACTGCCGCGAAGCCACAGCACTGGGAGTGGCCTCGAGAAAACAGAGGCTTCTGTGTCCGGGTCAGCTGCTTTTCAAAGTCAGCTGACTCGGGGACAGAAGTTGTTTTTTTCCGAGTCAGCTGACTCGAGTGGGGGTGGCTGTGCACCACAGCTTCTGTCGGTGTTGGCTGACGGACCGGTGTTGTTGTACCTGAACACAACGGCTTCTGCCTGCGCGGCTTTTGTCAGTGAGCGATAATATGGTCAGCTGAGCTTGTAATGGTGCTGGGTTTGACCCCGGGTCAGGTAGCTCTGGGTGACAAACCGCGAGAGGCCTGGCATATCAAGTCTCTCGGGTGGCGAGATGTTAACTACCTCGCCAGGTATACAGGAGTGCGTGGGTTCGATCCAGACCCTGACGCCTGCTGCTGTATATTTGGAGATTGCATCTTCTTCCTGGGTTTTCCCCTCCACATTTAGAATCAACGTGCGTTTAGAGTGTTTGGCTGCTATACATTTCCACGCGATAAGCGACTTCGTTGAGCTGTCAGTTGTGGCCAGATCGCTTCTGAAAAATACCTATGTGGCTCAGTGGGCCTTAACTGGTAAAAAAAAAGTGTGTGTGTATCAATCTCACAGGTCACTGTCCACGTACCCAGATCCACAACTGAGCTCCTGGACATCTGTGAAAAACAGCTTTATAGCTAATCGGATTCCTCCAGTATACATACATATTCACGGGCTTACCTGTCCAAATGGTCACACACCTTTCCACTACCTCTCCTCTCTGTCCACTGGCTAATTTGCCTACCTGCCCACGAGCTCGCGTGTCCACTGACTCATCTCTCTACCTGTCCACTGGCTCACCTCTCTACCTGTCCACTGGCTCACCTGTCCATTCGTCCACTGGCTCACCTTTAGGTGGAATTGCAGGTTATATTAAGACTATGAAGCGTTCCCTGATAACAGACCCATCGTCTTGCTTAAGAGCCAGCCTAAGCTGGGCGGTTAACCTCACACCTTTCATTTAGACGGCGATTCTGTAACTGCACTCCGTGCGGGTCATAGAGATCGTTGACCATACTTCGTCACGTTGGTCAGATCCCAGTAAACATGCAAAGTTGACACAAACTTGTCATGTTGTTGGACCAACATTGGCCCAACGTTCCATTATTTCTGGAATGCGGGTTGGTGAATGTGCGGATCATAGCCTTTGGAGCACGGTCCATTACACTGCATTTCGCTTCCTTGTCCTCTGCTAACGACGTAAACCGGCAGCAGCCGATAGCACCTGTCATCCATGGTGATCACCCATCCACGCGCTATCCAGGCTCAACCCCGCTTAGCTTAGCTTCCGAGATCTGACGAGATCGGGCGCGCTCCGCCTTGATTTCGTTCATCGGCGTGAACCCTCAAAGCGATTTGCGTGAACGCGCGGGACTGCGGCAAAGCGCCTGGTCATCATCGTGCCCGCTCCTCCAGGCCAGCGAGCGAGAGTCGGCAGCGTGGGCACAGCCCGGCGGGCAAGCGGCCACAGCCCCGAGCTTACGACCCCGAGCTAAGCCGTGACGCGGCGCCTAATCCCACACGGGCTCCTTAATGCGACACGCGATGGGGGGGGGGGGGCTCATCCAGACTCTTCCAGGAGACCCCGCGAGCTACCTGCAATGAGCCTCCTGCCGCCTCCCAATCTCGGTGATGGCAAACTGAACTCAGGGTCACCCCTTTCGGTCACTTGAGCCGGTGGAGTTTGGCGGACAGCTACCACTGACGTCCCTAGATCAATCGAAGGGATCAATCGATCAACTAACCCCACGCTCTAGGTGAAAAGGTGATCCGCGCGGAGTTGATGCGATCCGTGGGGAGACGTCCCCTCAACATCCCCGTCTTGAGGAGGCACACGCAGGTCGACGGATCGGATGGGAGTTGGTGGTGGAGGAGGGGCGCGCGCTGCGAGTGCCGACAGCCCGGTGCCATGCCGGCCCGGGTGAGCGGTCTCCTCCGGCTGTGGGCGAGTGAGGTGGAGTCGGGGTGAGGGGGTCGGGTGAGTGGTGGTGGTGTCCATCCTGAAGGTGTGCGTAGCTGCCGATGCGCAGTCTCCTGGCCATGAGGCTGCGTGAAGACGCCGCGCATTTCCATGCATCGAGACGCCCTGCCGCGGCCCTGAGTGGAAGCAATTCCAGTGAAGAAGAAGAATTCGTAGATATAAAAAAAGAGACGAGTGATTGATTATTTCACTCCCATGGAATACGCATTGGGCTGACGGCATGGTCTCCCAAAGAGGACTTCATGAACATTCGTGAGCGGATTACCCTGCTCCTTTCCGCGAGAGGGCCATTGCGCATCGGATTGTTTTTTTTATTTTAAAGCAAAAATCGTCTATTCCACGTAGAGTTTTTTGTTGGTTTAATTTTTGTTTTCAGCGCACGCTAAGCCGTTAGAAACGGACCCCCTAGCGGGAGACGCTGCCGGGTCTCGCCGCGTGCTGTCCACGTCTCGCAGACCTGGATCGCCCAATCTCGCGTGGCCGCCTGGAGCCGGGGACTCCAGCCAAGACGGCCTCCATGGAGCCGGAGCACGGAGAACCAGGATATGGGGGCTCAGAGCCCACGGGGTCCCAGGAAGGTCGGTCCCTCCACCTGCAGCACAGCTCGAGAGATGGGTCCGATCTGCTCCTGATGGACGTGCAGGATCTGGACGAGAGCAACCCTTGCTTTGACGAAGCCGTCTTCTACGAGGACCCTCCGCCGCGCACCCGCCTGGAGCACCCCTACTCGTCTCTGCCCTCGCTGCCCCAGGCACAGGGCTTAGAGCAGGGTGTCCCCCTGGGCTCCACCTGGTCCCAGCTGCCCTGCTCCCCGACTCCTCTCCATGGCTCCATGCGCTTCCCCGAGCTGGGCTTGCGCGATGCCAAGGCGCGCCCCGTCTCCCCGCCGTGCACGCTGCTGCTCGGCTCCCTCAGTCGGTTTCCGGCAGCCGAGTCGAGTCTCGTCGATGCCGAGTTCCCCAGCGGGAGGTGTCCGGGCAAGGTGAGGAAGGCCGCCGCCACCACGGCTCCGGGGTCGCCGGTGCGCCAAAATTCGGGAGACGCGCCCCGGGGCTCGTCGTACCTGCGTGTTCCCGAGGAGGTGGAGATGCGCGTGGAGGGCGCGCGGCGCCGCCTCTCAGTGGCGCTCAGCAAATTCGTGGCTGGGGAGGAGAGTGGGCGCGGCGCGAGGAAGCTGTCCATCAGCCTCACGGAGCTCACGAAGATCATGAGCGGCCACGACAGTGACGGAGGGGAGAGTGAAGTGGAGGAGGCGATGGTGGAGGTGATGGGCGGCAGCAGTGGTGGAGCGGTGAGGAGACGCGCCACGGAGGACGCGGCCAAGAGCGACTCTCTCGACTGCATCTTCAAGGCGTCCACGGGGAGGAGAGACACGAGACAGGGTCTCCACCTGGAGCTTCAGGACCTCCCAGGAGGAGGACCTCTCCTCAAAAAGTCCTCGACCTTCGCGCACGAACGCACCCCGCAGCGTGGACCCTCCACACCGCCACCTCGTCATCATCATCCACGCAGGGTCGACACTGATCCCGGGCCCTCCGAAAAGGAGGAAGAGGACCCCACCACCACCCCAGGCCCCGGGACCAGGCGTGGAGACCGAGTCCCCTTGGAGGCCCTGTGCCTCCTGTCCCTGTTGGCCTACACGTGGCTCATCTTCCCTCTTCCCCCGCTCCCTTCGGGTCTCCTCCTCGGGGCTGCCTGGGGCTTCGCAGCAGCGATGGGCTCCATGTGGCTCCAGGCAGGGACAGCGGGGGGCCCCAGGGCTCCTGGCAGAGCCTCCAGCCGCATGGGGCACGGGCTTCGAGGACGGGGGAATGTAAAGACCCCGGCAGGACCTCCCGTGCACCAGGTGCGTCACCCAGCAGCATTGGCCCCTTGGCTGGCTTAGAGGGTCACGGAGAGAACGTGTGGGCCACGTGAAATGAGGCCAACCATGTAGACGGTTCGCCAGAGGTACCACTGTGGCCTCGCTCAACAGAACACAATATGGGCCCACCAGGCGTGATGGTATAGCTGTAGGAGCCGTGATGTTTGTGTCTCAAGGTCTTGGCTCTCAACCCCTTCATTGCCAGCGGTCCCCCGAAGTATTGGTGTCTCTTCCATTCTGGAATATCACAGTGTCCTCTCTTGAGCAGTATCTGTTTAGTACTGAGGTCCACTCAGTACGTCGAGTACCAGAGTCCCCGCATGATAGGCATCTCTTAGCTATGAGTGTGCTGTCAGTAGCATTCTGGTAATTCTTAGGCACGAGTGCTTCTTTATGGACACATAACTCATGTTAATAATTAGCGTCGTTGTGGAGAATATGAACAACTAATAAATCAGCAGACAATTAATATTCACATATCTGTCTCTCCACAACCCATCAACCGCAACGCCTTCTGGGAGTGTATAATTGCAGCAGCATTGATTCAGTACATTGTCTCACCAGCAGCAGTCAGGCTGGCTTGAAGCATTGCTGGTAAACTGCCAATCCTACAGGCAAGGACCAGCGTTGATTCAAGCCAAGCCTGATTCTGCTGATGAGACCGGCCCAGAGTTTTTTGCTCATCTTGAATCAATGCTGCTAAAATTATGCACTCCCAGAAGGCCGTGGCGGCTGACGGGATGTGTAAAAGAAACTTATGTTATTGTATGTGGACAGACGGATATGTGAAGGAGACGTTGCTTATTTATGTTGTCCTTCATCAATCGTATTTCTTTAAGTACAGCTGTTGCCTGTACATACATATTTATAATCTAGATTGAAAACTGCTTTTCGTGTTTAGTTTATTGTCCTTCCCCGCACCTCAGATTAGCACGCTTGGCTGCATGCGGTGCGAAATAAGTTCAACATAGACACACGCATGCATCCGTACCAGGTCCCCCCTCCGAGTACCAGTATTCGTTAAATACCAATGTCCCCATCAGTACCGGCATGTCGTGAGTGCCGATACCTGGCGAGTGCCGCTGCGCTCTTCGCGGGTTGGCAGTGACCCGGGGTAGCAGGCGTGACACAGAAAACCTACAGCCTTCACTCAGACGGGATAAGCCTTGCCTGGATTAACACGATCTCATTACGGATGCTACGCTTACAAAGCGTTGACCTTGTGGAGCCCACGGTGGGAGGTCAAATCTGCCGACACGTGTGAGTGTGATGCCATGATGCTGATGATAAGGGTAATGATGGTGACGATGATTGGCAAGAGTGATGATGGAATATTTACGCTATAGTGGATGGTTTGATGGTCATGGTGATGATGAAGATGACGGTAAAAATTATGCTGTTATTATTAGCATGGATGATGGTATAAATTATGGTAGAGTGGATGGTCATGTAATGGCGGTGGTAAGAATAGTGCAAGTAAGTATCGTAATGATGGTAAGAACAATAATGATGTGGTTATTGGTATGAATGTTGATGATAATGATGGTGGTAAGATTTATGATATAGGCTATGGTAAGAATAAATATATAGTAGATGACACGATGGCGATCACAGTGATGAAGACGGTGGTAATATTGATGGTATGTTGATCAAATTGATACTGTGATGATGGTCATACGGATGGTCACGATGATGGATGTTTTTTTTAAATGAAGTCAGTGACGACGATTAAGTTGATAGAAGAATGACATGCTGATGGTCATGACGATGATGGTAAGAATGTCGATACAGCCAGCCATGGTGATGACGATGACGACCCCACGTGTGCGGTGTCCAGGGCTGGATGAACGAGGTGGACGCCTACGACCCGGAGACGTTCCACAGCTCGGCGCTGCGCGGGGTACGCGTGGAGCTGCGCGGAGCCACGCTGTGCCTGTCACGCACCGCGCCTGGCACCAAGGACCCAGAGCCCTGTGGCTCCGGTGGCTCGAGCAGCAGAACGAGGATGCTCGACATCGCCGGGTGTACGGTGCGTTACGTTCGAAAGTATTGCCGCCTCGTACGCTCGAAATTTTGGCGTCATCTGGTTTGGCGTGGGGTCCCCCTGGTGCAAGCAATGAAATGGGGCCCCCTGTCCTCCTACCCTTGGCTTCGTGGCCCAGTGGCTGTGCCACCTGCACACTGGAGAGCTTACTACGCCTCTGAGGTTTATTGCAACTCGCTACTCTACGGGACGTCTGGCAAGAAACGTTACCGAGCTGCAGCGTGTAAAACATTCTTTGACACGTGTCGAGACGGGTACTGCACGATCCGGCCATGACCGTTCGGTGCTCGCTCAGCTGCGTTGGCTTCTGGTTGCCGAACGAATACGTTATAAGGTCGCACTCATTTACACATAATGTGCTTTCCACAAATGAACCACAATACCTTGCCGATTTCGTCAAAGAGCATAAACCATCACGCGAACTCCGGTCATGCTCACTTCTGCAGCTGTCTGGAATGCTCTTCCTTCCGATATTAGGAAGCCACTGGAGCTATGCACTTTTAAATAATCTAGATTGAAAACTCATTTCTTTAGAACTGCTTTTTTGTGTTTAGTTTGCTGTCCTTCCCCCACACCTTCGATTAGCACGGTTGGCTACGTAAGGTGCGAAAGAAGTTCAACGCACATATGTAGAGAGTGCACGCCGCCGCAGGTGTGGTTTTGAATGGAAACGTGTTTTATTTTCTTCCGAGTAGCGATTTCGGATGCTCGTTTCTCCGCAGCTGTCGCTGGCGCCCGCCCGCCTGGCTGAGAAACGAACATGGAGCAAGAAGTACCCCATCGTGCTGGCGCTGAGAGGCGCAGCGAGCGCCGCCGGCGCTGAGGGCGTGCGGAGCGGCGCGGTCCAGGTCGCGGGGTCGGAGGGAGGCGCGGCACTCTTTCTGTTTGGACGTACCGGGCGCGAGAAGGAGGAGTGGTTCCAGAGGTTCCTCCACGTGTCGCAAGGAGCGGATGGAGATCACGCGGAGTCACACGGTCAGAAGAGCTACGGCCTCTACATTCCTGAGAGGGGGGAAAACAAATAGTTATCTTAGGTATCACTTCTGCGGAGAGGAGCAAAGAGCACAGGTTGGCTACCGATTAGCACGGTTGGCTACGAAGTTCAACATACTGTACATAAATTCTAGATTTGAAGCTTTCGTGACTGCAAGGATTCATATTCTCAGGTTTTTCGGTAAAGTCACGCAGGTAAAAAATCAAAACCAATAAAAGTAAAATAAAATAAAAATCACGACGTTTCGGAGGCAACACAAGCTTCCGTCTTCAGGTGGAACCGTCACAGCCCGACAGCTGTATCAAGTAAATCAGAGATTACAGGAGATACCACCTGAAGACGGAAGCTTGTGTTGCCTCCGAAACGTCGTAATTTTATTTTACTTTTATTGGTTTTGATTTTTTACCTACGTGACTTTACTGAAAAACCTGAGAATATACTGTACATACAAAGAGATTGCGAGGTCAGGGGGTTGACCATTTGATGCTGCATTTAGAGGAGAAAATCAATTTAACATTTTCGCCCGTTGGCAGTTATCACCGCAAATTGAAATCCTTCCCTGACCCCGCCGCTTACAATGGTGTTATCAAAGTGGGTCGGCAATCCGTGGCGCACTTTACCACAGATTAGATGGCGAGATGATATGATGGGATGAGACGACATAAGGTCGCTCCTTATCCTCTGCTGCAGTCTGGAATTATATTCTCCCAGCCTCCTTGCCCCTGTTCAAGTCCAGGATCCCCAGTAAACATGCTAACGTTGGGGCAACGTTGGGACGTGGTTGGAACCGTTGGACCAATGTTGACCCAACGTTGGTCCAACGGTTACTGGGTCGAGACCTTCCTGTTTTCCTGTGCTAATGACATCTTATAATGCATCTTATCATTGCATTCTTTTGCGACCAATACTATCCAGGGGGAGTTAGATCTCTCCAACCGACCGGCGTGCTGGAGCAGTAACTAATCGTCACGTTTTGTTTACGTGACAAACCTTGCTAATTGGCTGTCGGGCGGTGGCGGGTTTAACGACACAATGGCACTCATGCGATTTAACCCCCCCAAAAAACCTTTTTTATGATTAAACACAACTGTATTGTACGTAAGACTGCAAATTCTACACGGGTGTAAACAATGACATGGCAGTGGCGTTGACAGGGCCTTGTTGGAGCAACGACCACGGGAAAGACGCCGCTGGGCCACGTGCCCCGCTCAGCTACGAGCGATACATGAAGAGCTTCATCCCCGTGGACGGCCCCAGTCTCCCCCACGGAACGTGCGGCAGCCTGGCCTGCGCGAGCCAGGTGCGACCGCACGCGTCATCGTCACCGTCATACCTCTTCTTGGTTCTTTCAGGTAAAGTCACGTAGTCCTCGACAGACCTGTTCTCCACCTGAAGACGGCTGCTTGCGTTGTGGCCGAAACGTCGTGAGAATTGTTTTATTATGTTTTATTTTTATTTATTTTTATTATTTTATTATTTCCCTTCTACGTGACTTTACCGAAAGAACCAAGAAGATGAATCCCTGCAGTCAGGAAAGCTTTAAACCGTCATACCTGTTACAATATAGTCAAACAAAAGTTTAGTTTAGCATAACACGACCTTTGCTCCCGGTCACCCTGTTCATCTTGACCTGGTGTCGTCTCTGCCCCCCGCCACCCACCACCACCAGGTGGGCAGCGAGGTGTCATGTATCAATGCGCTCATCGGGAGGATCCTGTGGGACGCGCTGACCAGTGAGCAATGGGCACAGCTCATCTCCTCCAAGATCCAGCAGAAACTCGGCAAAATCCGGGTGCGGAGAGGGCAGCTACACCCGCCACCCACCCCGTGCTGGATATCTGTAAAAAAAAAAAGCAATAGCTTCATAGCTCACCGGCTTCCTCCTGCAGTTTGAATGAAGATTGTGATTCTGAACGTGCCCGCGTCTGCAGCTGCCGCCGTTTCTGGACGCGCTGGAGCTCACGGAGCTGGACATGGGCAAGGACGTGCTGCGGATCCTGCGCGCCTTCCCGCCCACACTCGACTCGCAAGGTGGCAACAGCAGCAGCAGCAGCAACAGCAGCAACAGCAGTAGCAGCAGCAGCAACAGCAGCAGCAGCAGCAACAGCAGCAGCAGCAACAGCAGTAGCAGCAACAGCAGCAGCAGCAACAGCAGCAGCAGCAACAGCAGCAGCAGCAGCAACAGCAGCAGCAACAGCTAGTTCTAGATTTGAAGCTTTCGTGACTGCAAGGATTCATATTCTTAGGATTTTTCGGTAAAGTCACGTAGGTAAAAAATGTAAATTTAAATTAATAATAACTGTCACAGCACGCTTGCTGTACAGCAAGCGTGCTGTGACGGTTCCACCTGAACACGGAAGCTTGTGTTGCCTCCGAAACGTCGTGATTTTTATTTTAGTTTTATTTTACTTTTATTAATTTTAACTTTAAAATTTTACCTACGTGACTTTACCGAAAAAACCTAAGAATATAAACACCAGCTGGTGGCTACGTATGCCTTTAATCCAGCACTGTGGAGGCAGTGAGGGCCGGTGGATCGCTCTCTTCCCTTCCCATGGAAGGGAGCGAACTCCCATCCCAATGGACGTCAGGGTGCCATACCATAGCTTTCCAGGAGAATGGGGTCCAGCAAATGTGCAACTCCACCGCTTTCATCTGTAAGGGATACAGTGTTTCCCCCTTGCACATTTGGGTTTTATTTTGGTGATCCGGTTTCCTCTCACGTGTAAACACTCGTAAATTTCCAAATAACACCTTCCTATATAGAGGATCTCAGAGCTTTGAGGTGGGAGTTTGGCGCCAGCTCACCGCCTGGCTGCTGCCTCCCAGAGGTCGCAAACGGGTTTTGATTCCTTACCCGTACCCGTACCCGGCCGCACCAGGGTCGCAAACGGGTATCGGGTACCTGATTGCGACCTCTGGGATGAAGCCATGTTGCAGGCGCGGGTGGGTTGATTCTAGGAACTTAAATTGTGAGAAGAGACAAGATGTTGGGAAATGAGTGACAAACAGTTACTCACCAGTGACTCACGGCCTACCCGTACCCGTACCCGGCCGCACCAGGGTCGCAAACGGCTACCCGTACCCGGCCGGGTACGGGTAGCCGGGTATCGGGTAGGGTACGGGTATCGGGTACCTGGTTGCGACCTCTGCTGCCTCCCCAGTTCCTCGTGCCTCCAAGTCGTTCTCTCTCTCTGCGCGAGTGAGCGAACGCTCTGCGGCACGTGACCGGTCAAAATGATTACCATGGTGAACAGTAACGATCAGAGCCTCATTTTTCACTGAATATGCATTGGGTTGCTGGCAGCACACTGGAGTGCGTGCGGCACGCGACTGGTATCCACAGCCGTAGCGAGCGGTCCGCGTCGGATGTGCGACGCCCCAATCCTCTCCTCCAAAAACGCACACGGATCTGCCCTCTTTGTATTATTACACGCTTTCATTTAACTCACTCTGTCTGTTGTTGTCGTTGTTGTTGTATCCTCAAATCTTGTAACTCAATTTTAACCCACTTCCCAATGTGGTATCGACTGCAAACTCGGTGCTGTATACTTATGTCATACTGATGACTATACTATATTCTATCATAAAAATATATATTTTTAAACATTCTTTTTTATATGTTATGTTTCGGCTTGGGTCTAATTGTCCACGGTCAACTGACGTTGGCTGTAATTGGCCACGGTTCCTTACGTTATGGCAAGCTTCGGGGCCACTTCCTGGAGTCGTGGAGTTCTGCCATTACGAGTACGGTACATTTCATAAAGTGTGTGTTTAAAAAAACTTTTTTTAAATATTACTTTTCCTTTCACCGTCGCCCAGGACTGTGGGTGGAGCTGGACGTGAGCTACAGTGGCTCCTTCGAGATGACTCTGGAGACAAAGCTGAACTTGTCGAAGCTCGACAAGGAGGAGGCCGAGGGCGGAAGAGCAGCGCAGGATTTGGATCGCCGGTACGTCGCCACTCTGAGCACCATTGTCCTCCCCTCGGTCACGTGACGTGTGACGCGCGTCGGCCACGTGCTGCGTGTGGCCGAGTGTTTGTCTGCTGGCGAGCGGCAGCATAGTGGCGAGGGCGCTGCAACTGCGAAGCCGACCACCGCCAGAAGTGGTCCCTAGAACTCCCCCAGGTGGACTCAGCCTTAAATGGGCACCTGGTGCGGTGTGTACGCATCAGCGGCGGGGGCGGAAGGCTGCGTGCCGGCCATGGTTGTGGCCACACCATCCCTTCGTGTGCCGTGCTGGCACCTCATGGGTGCTGACGGACAGCAACATGGTCACAAGGGGGAGTCTTTGCGCGTGCTGAGTGCACTGCACGTGTACGTGTGTGCTGTTTGCGTGTGTGAATTGTGTTTGCTGTTCGCAGCCTGCGTGTTTACATGTATGCACGGATGGCTACGTACGGTGCGAACGAAGTTGTACATTTGTGTGTGTGTTTGTCCTGTGTGCACGTTCAGCACACGTGCCTCTGCGTACGGTGTCCTCCCCCCCCCCCCCCCCCCCGTGTCATCCCGCACGACCCGATCGCGCCCTTGCGTGCGCTACGTGCAGCCGCAGGTCGCGCGCGAAGACCATCGAGGACAGCGAGGACGAGTCGTCGGCCGAGAGCTCCCTGGACGGCGATGACGGCGGCGACGGGACGGAGGCCGTGCCCGGTGGCCAGGCCGAGAGGCGAGAAGCCACGCCGAGAACGATTCGCGCCGCGTGCACTCGGCACCACGGCGGCGCTGCGCCTCTTCTGGCGAACGCTTCAGGGGGAGCGCAGAAGCCTGCCGAGTCGGGATGACTTGAATTAAACATTTTTTTACTGCCTCGGCAGTGCCCCCCCCCAAACCAATTAATTAAAGCTCCACATATTTGTTGATGACTTTTAATTTTTATTATCAGTTAAGGCTCACTGAGCTCTGTAGCTCTTTTTCATTAGCGACCTGACCCCAAATGACAGCTCAACGAAGTGGCTTAAACGCGTGGAAACGTACAGCAGCCAAATACTCGAAACGCGTGACGTTGATTCTAAATGTGGAGGGAAAAACCAGAGGGCCCGGAGAAAAATCCACGCGACCACGGGGAGAACATGCAAACTCCAAATATACAGGCGTCAGGGTAGGGATCGACCCCACGACCTCCTGTATACCAGGCGAGGGAGTTAACATCTCGCCACCGCGGCGCCCAGGTCTCTGTTTGTATTTTATGTTGTTTTGGGAATCAGCACGAGCCCAGTGCAAAAACGCCATCCGGCACGCCAAGGCCCAGCGAAGGGGGACATTGGTGCTCGGTCCCCCACCCAGGTGGGGACTTCGTGCGAGAACAAGAAAGCTTATTCGGGGAGGGAAGAATGGGAGGAAAGATAACTAACCTAACTAACCTAATGGGGTAAAGGGGGGCTGGGAAAGGGAGGGGGGAAGGAGATGGCGGGGGAGGGGGGGGTCCCCTGGCTGTTCTCGTAACACGCAGTGCGCACACTGCTCTGCAACATTTACGAATGGATACATCTCTTGGCTTCATGCTCGCGGGATAATGGGACTAACATTGGGGGCGGAGGGTGGTGACGGAGTAGGAAACGTGTACTTAGGAGCAGTGCATGTTCTCGCCGCCGCTGACCACCTCCGCGCACTCCGCCGACGCTGCCTCTGCGGGGTGAGTGACGCTGACGCAGCCTCCGCGGTTCCCATCACCGGTGCTGCTTCCCCTTCCCACAGCGCGGACGTGGCGGCGGCGGTGGGCACGGCTCGCTGGAGCAGCCCCGGCCTGCTCGGTCTCCTGGGGCGGCTGGCCCGCTCCGACTGCCTGCGGCGCGCGGCCGAGAACCCGCTGGTGCGTCGCACGGTGGCCGGCGTGTCCAACACGCCGCTGGCGCTCACCGTGGCCGTGCACCACTGCTGGGGCACGCTGGCGCTCAACGTCCCGCCGCCGCCTTCCGACAGAATCTGGTCGGCACACCGCGCGTTCCCAGCCCGCGACGCGCGCGCGCGCACACCGCGCGTCTGCCTGCACACACGTCGTTGGCAAACACGTGGCTCGCACGTCTATCCCGGTGAACGTTGCGACGTTGGGACAACCAAAGTTGCCCCGACGTTTGCATGTTTACGGGGATACCCGCCGCCTTCACTAACCCGTACTGACCAGCGTGGTGAAGCAGGGTCATATGACCACTTTGCACGGCGTGGGGAACACCCCCCCTCCCCCACTTCAGCAGTGTACAGCTGCGTCGTGTCTCTGTGAGCGTGCGCTGCGGCTGCGACCCATCTCAGTCAACCCGTGGCACCTGGGTCTGTCCGGTGACTTCCTGCCAGCGAGCCTTCGACAGTTCACGTAGCTTCAAAGTGCACGTCTAGCCTGGCACAACTAAATTAAACTATAAACTATTTATTTTATTTTTACCAGGTAAGGTCCACTGAGCTATGTAGCTCTTTTGCAGAAGCGAACCTGGCCACAAATAATAGCTGAACGAAGTGGCTAATCAATTTGGAAATGTATAGCAACCAAATACTCTCAACGCGTGTTTCTAAACGTGTAGGGAAAACCCGGAGGGCCCATGAGAAAAATCAACGCGACCACGTGGGTAGAGACACTCCAAACATACAGCAGGCGCCAGGGTCGGGATTGAACCGACGACCTCCTGTATACCAGGGGAGGTAGTTAATTGTCCAGCCCTCCTCCTCTTACCCATCTCGCCACCCCGGCACAAGCGCTGTGGTGACGTCGCCGCCACTCAGTGGCGAACTGCAACAGCTGTTGGCATCGTGGCTGTTGAATGCGCCACGCAGCGTCGTGATCGACTCTGCGTGTGCTGTGGGCAGGTACGGGTTCCGCGAGCCTCCCCACCTGGGCCTCAGAGTTCATCCCAAACTGGGGGAGCGGCACGTGACGTTGGCTCACATCACGGACTGGATCGAGAAAAAGCTGGAAGTGGAGTTTGAGGTACCGTGTAGAATCCGGCGGCGATTTGGGGGTGGGGGGGGGGGGAGCAGGGGGCCTGGAGATGAGCGCCACATAAGTGGGGCTACGCGGTGGGCAGTAGCGGAATCCGTTGTTGTACTGTACTTCTATGCTCCCCGCATTTACTAACCTGCACCGAAAGGTGTGGTGTAGTACGTCACAATGGATGAGAGCCACATGGAGTGGCCCTCATCCATTAGTGGACTGAAAAAAGGATTGTACATGTAATGGATTATAGAATATACAAGTACATAATATTAAAATATAAAATGTAATTATTCACATTATCTCTTGCGTGTTAATCGTAACCATGTTTTCCTTTGTGTTTTTGTTTTTTTAGAACAATTTTGTAATTCCCAACATGGACTGACCTTCAAATTCCCATGATGCACCCTGCTACAGATGCGCTGCACTCAGCTGGAGTCGTCTTCGCTGCCCAGGCCGCCGTGGGGGACCCCGTCAAAGTTCCCATAAACCCCCGTGGAGTTTCCGTGAACGCCTCTCACACTACAACTACAACAGTGCTTACGCAAGGGTAGCCGCCTCCTAGGTACAACAAAACGGGACATATTACGGGAAGAAGAAGATGATCTCTCAATGCCGGACGAAGGGAGAGCTGCATGTTAAAACGTCGTCTCGAGTCGTGTATTATTTATAACTGACAAAAATTGGGACCTTTAATGTCCAAGAAAAAATTGACAGATTTTCAGATATCTCAGGACGGCTCGTGTAAAAAGAAGACGACGATCCCTGGGTCAACCAAGACTGGTGGCAGCCGAGGCTCCCGTAGTACTCAAGACCACGTCGCTTTGTGATGCCTCCTCCTCTAATGGACTGCTTCCTGGGCCTGAGCGGTGGCACTGAGGCATCAGCTGCCACTGGTGCGATGTGCATCCATCCCGTCCAGGAGAGGGGGGTCGTTTTGACGACTGCAGTTCGGCGTGTGCGGGTTTTTTCTTTTCATATTTACAAGCCGCCGTACGCTGGCCGTAAGAGTCGACGGACAGCCTCGGTTTGCTGGGATGGGAAAGTGCGCGGACGGAAGCAGAGTGCGGCGAGAGGGCAAGAGGTAGGCAGGGGCTGAGTCCGCGAAGAATCTTGGAGACGCCGAGTGCCACCTCAAACAGAGAGCTTTTTGCGGCTCATTTCCAAGAAGAAAAAAAAAACCCTCGTGCTCCCTCCAAGAGACCGTGGGCTGTATCAGCCTCCGAGAAGGCCGCGGACAAACAAGAAGCAGGGAGACTCATCGGACAAGAGGGGGGTTGGAGAGGCGGGTGGGAGGGTGCGGAAATTCCATCCCTCTCCCGTTACAGACTCACGCGCTAAACATAGCCGTTGGGTTGACGACAGCCGTTTATTTAGTTCCCAGGCGCGGGTTTACATGTCCTGATCGCAGTCCAAGTTCACAGCTTAGATTCGGCCGCGCTCTCTTCCTGCTTGATCAGGTCCTTTTTCAGCGGGCCCTAATAAAAGACAAAACGAAGAATATTGTTATTTCATTGTTTTCTTGCGGACAGCATGTGAAATTATGTCTTACACAGGCATGGGCGGGGGGGGGGGGGGCACACAAAAATCCCAAAAACCCAAGTCTTATTTTGCCACCTTAATGCTAGGAGGCACTCTCACTTGTGTAACAGGTGCAGTTACGTTCATGATAATTCGTGGACATTATTGCGTTGCCACCTTGGGACAATGGGCAGGGGGGCGCATTTCTCCTGCCAGCCCCACATGGGGATGAAACTATGAATGAGTTATGATCAGGGTTTGAAGCTTTCGTGACTGCAAGGATTCATACTCTTAGGTTTTTTTCCCGGTAAAGTCACGTAGGTAAAAATAAATAGTAGTAAAAAAACAGATTTCTATTATTTTTTTTTTATTATCATTTTTTATTTTTACCTACGTGACTTTACCGAAAAAACCACAGAGTATGAGTTATGATCAATATTTATGCTTTTGGGTTAAGGCCTCTACCGCCCAACAAAGGGTTAAGCCCTGGCCAGAGTGATGTGCGGTGCGCGCGTGTCTGAGGCCCTCCCGTGCGCCTCACCATGAAAACCTTCTTCTCCTCGGCCGTCTGGAATCTGCCGTAGCCGAACTTGGAGGTGGTGTCGATGAATTTTAGGTCGATCTTCTCCGTGGCGCGACGATGCGTGGGGTGGAGCAGCGACTGCAGCGGTGGAAAGAATTCAACACGAGGCGATCGAAATTGACAACGAGATTCCACGGATACGTCGCTGCACGGTGCATTGGTAACCTTTCCCCCGCAGCTGCACGTGTTTCTCTTCACGATGGTGGCCATTTTTCGATTTAAAGCACTCGTGACTGCAGGAATTCATCTTCTTGGTTCTTTCGGTAAAGTCACGTACCGAAAGAACCAAGAAGATGGTGGCCATGTTCACAAAGAAAAAAAACGAGCAGCACATGCCCGTGGCTGGTTGTGACGATGTGCCGTGCAGGGTTGCCGCCCATGCAGCATTACCGTGGACGAGTAAAACATTTCAGATGGGTCTCCTCCAAAGTTGAAAGCGTTAATGCGTTGTCAGTCTGTCCATCTGTCTACAACAGGGGTACACGATGATGCTCCAAAAGGCGATCGATTTATGCACAAAACTTGAGTCAAAAGTTGCGTCGCTATTCGGGACTTGGTCCTATGGAACACCGGACAAATTCACCAAAGGGTTATTGCCCCAAAACGTGGCGATTCAAAAGCAGTGCTTTAGGATAATCCTTGTCGGCCAATGAGATTGCATCACCCGCCCCCCCCGTCACGCGTCGTGTGACATCATCTCAGGCAGCTCAGATGCTATCGTTGTTATTGCTAACAATACTGTATTGTTTAGTTTTAAATACAGCGTTGTCGTCATTCATACGAATCGGATCTCACAGTCGCTGAGGAACCACAGACGATCGGGAAGACAGCAGCCAGGCGGTGAACCCGCACAAACAATTGCCCAAGCTCAGCAGTCCTCTATATATTAAGATTTTTTTCAGTCAATTTATGATAATTTATAGACGCCAGAGGAAACCAGAGCAAACGGAGAAAACCCCACGGCGGTTAATTAGCCAGTAAACATTGAGCCGATGTGTATCAGCGTTGGGCCGACGTTGGCATGTGGTTGGAACCGTTGGTCCAATGTTGAGCCAACAACGTTGAGCCAACAACGTTGAACCAACATGCCAACTACACGCCAACGTTGGCCCAACGTTGGCATGTTTACTGGGCAAATAGATTCGAGGAAAAAAAACCCACGTCGGAAAATCTTGCAAAATCCATTAATGCGTCTGGTCTCTCGTCCTCATTTAAATTTTCGAACAGCTTGCGCTCGATAATTGTTTTTTTACCCTTTTATCTGGCAACAAAACTGACACCTTTTTTACAAGGAGTCATGTTTGCATAGACCACAATACCTGCAGTCATAATGCAAACAAAAAACATAACTGTGATAATGTATGCACTGTCCTTGAAGTTGATTGGTCCACACCCGAGACAGCTTTCCTTAGAGCCTAGTCTCACATGGGTTGGACCAGATGACGCCAAAAGGCGCACAACTCAAAGACAATGCACCATCAGAGTATGAGAGCTCGGGGTAAGCAATTACACCATTGGAACCTCATTTGCCAGTAAAAAACATATGATAATTGGTTTTTTTACCCTTCTATCTGGCAACAAAACTGACACCTTTTTTTACAAGGAGTCATGTTTGCATATACCACAATACCTGCAGCCATAATGCAAACAAAAAACATAACACTGATAATGTATGCACTGCACTCGATTTGACGCCGCCGTTGTCAAGAGTGCACGACGACATCGAACGCGACCGTGAGAGGCGGTCGCGGCGCCGCGTACCTTGCGGAGCGTGAGGACGCGCTTCTTGGTGCCGACCACGCATCCCTTCACCATCACGAAGTCGTTCTTCACCTCCCCGTAGTGCGGGAAGCCTCCCTGCACGGCGGTCACGGACACCAGAGTCGCGCGATGGCATCGGGCGACACCAAGGCGACCAACCATCGCATGTGTAATAATGAGGAGAGTTTTGATTTAAAGCTTTCGTGACTGCAGGGATTCATCTTCTTGGTTCTTTCGCAAGCAGCCGTCCTCAGGTGAGGACGGCTGCTTGCGTTGTGGCCGGAACGTCGTGAGAATTATTTTATTATGTTTTATTTTTATTATTGTATTACTTCCCTTCTACGTGACTTTACTGAAAGAACCAAAAAAATGAGGAAAGTCTTCTCGAGGCTGGGTATGCTCCCTGTGCCATAAAACTATTACTAAATAAAATATTTTTTATTTTACTAAGTGAGGCCAACTGACCTATATGGCTCTTTTTCAGAAGCGATCTGACGATCACTAATCGTAGCTCAATGAGGTGGCTTATCACGTGCAAATTTACAGCGGACAAATACTCTGAACGCACGTTTCTAAACGTGGAGGGAAAAACCGGAGGGCCCGGAGAAAAATCCACGTGACCACGGGGAGAGAGACACGCAAACTACAAATATACAGCAGGCGTCAGGGTCAGAATTGAACCCACGTCCTCTTGTATACCAGGCGAAGCAATTAACATCTCGCCACCGTGTCTCCTACATGCACACGTGCAGCCCTTACATCAATCCGCTGCTGGATGAGTGCCTCCGCACATCATACGGGTCATGCGAGTTGCCTGCAAATAATTCACGCACGCTGGGCGGTGTGGGTTGGTGACAGCAGGGTGCGTAGACGATCAAGTGTAATACAGTACAACAATGGATTTTGCCGCACTGCAGCGACCCACAATACCCGTACTATGCACGGTGGTCGCCCATCCAAGCACTATCCAGGCTTAAAATCAATCGTGCTTAGCTTCCGAAATCTGACGAGATGGGTTATCATTGCCGATGATCTGGTCGCAGGCAAAAATTGCCGTACTGTTACACAATCAGCGTTGACAATCATTCGGGGACGTTCCAAGAACTTCGGGCTATTCCCACACAGCGATGATAAGGGGCTCAGCTAGAGGAGGTCAATCGAGTCCACCAGTGGAGCCGGCAGCTAGTTGCGAGCCGCCGCACGCACCATGGGGGTGATGCTCTTGTCCGTCATGTCGTAGTTGGTGGACGCGTTGTTCTTCACGATCTTGCCGTCCTGCATGTGGATGCCTCTCCCGATGCGGAACACCTGCGACGGGACACGGTGAGCGTGCGTGAGACCTGCCGCCTCTCTGAAATCCATTCTGACCGGGTCAGCTGTGATGAAGTCGTGAACGTTCTTCGCGTATTGTGGCGGTGGTAGCAATTGTGTCCACATGTCCCTCAATGTCCCTCAATGTCCTAGTCCATGTCCTGGCGTGCCCCAGGTGTCTCTGTACCTTCTTGTTCTTCTCGGTGCGGTGGTGGTAGCCCTTCTGCCCGGCGCGCGCGATGGAGAAGTTGACCCTTGCCGGGTGCCAAGCGCCGATGCAGGCCACCTTGCGCAGGCCCTTGTGCGTCTTCCTCTGCAGCTTCTTGGTGTGCCAACGCGACGTCACACCTGCAGGCCGACAGGCACCGGGCATCAGAAACGGGGTGTCGCAAACGGACTACCGCTCTCAAACAAACAAGCACCACACAGGCCACACCACCGGTAAACTTGGCAATGTTGGGCGAACGTTCCATGTTCACTGGGACACCAGACATCACGCACCAGCTAGCATACAATTAATACATTTATCTGCACATCACATCTCAGAGTGCTTTACATACAATGGCCTGGAACAATGAATACCCAACGCTTAGCGACGACCACGAACCACGCATCACGCACCGACCACCACAAACCATGCACCACACATCCAGCACCCACCACCACGCACAGCACACAGCCCAGCACACAATGGCCACCACGCACAGCACACGCCAAGCACATGGGCACTGCCAACCTGTCTGTTTCTCAGACCCGATTCCCCGTCATAAAATCGCCGCTCACCACGTCGGGACCCCGTCCGCCCCACGTGTGCCCACGCCGAGCGTGGCGTGGGCTCGCGGTGATCACACCTTTGAAGCCACGGCCCTTGGTGACCCCGATGACGTCGATCATCTCGTCCTGTCCGAACACGGAGGTCACGGGCACGGCCTTCTCCAGCTTCTCGCGCGCCCAGTCCACCTTGTCGCTCACCGAGCCGCCGTTCACCTGCACCTCCATCAGGTGTGCCTTCTTCTGCCGCAGCGGCAGAAGTTTCATCTGTGGGGCGAGGAGGGCGGGTGACCCTGAGCGGTGCAACCGAGCGTGCGTATGTGTGGACCCGTGTGCGCGTGTTTATTTCCCAGACGTTTCTGCAAGCGGGTGTCTCAGGCTGGGCGGTAATGGATTGTAAACGTCGTTGCATACGTTGAAAAAATGCCGTGCGACTGTGGTTTTGTGGCCTCCACGTGGTGCCTGTGCGGCTTGCAGGAGGCAGGGCAGCAGGACTGGGAGTTGCTGTCCGCGCTGCATTCCCACGAGACTGCGGTGCCTTTGAGTCCCGACCGAGGGCGGTGGTACGGGTTTCGTCAAGAGAGTGATGATGAACTAACGGCAAACGTTCGCGTGTTGGGGAAGCTCGCGAAGGGTGGGCTCGCGAGCAAAGTGACCCTGGAGAGGGCCCGATCGCGACAGACCTCGGAAGGCACGCCAGGTTCAGATTGCAGCGTGCTTGGATGGGTGACGGCAATGAACAGCTGGTCATAGGCACCCCCAGGGCTTTGCTGCATTGTACGCAGCAGGGGACAGTGCGATTGACACTATTGTTGTCGTACTGTGCTTCAAGCTGCGCGGAGAAGTATGGTCAAACAACTCTTCTCGGTTCTTTCGGTAAAGTCACGTAGAAGGGAAGTAATAAAATAATAAAAATAAAACATAATAAAATAATTCTCACGACGTTTCGGCCACAACGCAAGCACCTGAGGACGGCTGCTTGCGTTGTGGCCGAAACGTCGTGAGAATTATTTTATTATGTTTTATTTGTATTATTGTATTACTTCCCTTCTACGTGACTTTACCGAAAGAACCAAGAAGATGAATCCCTGCAGTCACGAAAGCTTTAAATCGAAATTTATGGTCAATCAAGCACGACGACCCACACAGCACGGGGAGCCTCTCATCCAGCAGTGGATCGGCAACAGCGCTGTACATCTCTACGGACGCGATTGATGGAACTTGGGAAACGTTGCTCTCAACGTTGGTCAAACGGCTGGGCTAACGCTGATCCGACGGTGCAAGTGTTTACTCTTTGGATATTTCGGTAAAGCCACGTAGGTATAGAATAAAATAAATCACGACGCGGTTTCGGGCGCAACACAAGCGTCCGTATGGACTCGTACAGTCACGAAAGCTTCAAATCAAGATCGTTGCAAGTGTCCTGGGTGGGTGGACGCTCCACGCGCTCGGGCACTACCTGCGTGTGGGCGATGACCCGGATGACGCAGCAGTGCTTCTTCATCGTGGCGAAGTCCTTGTCCAGCTGCTTGCGCCCAGCCTCGTCCGTCCACTTCTTACTCGCCTTGGTGAACGCCTTCTTCTTGCACTTGTACCTGTTATGGCATCATGGTCGTCAGCATCATCATCATAAGCGCTGCGTGTTTACCGGGAACAGATCATCGCTATCGCCCCACGGGATCAACAAATGGCCAGCGATTAAACAATTATGGTGAGCATAGCAGCGCTGTGCCTGACTTTGTGTCTCAATAAACATGCAATGTTGGGCCAACGTTGGTGCAATGATCCACGTTTTCTCTGGCTTGTAGCTGTCGCACTGTTTCCTTTAACGTTATGTTATACAGTACACTAAACACGGGGATTGGCTTTAAACGCTGTATCATCTCCTGTAGATGTAGATGCCACTGCTTCTTCATGTTTTGCAGATGTAGATGCCACCACCGCCATCTATTGCATGACAGTTGAACTTACGACTCCCGGTCCGAACAGGCAACTGGACATACGGACAGGTTTGTTCATATCTCTGTACCAGCGAGTTCCGTAAGGTGCTTTGGGGTGTGAGTTCTCGACAGTCGCCTTCGCTCCCTGCCCGTGGGTTCCCTACCAGTTCTTGTAGAAGCGGCGGCGGCACTCATCGCTGAGGTGCTCCGCGAAGATGGTCTTGAGGCCCCTGAGCCCTCGTGGTGTCTGCACGTAGCCCACCATCCCCACCACCACCATCGGAGGTGTCTCGATGATGGTCACCGCCTCCACCTCCTCCCTCTTGCCGATCTCTGCGCGCGGACAAAGGACGCGGGCACGCGGGACGAGGACGTGAGCTCGGCCTCCCAAGAGAGGGACGGTGGCCTGCGACGGGCCTTTCCGTCTGGCGGTTCGCGGGGGCTCCACCTGGTCCGTGAAGGCACTTGGGAGTGGTCCGCGAAGCTCTGAGACAAAATGGCTCACCGGGAGAGTGATACAGACAGGGCTTCATTTCTCGTTGGATATTTTCCGGGGCCGCTGGTTAACTGGAGTATGTCGCACGTGACTTCGTAGCCATGGCCGTAGCGAGAGTTAAACTGGATGTCTTGTACTGGATGTCTTTCCAATTTGGCAAGTCGAACAGACAGACCTGGCTACAATTAAGCCCTGAATACAGATGATTGAGATGAAGGAGTGAAATGTAAGATATAGAGATGAGAGTTGTAGACAAGAGACGTCGATTAATGAGATGAAAGTGAGATAAACAACACAGATGTGAGACGTGACACAGCTATGAACTAGAACCGTAACAGGTGTGAACGGACCTTACGGTGCTCGTGTCACAGTAGCCCATGTGGCTATAGTTGGCACAGCAAGGGGCACAGCTGGTGCATCGGCCAGTCATCTCAGTCAATCCACGGCACCTGGGTCTATCCCGTGACCTCCTGCCAGCGAGCATTCGACACTTCACGTGGGGCCTTAATGTGCACATAGCCTGGCACAAGCGTCGTGATGACGTCACCGTCGCTTAGTGGCGAATGGCGGTAGTTGTTGTGGCTGTAGTAGATTGGCAAAGACACGCCTGTGAACTGTGTCCCTAACACAGGCGTCTCTTTGCCCCATGCGAAGTGTGCGTTAGAACATCAGACCATCAGAGGGGTTGTTCGCGAGAGGGCCGCCATTCGGTCCGCCCAGCTCGCGATGGTAGAACACCACAGACAAGCAGCCCAGACACTGCTGCCGAGAGTTGCCCAACAACCTCTGTGGTCTGCCAGCAGAGGGGGATGCTTGCGACGTACAATCCAAATGGGGTCATTTATCGGCATTCTTTTAGAGCTTGACAAACGTGGATCACGACGACGGCACACAACGGCCTGCGCTCGCGAAAGGCGTCTCGCGATCTCTATAGCGTCCACTGTGAAGCGGATGGCACGTGAGCATCATTATTATTATGGTTCATACGCCGTTTAATCGGGGCGCCTGCTGGATTCGAACCGTGAACCCGCGCAACAAGCGGCAGAGCAGGCTACCGCTAGCCCGGCAAACGGGCCGACGTTGGCATGTGCCCGGAACCGTTGGACCAACGTTGGGCCGAGGTTGGCTCGACGTTGCACGCTTACTGGTGGAACGGCCACGTCGCCAGAGGTGGTGTCGGTGCGGGACTCACTGGATCCAGAGCGGTGAACCTCACGCAGCACGTGCGTCATGCCCGCCTTGTAGCCCAGGAAGGCGGTGAGGTGCACGGGGGCGGCCGGGTCGTCGCGGGGAAAGCTCTTCACCTGCCCGCGGTGGCGCCGCGAGCGCTTGCGCGGGAGGAAGCCCAGGTGGCCATGGCGGGGAGCCGAGAACTTGCGGTGCGACTGCAGGACACAGAGGTGCGGGGCGGTGGGGCGCACAGCACAGACACCAGCGACAGCCGTGCATCGTCAACATCATCATGCACCTCCGATTAGCGCCACCGATTAGCACGGTTGGCTACGTACGGTGCGAAAGAAGTTCAACATACATAATTAACAGCTAAGTTCTATCCATGGCTGGATGAAGGCCTCCCTCCCCATGATGTCGTGACCATCCTTCACAGTCCTGCAATGCACCAGTTGACCTCGCTCCTGCACCTGAGTTGATCTCATTGCCCCTCCATCTCCGTGATGGACGTCCTATCCATGTTCCCTCCCGTGGCTTTCCGTTACGTCGTTAATCTTGTCCACGGGTAGTCAAAGTGTCCTGCCGAAGACCGCGTACATCTCTTGACAGTCAATGGGATGTCGCTAATTTGCTAGCGTGGTCCAATGCACGTGTTACTATTCCTGCCTCAATGTCATGCAAGCATCTCTCCACGCTCCTTGCACTTTTCAGTCTTTGTCCCATTATCTTTGTCCACGTTCGCATGCGTCGGATGCAAACGTTTAAGTTAAGTTTAGTTGCTTAACCATGTGAGAAATAAAGAGACGAGGATAGTGTTAATTTGGGAGCTGTTTTGAATTTCTATCGCTTTAGCATAATACTTAATGAAGAGGGGGGGTGAGGGAGGGGGAAATTACTTGGTTTAATGGTGATGCGGTGCATTTCTCTGCAAGTAATGCTCGAACCGCATTATCACACGGCCACGCGAGAGTGTCTAACGCCACGTTGAGACGGCTCGCATCTTAGCCGCGCTGATCGGGTGTTAGAGGGAACGACGTCCTAGCCGGTGACAAATCCTCCTTCTAAATTTGAGCAAAACGCTCGTTCGCTTCTGTCACTCGCTGTGACAAAGAACATCGCTGCCCCTGGCGTACGATGCCCGCATGTGTTGTGCGTCCCACGTGTTGGTGTGTCGAGTGTGCCTGTGTTAAGTTGGGTACGTTGGGAGCGTCGCGGTTGGTGCCGCTGCGCCATGAAACCTCTGAGCCGAGTTCGATTCCCCGCTCACGGCCAACACCGGTGACCACTATCCGAACGGTTCCCGTGCCTCCCCTAGGTCCACTCGGTTCCAAATGAGAACTTGGTGCGGTCGGGGTGGTGCTGACCTCCCCTACCACCTTGTGTGCCGTGCCGCCCTTCATAGGCGCTCGCTCACAGCGCTTTCCTGAATAGTCTGCTAAAGGCTGTACGGGATATATACATGCGTTCATGGTGTGGATATGACGTGTGCTTACAAGCATGCTCAGCAAACGTTTGCCACTGCGAGCGCCTCTGGCATTGAGAGACGCGACGGGTGTTGAGCACGTGTGTCCATACATGTCCAAAAGGTTCACGCGTTTCACATCGCTGATAGCACTCAGCAAGGTTTCCGTCAGGAATTCGCTGGGCTGCACCATGACACACCACTCAATACTCCGCCATTCGACACGAGGTGACTGTGACGTCATCGCGGCAGCTGTGCCAGGCTAGGTGCACTTTGATGCCACGTGAAGCGTCGAAGGCTCGTCTCGGGACAGACGCAGGTGGTGCCATGGGTTGGCTGACTGAGATGACCGGTAGATGCACCACCAGCTGTACCCCCTACTCTGCCAATTTGCTGCGTTTTATCCGCTGTTGTGAGCGTCGCTCCTCTGCCCTCCGTTGTTCCTGGAGGGCGACTGCCTCCAATTGCCCAGTAGCAGCAGCGTCCTTCACGAGCCTCCCCCACACTCAATACGCACAAACACGCGTGGGCCACTACTGTGCTTGGCTACCCGGGGATTACGCTCACGGCACCAAGCAACAACAACACGCAAAAAAAAACATCTATAAATATCTTACAGACATCTCCATGTAGCCACGCTGCCTGCCTTGCCCTGCCTTTCCACGACCCTCTCTTCTCAGGCGATGGACTCCACAACAGGGCCAGGTCTCGGTCACACAACGAGTTCTCGTGTCTGGGTGTATATCGATCGGGACAGGGATATCCATTGTGCCCCGTGGGTATGTCTGTTTTATAGTTTTCATCGGAGTAAAGACACATTTATTTTTAAATAACTCCGCGTCTGCTATCTGGCTGTTAGCGACACCGGCAGCAGCTGTCGAAGACAAACTGCAGAGTTCATTTTTTTTTTAAAGCGATGTTACTCAGCTTACACGAATACGATTTAGAATCGAAAAACGGCGAGGGTTGGACAACCGTTTGTCAACCCACTGATGGACGAGAGCCTCCCCAACGCTGCGTGGGGTCACGGGGGGCATTTGACCATACTTCACCACGCTGGTCAGTGCAGCTCGGGGAAGGCACTACCGGCCTACACCACGTGGCCCCGAACGAACCGAGTTATTTCTCCGTCTCGTCATTGTAAACCCAGAGAACCTGGGACCGACACACCACGTCCATGAAACCTCTCGTTCTGGCTACTAGTCACGAGCCATCTGAACTCCGGCTTAACCTGCGGCATGGACAATATATGGGGCCAGATATTAAACCGTGGCTGCGAGAGATGGGCAATATCTAAATGACATTAGGTTCGTGATGTTTCAATTGCTTTCTAAATTACACACCATCAATGTACAGTAGTTGGTAATGTCCGTCTACATTACACGCTACACGGTTAATTTGTAATTCGCGTCTACAAAACCGACCATTGCTCCGTGAATTTGTACTTCAATTGAATTCTGCCCATCTCTCCCAGTAGTCGTGAAACACTGGGAGCCGCCGTGTAGTAAAAACGTTCCAGACCGCATCCGTGAGACAGAGATAGAAGCCCGCGACGCAGGCAGAAGAGAAACAGAGAGACGCAGCCAGACGCGTACCATGGTGGCGAGAAGAGCCCTTCTTTAGTCCGTGCGCCTCTCCTTGAGGTGAGCCGCAGAAAAGAGACACTCCGTAGGGTTCGAGCCCGACCCGAACAAGGCACGGCCCCCCTACCACCACCACCCCCTTCACCCAGCGAGGGAGGCGTCTAAATTCTAAATTGGAGCCCGGAGACCCGATCCCTGCCTGGCAAAGCGTGGACGTGCACGACACGGCGTGTATTTATATCTCAACCAAGGGGCCCCCGCCAGCCTCTAAACGCCATCCCGCCCGCCCGCCCGCATCCATCCACCGCTCGGCGGCCGCAGGTGGCGATGATTTCCACCAACCCCCCCACACGCGCGTGGCTGGAGGCCACACGACTCCTCGAGTGGTGGAGCTGCGTCGAGAGTTGTCATTTAGAGCGGCTCGGGTTTCGAGGAGCAGCACGTGAACACGAGTTGGTTTCCATCGAGTGGCGATGATGAAATCAGCACGTGCGCAGGGCTGGTGGATTGCTGCAGTGGCACCGCTGGATTGTGAGAAGTGGCTTACGCTCAGAGAGGTTATCATCCAGCAGTGGATTGATCATGGCTGCTAATGGTGACGACGATGATGTTTGCTGAACCCCGATGGATTCCCTGTGAGATGTAATAGTCGGCAGTGGAAGGGTGACAGGGTAAGTGAAGACATGTGATCGGGAAGTGTAGCAAGGGTTTGAGAACAAGGGGTTGTGGACAGGGGATAGAACAAGAGATAGGGTATTTGGGACAAGTGACAGGAATAGATTCCCGTAGACAGGGGACAGTACAGAGGGGATAGGGAATAGGGGACATGAGATAGGGGATACAGGGTACTGAGGACAGGGAATGAGCCGGAGAAGATTGCAGAGAGGGGGAGTACGAGGGATAGGGGACAGATGTGTGGTTGGGGATATGGATAGAGGGCTGCAAGCTCTTTACAGACGATAACCCTCTTTAGATCACACGGCTAATTTAAGAACACTGAGCCCAAAGCGTGCAAGCTCTAGGCAGATGCACGCCCTGCTTACACTGCATGCCCGGATGGCTACAGGCAGGATGGGCAGGGAGACATGAGGCCAGAACACGGGAACAGACATTCGAAGCAAGTAGACTCGAGAGCATTTAATTTCATTTATTAGGTATAACCCTGTGAGCCATGCGGCTCTTGACTCGGATGCAACCGCAACAAAACAAAAACATGAACAAGAAACATCTTAAAGTGACTAAACGCAACAGAAAAATCCTGGGGACAAGTATAACCCGTAAAAACAAAGTTTTTCACTATAAATCCTTTATATGCGTGGCGGCTAGAGTCCTCTCGTCCTCTGGCTTGAGATGGCTGCCACCTATGGGTCAGATGATTGCATGGCAGCATTAAGCAATTGGTAATTAAATATATTTTTGTCCTAAAAAGTGTAAAATTTTGGAAAAAAATTGCACTAACATTAATTGTCACGCACAACGAGTCTGTGTGGAAAATGTCAGCTCGATTGGATCACGGGAAGTGGGTTCAAAAACGACCGAAAGATTTGCACGGTCCTAAGCAAGCAAGCAAATGAACTTAATATAAAGGATTTAAAAAAAGCAAAGTCTTCCAGAAAAAGCACCGTATTTCAAAGCTGTGTGCAAAAATCCCAGTGGGATGCAAATCAAACAATAACAACCATAAGACAATATAGATTAAAGTGATCAGGCTAACTCTGTACTACAACAAACAAACATGGCTAAACACAAAACGTTTTCAATTCACCAAAATAAAGCTATAAAAACAATGTAACAGTGATCATAGGAACTGTGATTCAAATGTAACAATAAACGATATACATAAACATGTACGACCAAACTTTGCAGCCATAGGTGGCTGCATGAGTCACTCCATAACAGCAGGAGTATCAGTAGCAGTCAAACCATCAGAACAATATTATATCTGAGAGACTCGAGGAGGGACATGACAGCTTAACTAAATAAACTATTTGATATTTTACCAGGTAAGGCCCACTGAGCTGTTTAGCTCTTTTTCAGAAGCGACCTGGCCACAAATGATAGCTCAACGAAGTTTAGATTACTTCGTTGTATTGCAGCGAAGTAATCTAAACGCGTGACTCTCAATGCAGAGATAAAAACCGGAGGACCCGAAGAAAAATCCACGCGACCATGGGCAAGAACATTCAAACTCCAAATATACAGCAGGCGTCAGGGTCGGATATCGAACGCACGACCCTCCTGCATACCAGGCTAGCTAGAGGTATTTAAGACCTCGCCACTAGATAAGAGGACATATGTCAGACAGGAGATGTAGACTCAAAGACGGACAGGACAGACAAGAGGAGAGGCACACCAAAGGAACGATGAGAAGACCGTACACGCAACAGGACAGAGAGACGTACATGAATACAGACGGCACACATGTCAACATACAGGCAGACGGGAGACGGTCCATTTTGCCAATCCACTGCTGGATGGAGGTCTTCCCATGGGGAGGCCATGGGAGCTATTAGACCATATTTCACCAAGATGGTCAGTGCGGGTCGGTGAAGTCGGGGAGCATAGCAGTGCAGCACTACAATGGATATTTATGCACTCTCCTTTGGCGCCCACCACGTAACCGACTGTGCCAATGAAACCCGTAGCACTATTGGAACTTAACTGGGAACAAGCAATGCTACAGTTGCAATAACCCTACTTATCCTCACGAGAGATGTTTTTAGTAGTTTGGCCCAATTCACAGATAATTATTACACACAGTATATATTTTCCACTGCACAACTAAAGCCGTGCCAAGGCACCCGATTGTTTTTCCACTGCAGACGTCGAACCGTGCTGCTAACATCATACACTTTGAACAAGTCGAGAGATGCATGCAGACGACGCGGTCACGCTGTGTGCTCAGCATACTGATGCTTCTTACACGAAATTAACGTCTCATTAGCACCGCCCCTGGCCCTGCTTGGCCCCAAACGTGTTTGTTCCAACCCGAAACTAACCCGCTTTGCGTGGACACCGGCGGGTACCCGCTTAAAGGCGGAACATTTCTTAACGCATCAACAAAAAAAGATTCGAGTTCAGGATGATCTTTCTTGTTCTCCACTGCCACCTATTGTTGAGATTCAGAGCACAAAAAATCAACGCAGACAACAGTAGCAGCAGCAGCCAATCCGTGTACGTGTCCATGGAACGTTGAGTGGTTCTTCGTTAAGTCAGTTGCAACAAAGGGGCCGTCCATAAATGACGTCACGCGATTTTGGACGATTTTTTCCACTCCCCTCCAAAAGCCTCCCTCCTCCACGGATGCGTCACAATCAGTGGAACAAACAACCGGGCGTCCAGAAATAAACACCTCATTGGACACCCAAATATCATCATGGCCATTCCTCCTGGAAGTCGCCGCAAGTTGCCCATCAACCGCATCAGACCATCAAACAGGCCGATGCGCACATACCTTAAAAAATGAACCCCTAAAAACAAGCTCTGCCTCCCACCCCAAAAATAAAACATGCTTCAAATCGATTGAAACTATTATCATTGCAGTGCGTATTTAATGTGCCGCTGCATTCTGATGTTGTAGGAAAAAACATTTATTAAAAAGTGTCTTTAATTAAGTAGAACGTGTTGTCTATATTTATTGAAAGTTGCGCATTTTGATGTGACGTCACATTTCTGAGCCCCCCTCCCCTCGTCACACATCGTCACAAATGTCCCCCTAGGTGCGTGACGTCATTTATGGACGGCCCCATACTCTTTACCCCGTATTCCTATACAGGTAAATTGAGTTTCCAGGTCCATACGGCATACAGCCGTTTCAATACGGGCCAATATGGGACTTTGTAGGATGATCGTTGAAATTTATAAGGACACGGGATGACCAGAAATTGATCTCTAAATGATGTAGGGCACTGATCGCGGGTTTGACAGGTATGCGAACGTATTTCTGCCATACACAGCAATAGAATAGACCCACACTACACTATGGCGATGCCAAAATTTATCTTTAAAAAAAACTCGAAGCCCTATTCGTTGTGGTTTTTAAAATGTAATAAAATATTTAAAAATACATTTTTTTTAAAACACGCTTTAAAGAAATGTACTGTCCGAGCTGCCCCTTCCCCTGCCCCCTTCCCCCATCGCCCCTCCCCTCCTTCCACATGCCCCGCCCCTGGGCGTGGCTCCCCGAGGCTTGCCGTGACGTAAAGGACCACGTGGTGATTTACAGGCAACGTGAGTTGATCGTCAACAATTAGAGCCGTTAAAAAGATTGTTTAAAAATATATTTTAATTTTAATGATAGAATATAGTATTGTCATCAGTGTGACATACCTATACCAAGTTTGCAGTCGATACGACATTGGGAAGACGGTTGAAATTGAGTTACAAGATTTGACGATACGACAACACACAGAGTGAGTTAAATAAAAAAGCGTGTAAAATGTTTTAAATATATATATTTTTAATTGTAATGATAGAATACTGTATAGTCTTGTCATCCGTATGACATAAGTATACCAAGTTTGCAGTCGATAGCACATTGGGAAGTGGGTAAAATTTGAGTTAGAATTTTTTTGGAGGATACAACAGTGAGTTAAATAAAAAAAGCGTGTAAAATGTTTAAAAATATATATTTTAATTTTAATGATATAATATAGTCTTGTCATCAGTATGACACAAGTATACAAAGTTTGCAGTCGATAGCACATTGGGAAGTGGGTAAAATTTGAGTTAGAAGATGGTTTGAGGATAAAATCGTGTAAAATATATATTTGTAAACAAAACCCTTTCATATATATTCAAGATTGTTGTTATTTGTCCTTGTGCGCCACTGCCAACGTAGCAACAGCATCGCCAGATAACTTGTCACGATATATATGAACTGCCAGATGTATCGGCAATGAAACGTCTCTGTTAGATTTTAACGATGCCACGTGCTGACACAAAGCATCTCGTAACACGAGATTATCATCATTAGCGTTGTTGCGTGGGAATAGAAATAACAAACATTGTGTATATCGTATGGACGATTTCTTCTAAATATAGTTATCATTAATGATAAGTTAAAATTCTCTAATATATAACATTTCCTGACAAAATAATCAATTATTTAATCGGTTCGGCAATGGGTTTGTAGAGGCCGGAACTGAGAAGTCGGAACGCACTTTCACGACGCTCGTTGGTTCCGCCCGGAAAGGCGCCGCGAGGGACACGGTCCCCTACCCTCGAGAAACACGGCGGAGTGAGGAGGTGAGGGTTTGTGTGATGATGGACTGAGGTCGGTGAAAGGTGAGGAAGGGTGAGGAGGTGAGGAGAGGTGAGGAAGGGTGAGGAAGGAGGAGAGGTGAGGAAGGGTGAGGAGGTGAGGAGAGCCTCTCGTGTGGGCAGCGTCCCCGCTGGCGGTGCGCGCAATCAGTCGATAGGCGCCACCGGCAACCATCACTCCAGTAGCAACACAGCGCTCCTGTACCAGTAGCAACACGCTACAGTAAAGCTTTGTCAATAGTAGTAGGGTGGTACTGTGTCAATACAAACCCCAACACGTATGTCAATAACACTGTGGCGTTAGAAGGACAACTGTATATCAATGTGTTATTAGTCGGTTAAACACATTCCTGCGGAGGGAGCTGGTAGGAACGTCGGGTTGCTCGGTCAATGGCCTGCAGGGTCAACGGCGGCGTGGTGAATTCCGCAAATATGCCCGACTGTGAGGGCGGGCACAAGCCGGCGTGAGTAGGTTAAACGTTGAGTTTTATAAGGGCACCACGGGGTGACCAGCCCCTCCCCACCCAGCCCCACCCTCCCCACCCATCCAGCCCCTCCCTCCCCACCCACCCAGCCCCTCCCTCCCCACCCACCCAGCCCCTCCCTCCCCACCCAGCCCCTGCCTCCCCACCCACCCAGCCCCTCCCTCCCCACCCAGCCCCTCCCTCCCCACCCAGCCTTTCCCTGCACGACAGACGGACGGACACAATAATCCCCTGTGGGCTGATATAACCAGGAGGTTCCTACCAGTATGAGTCTTTACATGGACGAAACCGGAGCACCCGGAGACAACCACGTGTGTGTGAGCGACACTACCCCACAAAGACGGATCAGATGGGGTCCACATTTGATGTGGCTGCCTTCTAGGAAACCAGAGTATTGACACCTCGATTCCCATTCACTGCCTTCTCCATGGACAAGATTTGTGCAACCCACCAACCCCCATCTCCACAGTGCTGGATTATGAGTGTATGCCACCACTGGCCAGTATGCTGTATTACTCGGTTACTGACCTAAAATGTTACTATTTGTTCCTTTGTTTACTACCTTCACCCACAGTTCATCACAAAGCTACCCCATTGTATCACACACCACGCGAACACTTTGGATGGGTAATGTAGGGTGGTCTCCTTTAACAATAACGTGAATTAACACAGTGTATAAATGCAATAACGTATCATGCTTCACAGCAGCGGAGGACACAAGTTGTGAAACCGTCAGTGGGTAGCGGCGTTTCGACATTAAATTATTTGGCTGGTGATGGACAACACATGTGGAGTGTGCTGCAGTTCAGAACAAGACACTACACATTTCTTTTTAACAATAATCTGGGTCCAGTGAGAATTTTACATATTTTAAATGCACATTCTTGCTATTGCAGCGCAGAGTGGGGATACTTAGTCTGAAAATGTCACACCTCATTAAGTTACTGATAGGGCTATCAATGTGCAGCCACCACCTGGGTCAGTTGGTAAATGTGAGTTGCCGTCACTCTGAGCCTTCATCTTCCCTCTGCTTGCTTCCTTGGGCTCCTGTGTTCTCTTTTCCCAAGCCTCATGACTTCATATTTCCCCATCTTTCTTGGCCTGCCTCGTAGCCTCGGCTCATTCATACAATGGGCAGCACGTATGGAACGTGTCTGAACATTTGTCACAACAGCCTGGCTAACGAGTGCAGTGTGGTGCATAGGAGGACGGGCTGTGTCGAGGCGGCGCGACCGCCCCACCGAGCTGTCGAAGATGAACACCGGCCAGGGCAGTGTGGGCAGTGACCCGGTGATCTTGGCCACGGCCGGCTACGACCACACCATTCGCTTCTGGCAGGCGCACAGCGGCGTGTGCACGCGCACCGTGCAGCACCAGGACTCCGTATCCTCTGCTGCTTTGCCCGTCGGTCTGCTCTCGAGCGAGGTCATCCCATTATTTTAGAAAATGATTTGATGATGCTGCGTTGGCAGCGGTGCACAAGTAACTGTAAGTTAACACATTCATAGATAGGACTGCCTTAAAAGTAAAAATATATAGTAATAGGCAACAATTCGAATAATGGCCCTTTATAGCGCATATACATCCCAATTAATTACCGAGTATTGATTCCTTGCAAAAGGTTTATATTTGGTTCTAGATTTGAAGTTTTCGTGACTGCAAGGATCCATACTCTTTGGTTTTTTCGGTAAAGTCACATAGGTTAAAAAATAAAAAAAAATAAATCACGACGTTTCGGAGGCAACACAAGCTTCCGTGTTTGAACATCTTAACACCTATTTTATTGCCAGAAAGGGTAAAACCTCTCCTTATTGTTTCATACGGGTTATTGATTTATTTTTCGATTTAAAGCTTTCGTGACTGCAGGGATTCATCTTCTTGGTTCTTTCGGTAAAGTCACGTAGAAGGGAAATAATAAAATAATAAAAATAAAACATAAAATACAATTCTCACGACGTTTCGGCCACAACGCAAGCAGCCGTCCTCAGGTGAAGAACAGGTCTGTGGCCGAAACGTCGTGAGAATTGTATTTTATTATGTTTTATTTTTATTATTTTATTATTTCCCTTCTACGTGACTTTACCGAAAGAACCAAGAAGAGGGGTTATTGATGTTCCAAACTGTCACTGGAAGGTGCCTGCTGTACTCCACTGACACAAACTTGAAGTTGCTGCTTAACTTCTCTATTCAGCAAGTGAACGCTTTGGAGATCACACCCGATCGGACACTCATCGCTGCGGCTGGTGAGTAAGATTCAGATTTTCAGAATACGTACATGATGTGCCTTGTCTATTTTAAGGGACAACCTCCCCCCACCCCCAATATGCATGGTGTAAGGCAGGGGTGCGGAACCTCGTTTCATATCGACATGAGGTCTACCGCTTTGAAACAGCCTGCAAAGTATCATTATCCTAAGCTGCAAGCATCTTAGCTGAACTAATTGGGAATACGATGGGAATATGTTATGACCTGGCAGCACTGTATTGTATATATGTATGCTGAACTTCTTTCGCACCGTACATAGCCCACCATGCTTATTGCAGGTGTTCCTAATGTCGGCGCGATCAGTCACTTCTGTCAATGCAAGGGGCACTTCATTCTCGGTCGGCACGCACGTTATTCTTCACGTTATTATTGGACAGTGCTAAGGTGTACAGAATGGTAATGTGTGCTTGCCTGCCAAGGGTGTTAGAAATCACGCTGCGCTACGATCCTGACGACCTGGGTTCGATTCCTGCTCATGGCCAAAACCAGTGACGATTCTCTGAACTGATCCTGGGCCTCCTCTAGGTCGACTCAGCCTCAAATGAGTACCTGGTGTGGTGTGTAAACGTCGCACTAGGCAGACAAAGGTGGCCGTGCGTGGTGTTAGCCACCGACCCCTGTTGTGTGCCGTGCTGGCCTTCATAGGTTCTCGCGAACAGCACTTGCCCCAACAGTCTGCTAAGGCTATACGGGGTGGATCTTTGTCTTTGCAGGATATCAGCACATCCGCATGTACGACCTCAACTCTAACAACCCCAACCCCGTCATCAGCTACGACGGAATCAGCAAGAACGTCTCTTCCGTCGGGTTCCATGAGGACGGGCGCTGGATGTACACGGGCGGCGAGGACTGTATGACGCGCATTTGGGATCTCAGGTCTGTGCGTGCTGTTAGAATCCTGTTGAGAGGTGTTAATTTTCATTTGAAATTCTCACAGGCAGTTGCGCATCGCTCTGTGTTGCGTGGATAGCCAAGATTTGGAAGTAGGCTATATTTCAGAAATGCTTTCGAGATCTTCAATATTGGTTCTCATCCATACAAGCAACGTTTCACGTGCCTCTGTTGTGGAGGTCTTTTATCACGTGGCAGTCAACCCGAAACATTTTTAGTCTACGGAGCTGGAACAAACTGAAATTATGTGAAAATGTGCCCATGCCTGGGGAAACCAAAGCTGCAGTTATCTGGCCAAGTCTTCGCACTTCTGTCCAACACGTGACAACAGTGAAAGCTATATGTTTAAGCACTCGTTGGTCACCAACCTAAGACCATGAACTCACTTCACTTGAGAACCCAGATTAACCATGGGGAGCTGCCAGGTGCCACCTCCGTGTTCCAACACAGCTAATACCCGAGCCACCTGGGTCCTTCAGGTCTATGAGCAGCCCTATCACATATATGTGGACCCTGGCATTGTAGCCTGGCAACATTGCTGGTTGAAATAATAAACAGCGCCTACCTAGCCCGTCTAAAGAAGATGTGTGCTTGCTTCGCGTAACATGGTGTTGTGTTGGTGCGATTATAGTGTGTATGTCTGTGCCTAAACTGATGCAGGTCCAGAAATCTGCAGTGTCAGAGGATTTTGCAAGTCAATGCCCCAATCAACTGTGTTTTTCTGCATCCCAACCAGGTAATCCCACCCTGCAAAGCAATACATGGAAACTGGAAGGATTTATTTTGACAGTCAGTATCTTGTAATGCTCTTGTGTTATTACTGCGTGCAATGGCGGAGCCAGGGTTTTCAGGTAGGGGGGCAACCTCTCCAGCAATGAAAAATGATAGGCGTTGTTAGTAAGTAAGGACTTGTCCCTCGATTTTTATTCGACGCGTGTGCGGCGATGGCGCAGCCATCGATCGAGGGTCGAATTCGAACCGTGTTGTGTGATCGGCATCGCGCTCGCTGAAGGTGAATGCCTTCAGGGAAGTCGTGCACTGTATACGCAACTGCGCACAATTCTGTGAGTCACTTATAACTGCTTTGCCGTTACTTATTGCTAATAATGTACTCAGACTATTGTCCTATCATCTCATAGAGTCCCTGGCACTTAATAATATGCTACACAGTGGCAGTGGGGGTCGCAAAATGCCGATTTATTACTAATAAACCCCAATGATCCGATCGAAATCCCTAATCATTGGGGGGGCACGTGCCACCCCACGCCCCCCCACTGGCTCAGCCAGTGACTGCATGTGTAGTGACTGACTCGGAGACACGAGGAGTAGGAGGCACTCTACTTTTTTAACAGCCTTCTCAGTCCTCAAAAGTAACTACAGCTCCCAGTCAGGACAGCTGGCAGACTGCCTGACTGACGACGCCGAGATGGTGAAGACGCAGACGGCAGTGAAGACTCCAGCAGCACGACGAGGGGATCCCACTCACGGCGACAGCCCCGAGCCTTTGCTGGGGTCCCCTTTTATCCTCCCAGCGTGGCCTCGCTCCGCCCCAGCCACGCCCCCCTTCCAGAACCTACTAGCGGGTTCCCAGGCTTCTCTCCCGTGCCCCCTCTGTACTCTTTCCCTTACATCCCTCTCTCTGGTTTATCACGTGACCTGCTGTCAGTCAGGGCTGCTGCAACTGCAGATCCTCTTCTCTGTCAGCAACCAGCGCTACGCTACGTAGTGACCCATTCTATGTCACTACACATGCATCATGTATTGCCTGTGCAGCTATGTGAACACTTTTTGCCATGTGGGTTTGCATTCACCAGCCACGCCTAGTCAGACTTGCTGTATGTGTGTGCAGTGGTTCATTTAATGCACTATCCTACAAATCTGTCGAACACAGTTCAGTTCCCTGCCACAGCAAACATCAGCGGCAAATATTTAAACCTGTCTTGGGCCTCCACGAGGTTGACTTAGCCTTAAATGCGCACTTAGTACTTGGAGAGACAAAGTCAGCCAGGTGGGGTGCTGGCCACACCAGCCCACAATGTACCATGCCAGCCTTAATGCCGGCCGCTGCATTTATACGATGGCGACTGCCGGGCAAGTGCGAAAAGATTGCGTGGAATGTTGAAGGGTTTTCATATGACTGACGAGACCAATCCTGACTGCACAGCACGGACTCCGGGGGTGTGTGTGTGTGTATCGCTATGAGTAACACAATGCATACATGGACTTAAGTCTCGCATGGCGTCCTCGGTCGGGTGTTTTCTACAGAGTCGATTCTGCATGGTTTCCTGCATGCATTTGGATTCTAAAGTTACCACACCAGCCTGTACGAAAGTGCTCACTTAGAGCACTTTCCGCACCAGTCTGCAACAGCCTGACGGAGGGGTGGTTTGTCTTCTTTCAGGCCGAACTCATCGTGGCCGATCAGAGCGGCGCCATCCACATCTGGGACCTCAAGACGGACCAGAACGAGCAGCTGATCCCCGAGCAGGACGTGGCCATGAACTGCGTGCACATCGACCCCGACGCCAGCTACATGGCAGCTGTCAACAGCACGGTACGGAGGCAGATCTCGTCTTGGTGGGCCCTGGTCACTCTTGCAAAAATCAAACAGCCAATGTAAAATCACATACTCGTGGACGCACGTTCCCAAACCTGCTGGCTAGAAATAAATATATTTATCAAAGCTGCCATCGTGTATCTTAACGTTGCATCACTAACATTTGTAGGATCCACACAACTCTGAAAATGCATTGGTAATGCTGTGTAGAAAATTTTTATCGTAAAATAATGTACGCTGAAGTTCTTTCGCACCGTACATAGCCCACCATGCTTATTGCAGGTGTTCCTAATGTCGGCGCGATCAGTCACTTCTGTCAATGCAAGGGGCACTTCATACTCGGTCGGCACGCACGTTATTCTTCACGTTATTATTGGATAGTGCTAAGGTGTACAGAATGGTAATGAGTGCTTGCCTGCCAAGGGTGTTAGAAAGTACGCTGCGCTACGATCCTGACGACCTGGGTTTAACGACCCTTCGCTTTGCACACCTGTGACACCAGGGCCAGTGTTATGTGTGGAACCTGACAGGAGGAGTGCGAGAGCAGCCCACACACCTCATCCCCAAGTTCAAGATTAGTGCTCACAAGACCTACGCCCTCAAGTGCCGGTTCAGCCCAGACTCCACGTGAGTCACAGTGCCAGTGCGCAACATCGTGCGTTACGCTCATGGGGTTTACAGCTGGGGGTTGTCCCATTATTTGAGAAATTGATTACTCTTTCGGCTGTCGCTTGGATTGCTCGACTAATTGGACAGCACGAAAATATTCACATCTGCTGCCACGTGTGCCGCTGGATAGGAGGTGACGGGCGAGGCTTGGTGATGTCGTTGGCAAAATCAGCCTTGCCACGCTGAGTGTGGCTTATAGGGGATGGGGTTTCCTACCTTGAGAACGCAGCGGTTGGCCTCCTTTTTTTTAAAGGGGCCAGAGTAATCTGCCACAGAGAAGTCGTCAGTATCCTCGAGAAGGGCGCATGAACTCCCTCTTGCGGAGACCCTGCCGCCAGCAGTGGTGTGAGAGAGTCAATTTCAGGGATGCCCCTTTACCTTATTACATTTTAACAATGTATTAATTGGGCAAAATTGGAGGGACGATTAACAACAATTTTAAGGTCACTCTGGTTCTTTCGGTAAAGTCACGTGGAAAGAAAAGAATAATTAAATAATAGCATACGACGTTTCGATTGCAACACAAGTAATCGTCATCAGGTGCAAATGAAAGAGAAAACAAACATAGTAAACTTAGAAATATAATGCAATACAACACAGAGAGTCGGCTAACATAACAGTCAACACCCTACCTGGTTGCTCCAAAGCTCCAAATCAAGTTTGAATTTTAAGGTCATCGGATTATCATGGGAGAGGATGGTGCGTTCCTGAAAGGTGCGACAACAAAGATGGAAACGACGTCAAAGCATTTTTCCCCACGAGAGCTAAACAATGACACAACGAAGGGTATGGCGAAGCTGTGTGTTAATGCGCACATCTTCATCCTGGACGTACCCACAACATTACATTGAATTACTAAAAATACTGTACTCAACACGAGTGTACAGCAGTAAACTTTAACACATTACACAGGGTAGAATAAGATACAGTACACTTTCTAGATTTGAAGCTTTCGTGACTGCAAGGATTCATACTCTTAGGTTTTTTCGGTAAAGTCACGTAGGTAAAAAATAAAAATAATAATAGAAATAAAATAATAATAAATGAAAATAAATCAATTAAATCACGACGTTTCGGAGGCAACACAAGTCTCTGTCTTCAGGTGGGACCGTCACAGCTAAATTTACTGTATCACTTTACCGAAAAAACCTAAGAGTATACAGTACACTATAAAATGAAATCAGAAAGATACAGTCCATAAATAATGTAGTGTACTCTACAGTACGTTTTTTTATACGACAGATACGAAAAAGGACGGATGCTTTCGGGATGTGTCGGTTGAGGCGACGGAAATCAGGTAGCAGTAATAATAAAGCGTAAAAGGGGGGACATAAATCCGGGTAGTCCTGTTTAAGGGACTTGACTTAATCCACCAATTGTCCCAACTCGTGATCTCTGCGGATGCGTTTGGGGGACGGATTGACATGGTAACAAGCGGTTGCTTTCCCCCGCTGTGCGATCGCAGGCTCCTAGCCACGTGCTCGTCGGACCAGACGTGCACGATTTGGCGCACAGCGAACTTCACGATGCTCACGGAGCTCAGCATCCGCAGCAGTAACCCGGCCGAGAGCTCCCGTGGATGGATGTGGGACTGCGCCTTCTCCGGGGATTCACAGTACATGGTCACCGGTGTGTGCCGCTGGGCTTCAAGAGTCGTGGGGCGAAATACAAAAAGCCTCATACATTCCACATAAATTCCAGCTCTCTGCTTTGGAGATTACAGATTGTGTTTATGTGACGAACACAGTTCAAACTTATTGCATTTTAAACATCTCTTTTCCTGTTATCCCCAAACATAATCCCGATGGCACTATCAGTGTCATGTTACAAGACTAAAAATGCATTTGGATCCGTCCGGTGCGATGTGACTCTCAGTAAACGGCTCACGAAAGTGAATATTACAGAACTGCTTCTGAGATTCCTTCAACTGACATTAGGAGACAGCACTTTCCTGCCCACCCTGCTGCAGGCAATATTGTTCATCACTTGACAGTCAAACCGATGTTCATTTTCAGAGCTGGAATTTAGGCAAATTTAAGTGTGAAACCAAATTTGATGAGATGACTCGTTTTGTGCCGCCGTTGCTGACTGTGCTTGAGACCCAGTTTGATCACCATTGGTTGTCTGGATTCAAACCCATAATGTCAACATTGCCAGCTCAGTGTTCAGACCTCTGAGCAACAAGGGCATCTCCACACTGAATACATTTCAAAATATCCAGCCATTACAAGATTTTTCACCGATTAAAAGTCACCCAGAATCGAACATCCTGTGTTAAAAAAAGAGCCTCGATGAATACCCGGTGTTCACCTTGAACGTGGCACAGCAAACGGTTGCGTGGACTTGGCGACGTCTCCGCTCACAGTCTCTGTGCCCGTCGCGTGTCGCGTGCAGCATCGTCGGACAACACGGCGCGGCTGTGGAGTGTGGAGACGGGCGAGATAAAGCGCGAGTACACGGGCCACCAGAAGGCAGTCGTGTGCCTCGCCTTCAACGACAGCGTCATCGCCTGATTGGCCATGTCGTCCCCTGAGCCTGGCCGGAGGAGGCCATCCGGGGGGGCCAACCTGTTCAGCAGCCCTTCTACGTCTCAAAGCCACCAACAGCAGACGCAGGGTCGCAACGAGCTGTGCGTGAACATTGCATTTTGCTTCACGGTGTTCGTCAACTTGTCGGTCTATATGTCCACATTAGTTGAGCAGGAAATGGCGGCATCGGTTAATGTCCGGTAGATAGCTTAAATTTTACATTTTTAGAGGTCACGGTGGTTCACGAATGTATGGTCAATGGTGCGGTCGGTATTTCTTCAATCGTGTGGGGGGGCTGCAATATTCCACCTGTGCAGGTAGTGGGTGGATCTGCCATGAGTAGTGCAAAATAAATGATTATGTGTTTAGATACAAACAAGTCTGTGCAACATGAACTACCCTTTTTCGCGAGACGTATGTAGTCCGCCGTGTGGGTTTGCTTCGCAGCGGGACACTGTCGTAATAAAATTAGCACATGTAAGTAGTTGACGGCGTGAGGCAGGCAAGTGAAAGTTTCATTCACAATAAATGTCCATTCCCTTTTGTGTGCTTTTCCCGTCCGTTGCGATGCGCGAGAGAATTTTGGCGGCTTCAGGGTATATTCCACACACCGCACATTACTCACGCGAGGGCTGAAGTGGGCATATATTTCAACACACCGGTGGGCTAAAGCAGTGAACTATTTGTCATTTGTCAACGTGACACTTTTTTACTGATTGGCCGTGTCGGGTGGTGGAGGGTTACGACACATAAATAACGCGATCTAAACCCAAAAACGTTGATTATGAATATATTTCTTATTCGTGATGCCGTCATGCAAAACAACACGCGTTGTAATTTTCTACCATGTTCTGTTTCCGGAGCACGATGATGGTGGAGTAGAAGGTAGCTAAGTTATTTAACCAGATAAGGCTCACTGAGCTTAATAGCTCTTTGTCAGAAGCGACCTTGGCACAAATAATAGCTCAACGAAGAGGCTTATCGTGTGTCAAAATGTGGAGGGGAAAAAGCGGAGAACTCGGAGAACTATCCACGCAACCACGGGGAGAACATGCAAACACCAAATATACATCTTCTTGGTTCTTTCGGTAAAGTCACGTAGAAGGGAAATAATAAAAATAAAACAAAATACAATTCCCACGACGTTTCGGCCACAACGCAAGCAGCCGTCCTCAGGTGAAGAACAGGTCTATCAGGAAGGCAGCGTCTTAATGAACGAAACGTCGTGAGAATTGTATTTCATCATGTTTTATTATTTTATTATTTCTCTTCTACGTGACTTTAACCGAAAGAACCAAGAAGATGAATCCCTGCACTCACGAAAGCTTCAAATCGAATGTTACCACGTGACTCGGGCTTGTAACTCACGACAAGAGTTCATGAATGTTACCACGTGACTCCGGCTGTCACGCACGTCACAGTTCATGAATGTTACCACGTGACTTCGGCTTGTAACTCACGTCACAGTTCATGAATGTTACCACGTGACTCGGGCTGTCACGCACGTCACAGTTCATGAATGTTACCACGTGACTTCGGCTTGTAACGCACGTCACAGTTCATGAATGTTACCACGTGACTCCGGCTGTCACTCACGTCACGAGGTCGGGAATTCTGACCAATCGAGGCGCTCGTTGTGGGCGGATGCAACGCACCGAACCCGGAAGTGAAGCGCGGGAAATCGCGGCCTCCTGGGGAGGAGCCCGCGACTCGCAAACAGCGACCGCCTCCTCCTCCTCCTCTTTCCTGGCGCGTTTGTGCCGGCTCAGGTGTCTGTCTCCACCCCTCCGCTCCCCTCTCCTCCACGCCTCCCGGCTCACACAGGCGAGCCACGCGCAATTTAGACGCGGCGTCCATGAGATGAGCAAACCCCCGGGCTCTCGGCTCGCGCTCCACATGGTTGTCGTCTTCTGCCGCGTCCGCTGCTCCTGCTGCTGCTGCGTGTGTTGTATCTGGTCGTCCGCTCCTCCTGCTGCTGCTCCTGCTGCGTGTGTTGTGTCTGGTCGCCTGCTGCTGCTGCGTGTGTTGTGTCTGGTCGCCCGCTCCTCCTGCTACTGCTCCTGCTGCGTGTGTTGTGTCTGGTCGCCTGCTGCTGGCTGCGTGTGTTGTGTCTGGTCGCCCGCTCCTCCTGCTACTGCTCCTGCTGCGTGTGTTGTGTCTGGTCGCCTGCTCCTGCTGCGTGTGTTGTGTCTGGTCGCCTGCTCCTGCTGCGTGTGTTGTGTCTGGTCGCCCGCTCCTCCTGCTACTGCTCCTGCTGCGTGTGTTGTGTCTGGTCGCCTGCTGCTGCTGCGTGTGTTGTGTCTGGTCGCCTGCTCCTGCTGCGTGTGTTGTGTCTGGTCGCCTGCTGCTGCTGCGTGTGTTGTGTCTGGTCGCCCGCTGCTCCTGCTGCTGCTGCGTGTGTTGTGTCTGGCCGACTGCTGCTCCTGCTGCGTGTTGTGTCTGGTCGACCGCTCCTCCTGCTGCTGCTGCGTGTGTTGTGTCCGGTCGCCTGCTCCTGCTCTTGCTGCTGTTACTGCTGTGTGTTGTGTCTGGTCGCCCGCTCCTGCTGCTGCTGCGTGTGTTGTCTGGTCACCCGCTCCTGCTCTTGCTGCTGCTGCTGCGCGTGTTGTGTCTGGTCGACTGCTGCTGCTTGTTGTGTCTGATCGCCCGCGACTGCTCAACCCCGGCAGCGCGCACGATCAATGTCGCTTCTGTTGAATTGGCCCTGGCGACAACCCGCGGTCGGCCGCGACGTGAAATGTGCCGCGAAACGAGAGCGGTGGTTCGACGTTGCCCCGACGTTGCTCCAACGTTGGCCCAACGTTGGCCCGGCGTTTTCATGTTTACATGCGTAGGGTGGGGGGCCCACGTGCGCCTCGACATTAAACCGTGAAACACACACCGAAATGCACGCACGTGCCGGCCTCGACTGCGTGTGCATGCCCCTTTTGCGCGTGTGGGTCACAGCTTCGCAACACATCTGCTGCACGATGTGGGATGGTAGCACAGGAAGCGGCGAGGGGTGATTGACACTCGGTGACGTTGCTGCTGATGAGACTTTAATTTGGTCAGATCCACCGTGATCGCAGTGGTTGGATCTTGTAGCGTCCAGTGATGAAGTCCCGTTGCGTTATCGTCGCTATCCTATCGCTGCAGGAATGCAGTGAATGGATGTCGATGGGGGCTTTTATACACATTCCTGCGGAGGGAGCTGGTAGGAACGTTGGGTTGCTCGGTTAATGGCCAGGGTCAACAGCGACGTGGTGTATTCCGCAAATATGGCCGACTGTGAGGGCGGGCACAAGCCGGCGTGAGTAGGTTAAATGTTGAGTTTTATAGGGGCACCACGGGGTGACCAGCCCCTCCCCACCCAGCCCCACCCTCTCACCCCCCACCCAGCCCCTCCCCACCCCACCCAGCCCCTCCCCACCCAGCCCCTCCCCACCCAGCCCCACCCCTCCCACCCTCCCCACCCACCCAGCCCCACCCTCCCCTCCCAGCCCCTCCCCACCCAGCCCCTCCCCACCCAGCCCCACCCTCCCCACCCAGCCCCACCCCTCCCACCCCCCACCCAGCCCCACCCTCCCCTCCCCACCCAGCCCGTCCCCACCCAGCCCCTCCCCACCCTCCCCTCCACCCAGCCCCACCCTTCCCATTTTTGGATGCACGACGGACGGACGGACACAATAATCCCGTGTGGGCTGGTGTAACCAGGAGGTTCCTACCAGTACCAAGCCGCTTAACTGTCGACTTACTGCTGATGTCGCGAAGGCGACACAGAATTTAACCAAAAAGAAATAATTTTACATTCGTCAATAACACTGCCAACGCAGCAGCGTTACTAAATACTGTAATTTGTGAAATTTCACACGCATGACTTACGAATTCTAAATACTGTAATGAATAGCCTGTTGGCCTCCTTCCCATATCCTGTGTGTGTGTCTGCATCAGCATTCTGGGAGTGCATAATTTCAGCAGCATTGATCGCATCGACAACGTGCAAACTCCTCGGCCGACCTGCCAAAGTTGGGCCGATGTTCGCACGCCTTTGGAACATTTTGTGGTCAAAACGCCGCACTATTTCTGGGTTGTGGTTGTCGCTGTTTAGTGCTCAGCGATGTCCATTATTTTGATGTTCCGCGTTTATTAAGACCTCTAAAGCGTCAGACGAAACTGACGCAGCAGTGAGTCCAACAAGCCTGGCGAGTTAAACAAAACCATGGCAAGCCACCGTTACGTTCGAACGCCCATGTAATGTTGACACATTCTGTTCATGTTCAACGTTTCCCACGCTCATTGTAAATTTGACACATCCTCACCCGCCCAGCCCACTGCCAACCGAAAGTGGGCAAACATTACACGCGTCCTGATTGTATCAGCCCAGTACAATATTCGCGTTATAGCTTGGACGAGTATACGCGATTACGATTCGTCTGCAAGTACATAGAGCTTATACTGGTAGCAACCTCCTGGTTACACCAGCCCACAGGGGATTATTGTGTCCGTCCGTTCGTTGTGCAGGGAGGGGCTGGGTGGAGAGGGGAGGGTGGGGAGGGGCTGGGTGGGGAGGGTGGGGCTGGGTGGGGGGTGGGAGGGATTGGGCTGGGTGGGGAGGGGCTGGTCACCCCGTGGTGCCCTTATAAAACTCAACGTTTAACCTACTCACGCCGGCTTGTGCCCGCCCTCACAGTCGGGCATATTTGCGGAATACACCACGCCGCCGTTGACCCTGGCCATTGACCGAGCAACCCAACGTTCCTACCAGCTCCCTCCGCAGGAATGTGTTTTATGTTTTGCTTGCGTGGTCAGTAACTGGGGCCTCTTGAACACCACAGCCGCGCCCGTCTGCACTCTGCCTTCCCGAAGGCGGGGAACCTATAATAATCGCCGGAGCATAAATCCGAAGTCAAAACTGGCTCCCCCACACTTCTCTAGTGGAATGCCCCCATGTCCGCCGCCGGCTCTTGCGTTCTTAGTTGTCAACTCTGTTTGTTGTAGTACAGAGTTAGACTGATGGCCTTAATCTAAGTTGTCTTATGGTTGTTGTTGTGGTTTGACTTGCATCCCACTGGGATTTTTGCACACAGCGTTGGTGTACGGTGTTTTTTTCTGCAATATTTTGCTGTCTTTTCTTGGATTTTCTGTTTGCACTTAGTCACATATTCACTTTAAGATGTTTTTTGTTCATGTTTTAGTTTTTTGTTTGTTGCGGTTGCACCCGATTCAAGAGCCGAATGGCTCACAGGGCTACACCTAATACATGAACTTGAACTTGTGGGTCGTCCTCTCATTCCCACCCTCCAGAGGCCGCTCGAGGAAGCCACGCGCTGATGAGTGCCCAGAAGACGAAGTGCCCACGTGCCCGTGTGTGAGCGAGCTTCCCTTCCTCCTTCCTCAATGGGTGAGACGACATCGGCTGCGCTGGTGTCCGCCTGGTGGGTTTTCGTGAAATAAAAATAAAAATCATCACCCCCTCCTCGTTCGGCGTTGTACGGTGCCGTATGTACGTTGCACAGTAGCCAACCGTGCTCATCGGAGGTCGTTCCGCACCCTCCGATTGGCTACGTACGGTGCGAAAGAAGTTCAACATACAGTGCTTGTACCATGCACTCCTTTGTCAGTCCACTGCTGGATGAGGGGGGCCTCACAACCAGACCTGGGGTCAGTTATAATTACCGTTACAGCAGCATTGGTGGCCGATATTACGACGACATTGTGAGTACAATGCATTATGAATTATACGGTCACGATTATTATACATAATTGACTCTGGGTCTGCTCCCCACGCCGTGCTGGGGTCACGGGGATTATTCCCCCATACTTCACCGCACTGGCCAGTGCGGGTCAGCGCAAGCAGCAAGCATGGAGGTGGGAGCATATAAGTACAGCACAACAATGGACAGTGCTGCACTGCCCTGTGCTGAGAACGCTGCTGCACAACGCCATGAACGCGTCTCGTCACCTCCCGGCGTTCTTATTCGCTGGAGGCCACGTCCCGTTTGGAGGGGGGGGGCACAGGTGGGGGGAGGGGGGTAAGGAAGAGAGTGGGGGGTCACGCGCGAGGTGGGGGGGGTCACGAGAGGGAGGAGGGGGGGGTCACGCGCGAGGGGAGGGGGGGGGTCACGAGAGGGAGGAGGGGGGGTCACGCGCGAGGGGGAGGGGGGTGGTGGGTGGTCACGCGCGAGGGGGAGGGGGGTGGTGGGTGGTCACGCGCGAGGGGGAGGGGGGTGGTCATGCACGAGGTGGGGGGGTCACGCGCGAGGGGGGGGGGTCACGCGCGAGGGGCGGGGGCACCCTGGGGTGGAAAGTTGGGGGCATTGCCTAGCTATGGGTGCTTTCACTGGTAGAAGAATAGCATTGCAACTATGAAGTCCACTCAATGTATCTTGCCTTCTGTTCTGTTCTTACTCGCCCCGACTGGACATCTGTGAAAAAGAACATAGCGCATCGGATTCCTCCAGTATAGAGCAATATTCTTATTCTGAATGAGTGCCGTTGCCTGGAACGTCAGCCTGCTTTATACATGTTTTCTGTTGTGAAGCAGTGTTGAATGAAAAACGAGTGGTTATTTATTTGTGCTCGTTGTACTACAAAATAGCATTTGGCCACACAAAATGCGTTATCGTTTTAAACTGGACACTTTACACAAGAGTGAAATCCACACCAGATTAACACGCGGTAATCGTTATATTTAAATGTATACCTTTCAATGAATTGTTATATTTAAATCGCGATTTGAATGCATTCTCTGACCACATCACCAGGTATGCATCCAGTCTCTTTAGACCTTGCAAGCCAAGTAGCTTTGCGCCTGGACAGTGCTTGGATGGGTGCCCACAGATGCGGTGCTATTAGGTTACTGTGGGGACATTAATGTCTCAAGGCACATTGACACATTAGTGAAAGGCACCTAGCAAATTAATGTAAATTATTATTTGCGAGAGTCGAGGGCGGTGCGACAAGACCCATTGCAATGTCCTCTGCTCCCCGTGTTCAAGCTCTGCCCACCTTCGCTAACCAGATAGTGACCAGCGTGGTGAGGTCCGGTGTAATAACCCCCACGGTCAGGCAGTGGATTGACGCAACAGTTTCCACACGTTTGCACACCCGGTAAACGTGTCAACGTTGGGTCAACATTGGGCACGTGTTCTTGGTTCTTTCGGTAAAGTCACGTAGAAGGGAGATAATAAAATAATAAAACATAATAAAATAATTCTCACGACGTTTCGGCCACAACGCAAGCAGCCGTCCTCAGGTGAAGAACAGGTCTGTCTTTCCGAGAGAATTATTTTATTATGTTTTATTTTTATTATTTTATTATCTCCCTTCTACGTGACTTTACCGAAAGAACCAAGACGATTGGGCACGTGGTTGGAAACGTCGTACCGACGTTGGCCCAACGTTCCACGTGTGCCGGACCGCCGTTACCTGCGTGTGTTTTTATTCGGAGCGTGGACCAAAACAATCCCCATCCAGGAAACTTGATGCTTGGGGAGTGTTTAGGTCATACCATGTCTGCAGTGGGGGGGGGGGGGGGGGGGGGGTTACTCGAAAATCCTCCACACTTCATCTCACAATCTACTTCACAAATACTCCCCACTGTTACTTTCTGCAATGAGCGTTGATCCCCAGGTTAATATTTTATTGTACCTACATCGCCACGTAAACTATTGGCATTACAGGTTATTAGTTGACACCTGCGGTTTACCCAAACCCCCCCCCCCCACTCCTTCTGTGGACATGTGTGAGCGCCTGTGTGCTGCTGTCATTCATTCAGCACCTGAAGCTGACTAAGTTAACATCTCCTAGCTCCTCACCTCCCTCCTCCTGGTTCCGCCGCTCCCCATTAACACGCTCAGTGGATGCCGGGGCCGTGTGGACACGAGTGAACGAAGCGTCGCGTCTTGGTTGCTTGGCTGCTTGGCGCGTGGCCACGTCTGCGTGAGTTCCTGGCAGCGTCGCAACATTGGCTGCCCCCGCGTGCATTAATAATTATAAACCGTGTTCTTCTTTTACGGCTTAGTCGTTTGTCATCTTGTTACGGTGAATTTTATATTTTTTAAAATATTTGTTATCCCGTCGGTCTATTTAATCAAAAATCGCTTACCCGCTAAATGTGGAATGTTGGTCCAAGGATTCCAACAACATGCTAATTTTGGCCCGACGTAAGCCCAACTTTGGCACGTATACCGGGTGATGCAAGTTGCTGCTGTACCTACGGTATGTCGGTGAAGTTGTTGTGCTATTTTGATGTCCACCACACCCATGGAGCAATTTAAAACTCATTCCACACGTGGGCGTCAAATATATTTTACAGCACCTGCCAAATGAGCAGAACCTGCTCCTGGGGGCTGTAGATATGGGTCTAATTTTTATTTTTTGTACACTGTGACCTGATTGTTCCATGCACAAAGACATCAAGATACTACGGCCCCCTGCAGTCTTGCGTTGTCAGGCTGATCTACTCACTCACACGCTCATTCTCTCCCACCCGCTCACATGCTCACGTTTGTGGCATCTGGAGTGGGAGCGTGGCGGTTCGAGCGCTGTGCTACGAACCCGGCCACCCGAACTCGATTCCCGCTTACGGCTCACACCAGTGAAGATTATCTGAACTGGTCTTGGGCCTCCCCGAGGTCGACTCAGCCTCAAATGAGTACCTGGTGCAGTGTGTAAACATTGCTACTAGGGAGGCAAAGATTGACGCGCGTGGTGCTGACGACTCACCCCCATTGTGCTGTGCCGGCCTTCATAGGTGCTCGCGAACAGTACTTGCCTCAACAGTCTGTTCAGGCTATACAGGTGATATTTGTCTAATCGTCTACCTACTCACTCATTCTCTCACTCACCTACACACATGTGAAATCTGGCCCATCTACTCGCCTACCTACTCACACGCTTATTCACTCACTCATGTTAGTGGCATCTGGCCCATCTACTCACCGACCTACTCACACGCTTATTCACTCACTCATGTTTGTGGCATCCGGTCCATCTACTCGCCTCCCTACTCACACGCTTATTCACTCACTCATGTTAGTGGTATCCGGTCCATCTACTCGCCTACCTACTCACACGCTTATTCACTCACTCATGTTAGTGGTATCTGGCCCATCTACTCGCCGACCTACTCACACGCTTATTCACTCACTCATGTTTGTGGTATCTGGCCCATCTACTCACCGACCTACTCACACGCTTATTCACTCACTCATGTTTGTGGCATCTGGCCCATCTACTCACCGACCTACTCACACGCTTATTCACTCACTCATGTTTGTGGCATCTGGCCCATCTACTCACCGACCTACTCACACGCTTATTCACTCACTCATGTTAGTGGAATCTGGCCCATCTACTCACCGACCTACTCACACGCTTATTCACTCACTCATGTTTGTGGTATCCGGTCCATCTACTCACCGACCTACTCACACGCTTATTCACTCACTCATGTTAGTGGTATCCGGTCCATCTACTCGCCGACCTACTCACACGCTTATTCACTCACTCATGTTTGTGGTATCCGGTCCATCTACTCGCCGACCTACTCACACGCTTATTCACTCACTCATGTTTGTGGTATCTGGCCCATCTACTCACCGACCTACTCACACGCTTATTCACTCACTCATGTTTGTGGCATCTGGCCCATCTACTCACCGACCTACTCACACGCTTATTTACTCACTCATGTTTGTGGTATCTGGCCCATTTACTCGCCGACCTACTCACACGCTTATTCACTCACTCATGTTTGTGGTATCTGGCCCATCTACTCGCCGACCTACTCACACGCTTATTCACTCACTCATGTTTGTGGTATCCGGTCCATCTACTCACCGACCTACTCACACGCTTATTCACTCACTCATGTTTGTGGTATCCGGTCCATCTACTCACCGACCTACTCACACGCTTATTAACTCACTCATGTTTGTGGTATCCGGTCCATCTACTCACTGACCTACTCACACGCTTATTCACTCACTCATGTTAGTGGTATCCGGTCCATCTACTCGCCGTGTTACTCACCCCGTTTACTCGAAGCTCACTGCCGGTCGCTGTTGGTGATTTCTCGTTAACTCTCAACCAGGTCCACAGCAGTCAGCTCACGACGTGAATGTTCAGTAAGGCTCACAAAGCGTAACCACGGCACCTTCCTTTGTGGGAACTTTTGCGCTGTAAGAACGGCGCAAACATCTTTACTAATTTATTCTTGTGGCCAGTGCTCATTTACATTAACGGCACCGTTAGTGTATGAACTTTGCAACCTTTTTTTTATTCCAAAAGTATTATTAACAAAACGATATCAGGTACACAGCACAGAGAATATGAAAGGGGGTTGACACCTGCACAAACACATTAGGGATTACAGTGCAATAGGAAACCTGTCTAAACCGAATGTTTCGATTAACTCTACAACCTTCGTGTCTTCCTGACCTCTGATACCCCTGTAAGAGAAGGGAAAAAAGGGGAAGGGGGGGGGAGAGTACCAAAATGCCTCTGATGAATGCTCTTAAGAATCAATTCTCCCTGAAGGAGCGGTAGTGAAGGGGCTCCATGTTTGGTGGTAAGCTTCCTCCCTGCCCCTTAGCTTTTCACTTAGATGCTCCAGAGCGACAATTTTGATAATTTATTGACCCATTCCTGCAGTGTTGGGGGAGCGCGCTCTCTTTCTAGTTGGCTATAATGGTGCATTTTGCTGTAACATTGAACATTTGCAATAATGTATTTGCCTCCCTGGATGAATTTGGCAACCTTTAACAACTTGCGAGTCGCACCGTGTGGTCTCCGCAGTGCCCAGTTGGCGGATGGTAAAATACTCTCTGGTTTTTTCGGTAAAGTCACGTAGGTAAAAAATACAATAAAATAAATGAAAACAACTAAATTAAATCACGACGTTTCGGGCGCAACACAAGCGTCCTTCTTGAGGTGGGGACAACGTAGTTGTTTTCATTTATTTTATTTTATTTTTTACCTACGTGACTTTACCGAAAAAAACAGAGTATGAATCCTTGCAGTCACGAAATCTTCAAATCTAGGATGGTAAAATGAGAACCACTTTGTGGGACGTGGGCAGTCATGATTACATCCATATTATTCACGCCCACCATAGGAATGTGGACTCTCCGCCTGCCCACCATGCATCGCCCTGTGTGAGAGAGTGAACGTGATGAGGTCACAGAACTACTCTCAAGGTCATGACACAGTCAACCTCCGAAGAATGTTCATCGCAGGTCAAGCATCTGTCGAATTTAGCCGAATTACGTGCATTTTATTTAAGTGATGTGTTTTTTTATGCAGTGGTGGCATCTTCCCGGATTTGAGCCCCAGGATCTCTTTCCCTTGCTGACCTGTCCTTTTTGGACATCTGTGAAAAGAGCTTCATAGCTCATCGGATTCCTCCAGTCTGAATAAATATTCAGATTTTGGTGCCGGCCACCTCCTATTTATTGGTTTGTGATGATCATGCGACGCTTCTTCTCCTCGCGGCAAAATTCGTGCTGCGGGCAGTGTTGGATCACGTGATCGATGGTTTTCCCCTGGTGATCACAGTCACTTTTGCGTGATGATGTCAAGGTGTGTTGCTGAGCACACTGGACTTGTTATTCAAAGGCAACCGGTTCGTTCTGCTAGGGGCAGCATTTGAAATAACGCGGACATTTTTCAAATTCCTCCTCCTCTGCCCACTCAGCAGATATACGTGGCTACGCCACAGCGAGTAGATTGGCAGATCCGTGTGTGACAGGGTAAAGTGTTTGTACCCCTCCGCCTCCTCGTCTTCCGAAGACGTCTGGCCGGCGTGGAAGAGTAGACCTAAAACATCCTCCAGTGGAGGCCCTCCCCACCGTCAGCGGCGCGAGCAAGCGATCGCGGTGTCGGCACCTTCGCGGCAAGAGCTCGAACGTGACGCCGAGTGCTGCACCACGGAAGCCAATCGGTGCGGCTGTCGTTGTGTTTCAGGCGGCGAGCGGTGAACTGCAGTTGACGGTGGCACTGGCGCCGATGATGCGATCCAAGTACGTGTGCACGCTGCGTGTTCTGCTGCTCGCCTTCGCGCTCCTGGCTGCCTCCAAGCTCATAGCGGACTCGAGGCAAGGCACTCGCGACGGTTTCTCCCCCCCCACTCCCTCTTCTTCACTGTCGCCGCCACCTGTCACGACCATTCACCCGTGACACTTGTTCACGCTACTGCTTACGCTACCCCTCTTCATGCACTCTCCTACCTCTTATAGCTGACTTCCCTCCACAATCTCCCCTACCTCTCCCCTCTCATCTCACTCTGCTTCCCTCCATGCCCTCTCCTACCTCTCCCCTCTCATCTCACTCTGTTCCCCTCCACACTCTCCCCTACCTCTCCCCTCTCTCTCCCCTCTCATCTCACTCTACTCCCCTCCACACACTCTCCTACCTCTCCCCTCTCATCTCACTCTACTCCCCTCCACCCACTCTCCTACCTCTCCCCTCTCATCTCACTCTACTCTCCTCCACACTCTCCCCTACCTCTCCCCTCTCTCTCCCCTCTCATCTCACTCTACTCCCCTCCACACACTCTCCTACCTCTCCCCTCTCATCTCACTCTACTCCCCTCCACACACTCTCCTACCTCTCCCCTCTCATCTCACTCTACTCCCCTCCACCCACTCTCCTACCTCTCCCCTCTCATCTCACTCTACTCTCCTCCACACTCTCCCCTACCTCTCCCCTCTCTCTCCCCTCTCATCTCACTCTACTCCCCTCCACACACTCTCCTACCTCTCCCCTCTCATCTCACTCTACTCCCCTCCGCACACTCTCCTACCTCTCCCCTCTCATCTCACTCTGCTCCCCTCCACACTCTCCCCTACCTCTCCCCTCTCTCTCCCCTCTCATCTCACTCTACTCCCCTCCACACACTCTCCTACCTCTCCCCTCTCATCTCACTCTGCTCCCCTCCACGCACTCTCCTACCTCTCCCCTCTCATCTCACTCTGTTCCCCTCCACACTCTCCCCTACCTCTCCCCTCTCTCTCCCCTCTCATCTCACTCTACTCCCCTCCAAACACTCCCCTACCTCTCCCCTCTCATCTCACTCTACTCCCCTCCACCCACTCTCCTACCTCTCCCCTCTCATCTCACTCTACTCCCCTCCACACTCTCCCCTACCTCTCCCCTCTCTCTCCCCTCTCATCTCACTCTACTCCCCTCCACACACTCTCCTACTTCTCCCCTCTCATCTCACTCTACTCCCCTCCGCACACTCTCCTACCTCTCCCCTCTCATCTCACTCTGCTCCCCTCCACACACTCTCCTACCTCTCCCCTCTCATCTCACTCTACTCCCCTCGGCCTGGCTCGGTGGTGGCATCTGACTCGGGTGTTCGTTGCCGCCCCAGGAAGGGTCATCGGCCCGCCGTGCCAGGCTCGGTTCTGACGAGGCTGTGGGGGCCAGCGCCCAGCCCCTCCGGCCCCTTGGCCGTTCGCTTCTGGGGGAAACCCAGCCTGGTCGACAAGTTCTGGGGGAAGAAGGTCTCGCAGGTACGGCCGGAGCGAGGTAGTATTTTGACCCCCGTAGAATCCTAATTGAACCAACCCCACTTTCGGTGGTACTTCAACCACCACCACCCCCCCCCCCGCCTCCACCAGCCAATTGGGTCGTTCTAGTTTTTTCAAGCCAGCCATGATATAGGGACTTCCCCTATCGATCTTGTGCCTTAATACAGACAAAAGCCAATTTGAGCAAGATTGCAAGAAACTCCAGATAGATACCCAAAACCAAAACCCTATGGGGTTTTCTATTTCCTGGGTGGGTGCAGCCATGTGGCTCACATAATAATTGTACCCTGGGGTCTAATTCATTCAATCTTTTTCTGACCCTGATGGGTAACTTTCCCGCAGGAGGAGTAATTTTTACTCGAATAGAGAACATGTTCTCCTCGGGCTTGAGATAAAACATTTAGTGTTCTCGTGCGAGGGTCACACTTCTGCGGAGTAAAAAATGCTCTCTCTTACCAGTACCATGGAATGGAGTCCACATTCAGACTGGTACTAGCCAATGCCAAGCTCGCCACACCTCAGATTAGCACGGTTGACTATGATGTACGGTGCGAAACAAGTTCAACATACATGCATACATACTGAGAGTTAAAATGTGCAGCCCTCCAATGCTGGATGAGAGCCTTGGGATTATTTGACCGCACTCAATGACGCCGCTCGGTCCACGGCGCACACCGCCTGTTCTTCTCATCGTGCGAGCCGCGGACAAAACGTTCTCCGCCGCCGCCTCCGTCTTCCCACGCAGGACGAGAAAGCGACGACCGGTGCCGCCGCTGGGGACGGGGAGCAGCAGGAGAAGCCGGGCGAGGTGCCCCACGCGATGGACGATCGGCGCGACCCCGGGGGGGCGGCGGGAGCGGCGGCGGCGGCGGCGCCCCCGGCGGAAGAGAAGGAGGAGGAGGCTCGTGAGCACAGCCCCGTCGGCATGAGGCTCGTGCATCTGGACCTCAAGGGGGCTGCCCCACAGATCGGGTACCTGGAGCAGGTGAGTGCGGCGGCCGTTGGTTAAACCGATTCTGGCTCCCGCCGTAAATACCACCGCTCGGGTCTTTTTGGCCGTCGCGTTCCCTCCGATGCGCTTCCGCGGGTTGTGCCGCGCGCCAGAGGTCGCAACCGGGTACCCGATACCGGTACTCTACCCGATACCCGGCTACCCGTACCCAGTCGGGTACGGGTACCCGTTTGCAACCCTGGTGCGGCCGGGTACGGTTAGGCCGTGAGTCACTGCTGAGTAACCGTTTGTCACTCATTTCGGGTAGGGTAGGGGTATTGGTAGGGAACGACCCTGGTGCGGCCGGGTACGGGTAAGGAAACAAAACCCGTTTGCGACCTCTGCCGCGCGCTGTTCGGCGCGACGGTGTCCCGGCGTTTCGCTCGACGTGCTGGGAGCATCTTCAGGAGGCGAATTTGAGCAGCGCACGTAATTACTTGGTGATTTTTGCAAACTGTAAGCACGTAAACCTTGGTAACTACACAGTTATTTGACTTTGTACGTGACATGGTGCAGTGAAATACGATTCCTTGTTGTGGCCGCTCAGTCATGTTCTTGTTCCGTTTTCATTCTTTAAACAGAGTGAACCTTCAGTCACAGTTCTATTCCAGCTGTAGTTCTTATCAAACTGCTTACCCCGTGGCACACCGCGGGCAGAGGAGGAGTAGAGTCGGTTGTTCAAAAGGGCACGCAGGGACAAATGGTCAGGAGAGGGGAAGGGGTCGCCGGGACGGAAGTCCCAAAGACGGGACACGGAGAGCCGCGGTTCAAGATGAGCGGCAGGAAGAAAGAAAGTGTGGCCTGTGCAGGAAGGGGAGGACAGGGAGAAGGGATGGCCTGGCCACGATGTCCGGGGGTTAGAGGGTGATAAGCGAGGAGGGCAGAGCGGGAGAAGAGAGAAGGAAGGAGCGAGGAGAAGTGAGCAGCGTCTGTTTTCAAAGGCGACGGTGGGGAGAGGGGAAGGGATTCAGAGCGGGGGTGGTCATACACGGGTGTCACGTGACTTGCGGGAGGCTTGAACTTATTGAGAAGGACTGTTCTTGTTTGCGATACTAACACTGGTTGATGTGTCATGTACCAACACACGCTAACACACATTGCAAGCAACAACACGCAGAAACGTGTTAATAGCGTATGCTCTTTGTGCAGATGCAAATCCACCAGCATTTCCTGGAGAAGTGCATTGTGGTCGTCTTGTTCGAGCCACCATCACAGTGCAATTATTCAGAAACTGATGATGGTTCTTTTGCATCAATGCACAAAGGCTTTGTACACATTGCCGTGCGTGTTGTTTGAAACTTATAGTTTTGGGAACCCTCACTGTTATTCCGTAATGATGGGGTTTTCTCATCATTTACAGATTTGAACACGATAACATACATACCGACATGCGTGACACTAAAACACTGACATTCATGCTGACATGTGTGCTAACACATGTTGACACATGCTGCCACTCGTGATGCTGACTGTGACGCGAGTGCCGACATGCGTGCCGACACACGTGTCCCATCGTGTGACCGCGTGTGCAGCTGATCCCGTACTTGACCACGCTGGGGGCAGACGGGCTCCTTGTGGAGTATGAAGACTCGTTCCCCTACGAGGGCGAGCTGCAGCTCCTGAGCAGCCAGTACGCGTACAGGTGAGCCCCCGATAGGTTTACCTGCACCGTTCCGCCTGGGGCCCAATAGAAACAGCAACAACAACAACAACGTCTCATTGTAAAACCGTCTTTCGAACGACCCAGCCACGCTCGTTTAGACGATGTTATACATATAAATGACCAATATTTGATGGCTCTGTTGTTTGTAATGGCTTGCAGCCGTGTTATGAAGTTGTAATTTTTGTGGTATTACGTCAGCTGCCTGCGTAGGATGGTGGTGGTTTTGTCAGGAAAATCCATCCCGACGCTGCGTCTCTCTGGGTTTAAGGCCCCATATTCTGACTCACGGCTTGGCTCTGGCTCGGCTCTGGCTCGGCTCTGGCTCGGCTCTGGCTCAAGTGAGCTGTGGCTCAAAGCCGTGCTTAACTTGAGCTGACTCTGAGCATGATCCCAGCCACTCTCAGGATTTTCACAACCCGAGCTTGATGATGTCGTCGGCGCAATGAGCGCATCAAGCTCGCTGTGGCTCATGGGGGGTTTCCTGCCTTCGGGAGGGCAGAATGTAGGAGCACCCACCATATCTAAGGGGCCCGAGTAATCGACCACATCAAAAGTGATTTGTTTTTTTATTTTATTCATTGACTGGATAGGCGAGTTGTCCCAGCTTTAATGTATTTATGTTGAATTTCTTTCGCACCGTACATAGCAAGCCATGCTAATCGGAGGTGCGGGGGAAGGACAACAAGCTTAACACAAAAAGCAGTTAGAAAGAAATGAGTTTTCAATCTATATTTAAAAGTGCATTGTTCCAGGGGCTTCCTAATATCGGAAGGAAGAGCGTTTGAGATGGCTGCAAAAGCACATCTGAAAGCGCGCAATGCGGTGACCGTCTTTGTTCGATGGCCAGCCAAAAGCCGCTGCTGCGAGCATGACACGAGTTCACGTGAAAATGTTCAACTCCCCGCCATAAAAACTTGAGTTTTCTGAGCGTGCGTGCCCTTTGTGCCCACGTGTGCACCTCCAGCATGGAGGATATAAGGAAGATGCTGCAACTGGCCGAGGCTTGCGGGCTTGAGGTCATCCCGCTGGTGCAGACGTTCGGCCACATGGAGGTGAGCGCGGCTACTGTGGTGCCCTGCTCACTCGCACGTTCACAGCTACGCGCGTCGACGCTCGCCCGCTATATTATTGTGACAACGATGATGATGACGACGGTGAAGCATTGAGGGTGCGGTCGTTAGCGCAATGCACCGTGAACCCGGTCACGTGGGTTGAATTCTCAGCCACGGCTAACGTCAGCGGCAAGTGATATCCAAACCTCTTAGCCGCCCCAACCACCACTCCACTCTGAATCTCTTGTCGCCGCAGCCTGTGAAAACAGACGCTGCTCCGTGCAGCTCACTTCTGCTCGCTCCTTCCTTCTCTCTCCCCTCCCCTCTCATCGCCCTCTCGTCCCCGACATCTTGGCCCGGTCGTTGCTTCTCCCCCTCCTACTTTTCCTTCTCCGGTGCTCCTTCTCCTTTCTTCCTGCTGCCCATATTGTGCCATGCCCTTTTCCCATTCCATGTTTTTTTCCCTGATATATCCTTGACTCCCATTCCCGTGGTGTGCCATGTTCAACAATGTTTTATAAAGCCGAAAGCACGTACATTCTATTGCTGATGGAATTCTGATATTTGTATGACATACATGCATATTTGAGAATCCCCTATCAGCGCACGATGGGATTGTGTTCCCGGTGGCACCGTAAAAGCACCGATCAGTGCCCCTACGTGACACTGTGTACGCTTGGTGTGACCAGTGCCACCCCCGTGACCCCGTGTGTGGGTGATGTGGCCGGAATCCCCCCACCCCGTGACTCGGTGTGGCCTGCCGCCCACAGTTTGTGCTGAAGCATGAGAAGTATGAGGGCCTGCGCGAGGTCCCGCGTTACCCCAACTCGCTGAACCCGCACCGCGCCGGCGCCCTCGAGCTGCTCTCCGCCATGGTCACGCAGATCCTGCTTGCGCACCCCCGCGCGCGCTACCTGCACATCGGCTGCGACGAGGTGCGTGCACGTGCGCGTGCGCTATCAATGGTTGTCACGACACGTGTGTGTGCGATTTTCGACCATGGCGATGCGTGGGCAGGTGAATTAGGTGCTGATGAGGTGTGAACAGATTAAGGAGTGTCAGGGACAGGTTTGGGCGCCGGTGTACAGGCCAGGATTGCGGGTGCAGGCTACGGTAGAGGTACGGGCCTGGATTGTGGGTGATAAGTACAGCACAAGTTGTGCAGGCCAGGCCTTTGGGGGTGCTGGCTTGAATCGCGGGTGCATAGGCGAGTATTGCAGGTGGCGTGGAGACCGGCGATGGGAGTGGCAACCAGCGTGGGGCCGGTGTGGGGTGCTGGCAGGTAGCCAGCAGCAGGAAGTCTGGCCAGGCCGGCGGGGTGTACGCAGGAGTGTTCTGACTGTCGCCGGTCGAGCGCAGGTTTACCACCTGGGCGAGAGCCCCGAGTCGAAGGAGTGGCTAAGCCAGAACGGCTCTCACCTGGGCCGAATGTTCCTGGGCCACCTGGCCGTGGTGACGCAGCACGTGCGGGAACAGCGCCCCGAGGCTCGCGTACTCGTGTGGGACGACATGCTGAGCGGCATCGACGAGGCCGCCCTCAAAGGTCACACGGGGTCGCACGGGGTCGCACGGGGTCGCACGGGGCCGCACGAGGTCGCACAGCCATTTGAGTGTGAGTGGCGGTATTGTTTGAGTGGCCGTATTGGTTGAGTGGCCGTATTGGTTGAGTGCCTGTATCACAGAAACCCAGCTGACAGTGTCAATTGTTTGTACCCACTGATGTTTCCCCATCAGAGTCCGGTATCGCTGGAGATGTAGAGCCGATGCTGTGGGGCTACTCGCCTAACCTCAACGTCCAGCAGAAAGGTATTTCTCAGTTAGCATTGTGCGTATTTCCGTGTGCAAGTTCCTTTGAAAAGTCCATTGTTGTGGGCGTTATTTGATCATGCTTTACCACCGCGGTCATTGTGGGTTGGCGAAGGCAAACATTATAGATGTGCATGCGTAGAAGTACAGTACAACAATGGTTTTGGCTGCACTGCCTTCTGCTCTGCGCCACGTAGGCCTGCAGCCGCCGATAACAACCGACTTGTTGGTCGCCCTTCCCAGCGCGATCCAGGCTTAAAATTCGGCTGAGCTCCTGGGGTCTGATGAGATCAGCCGCATTCCGGGTGATTTTGTTAAAGGCCAAGCTGATGTCAGCTGTGTTTTGATTGCACTGCGGGGTCTTTTTGTAAATGTCACGCTGCTTCACGGGGCGGCGTTCTTACCCAATGCCTCGAATGTACCCGTGCCTCCAGTGGAACACGTGCACAAGTACGCAAACAGTGGCTTCAAGGCGGTGTGGTTTGCCAGCGCTTTCAAAGGTGAGCGATGGAACGAGGCGGCGTGTCCATTGTCGCGAGGTAGGTCACGACCTGGGATGGGCCCCACCAGGAGGCCAGATCAGCCGGCTTCAATCACAGTCCAAGCAGATATGAAGTTTCGTTGCAATTAGGGACCTAACCCAATAAAACAAACCGGACAATTTGATACGAGAGTTGTCTAGAACTTGGAGACACAAACCAGAACTAGAAGGACCCTCGCTCGGTATCCCGGCACAGCCGGCCGAGGTGCACCCTCTGGGGCAGAGCAGCGGTCCAAGACCCGTGATCTCAGAATCATAATCTTTATCTAGATTGGAGGAATCCAATGATCTATGAAGCTCTCTTTCACAGATAGATCTCCACTAGGTTCACAGATGTCCAGTTTTCATGACGGCCTAAAATATTTCTTGCTGCTCGTTTTGTGCGATCGCTACCGTTATAATTACGGTCTCCTCGGATCCGGCGACCACAGGGATCACACCCCGAGCAGATGGTGGGGATACTGGGAGGGCAGATCATTGGCGGTTGTCGCGCGTCACCTGTGCGGCAGCCACAGCATCCGGCAGAGGCGAGCAAGCGCTGGCAAGGTGGTAGCAATGGCTTCGGCCATGATGACGTCCTGATCTTTAGGATCCTCATTTAACGTGGTATATACGTTCCTGAAAAGCGAAAACGCGTTCAGATAGAACAACTTCCCCCAAAATAAATAATGTAGAGAATAAGGTTTGGCAAAATATGGAATTTGCACACGCATTGAGATGGCTTATTGTTCCGTGCGGGTACCCAGAATTCCCACACCACTCGGCCGCGCAGCTCAAGAAAGTAATTTGTCATCGACTGTTCAGAAACCGCGTGAAACCGGTGCGCATTCTGCGTTGTGCAAAAAGTATTGCCTCATGGAAGAAACGTGTTTTAGCGAAAGCGAATTGTGTAAAAACCGGTTAAGCAACGACTTACTGTAAAACTAAAAAAACATTTTTTATTTTTACCAGGTAAAGTCCACTGAGCTCTATGGCTCTTTTTCAGAAGTGACCAGGCTACAAATAATAGCTCAACGAAGTGGCTTATCATGTGTTGAAATGTATATCAGCTGAATACTCTAAACGCATGTTTCTAAATGTGGAGGGAAAAACCGGAGGACCTGGAAAAAAATCCACACAACCACGGGGAAAACATGCAAACTCCAAATATACAACAGCAGGCGTCAGGGTAGGAATCAAATCCACGACCTCCTGTATACCAGGCGGGGTAGTTAGCATCTCTGCCACCATGGCGCCCCATGTACTTCCGAAGATGAACGCAAGTTGGAAACGTCACAGAATCCATGCGTTTGCGTGATTTGCCTCAATTCGTTTAGACGTGTGAAATGGCAAGAGCGATGCTCGTATCTAAAGCGGCCTCGTTTTTGTTCCTCAGGAGCGTCCGGGCCGAGCACGATGGTGGCACCGGTGAAGCACCACGTGGACAATCAGCTGCGGTGGCTGGAGGTGGCGCGGGGCATGGCGGGGCAGCCCATCGCCCTGCAGGGCATCGCGCTCACAGGCTGGCAGAGGTGAGACCCAGGGCAGGCTTCTTCAACCGTGGGCCCTCCGTGATGTCCTCTCACAATTGTCAGTCGCACGCAGCCATTCTGTATGCAGGAGGCGAGCGAAACCCATTCGAATGACAAACTACTGAAATAAATGCAGTGTAGATATAAATGACCGATTAACTGTGCACTGTGCAATTTATATACGAATTGGCAAATGTTTTGAGAGCTTTCCAAAATTAGGTATCAGTTACAAATGTCAAATGTGCTGCTCACCTCTGTCGCACCTCCGATTAGCACGGTTGGCTACGTACACTGCAACTATTATCGATGTGACTGAATTTCTGGAGGTTGGGGCGTGGAGGTGGTAGGGATAGTGGGGTGGGGGTGGGAGTGGTTGTGTGTGCCCTGATATAGGTCGCGTACGTGCCGTGCGTGCCGCAGGTACGACCACTACTCGGTGCTGTGCGAGCTCCTCCCCGTGGCCATCCCGTCGCTCGCCGCCTCGCTGCAGACGCTCATTCACGGTACGAAGGCGGGTGGTTGTGGTGGGGGGGAGGGGGCGAGGGAGGCACTTTCTCGCGGCGGCTCCGGGCGTCGAGCGACGCCACCTCGGTGTGGTCCGCGTGTCCTCGAGACTATAAAAAATTGTTTTTACTCAACTTTTTTATTTTACCAGGTAAAGCTCCAATTGTCTGGCGGAGGAGCAGAGCTATCGGCTATTCGTCTGCACTACTTCTCTCTCTCTCTCTATCACTCTCTTTTTTGTCATTCGTCACTCGGCCACTGACGGTGAGGCTGGACGAACTTCTCGCACTCCTTCCGTCCTCCGGTCGTGGCGATCGTTTCCTGTCGGCTTACGTTTTTCCCATTTGAGTCCTCCTTTGCGCTGTAAATCCACCTCTTGCGTTGATGTGCCCACTGCCCCTCCGATTAGCACAGTTGGCTATGTACGGTGCGAAAAAGTTCAACTTACATATTTACGCTGCTTCTCATGCCCTCCGCGAAGCAGCAGTTCAAGGCCATCGATGGCGATTTGTTGGCCTCCACTCTTTTCTGTGCTGTGAAACTTTCAGCGGAATGCGTGCACTTGCAGCTGTCGCTGTTGTGCAGGAACCCTGTGGTGTACCGTGTCCCACACATGCATCCCAACGCTGCAATTGTCCCACCGTGCTTACGTCTGTCTGTCTGTCTGTCTGTCTGTGCGTGCAGGTGGATTCACTGACGAGGCCAAGAAGTCGACCACTGAACTCCTGGGTTTCCAGAGCCTGACCGATGCAGCACAGTTTACCTGGTGAGTGGCGGTGGTAGCATCTCCTTCTTCTTTCGCCATGGCAGGAGAAACTGACAACGGGAGGTCGAGTTTGGCGAGACACTCAGTGGCTTCCTGAGATATTAAGTGGAGAAATGAAGTGCGCTAGATCTAAGTGGGCAGGTTGATGCCGATGCATTCCGTGGTCTGGGACTCATGGCCATCGTCACACTTCCACTTGCAAAGCAGGTGGCTGTGTCATCAACACCCCCCCCCCCCCTTGTCCTCTGTGGATTCGGTTGAGTGCTGTCCACTGTCTCCGAGGGAGGTCAAAGCTAGGGACCTCTACTGCTGCATCAGTGATGAGGTCTTTGTTCTTTACGTTGTGTGCATCCCAAGCTGCGCCTGAGACCCTCGTTTGGTGTTCATCTCACAGGGAGGGCTCCGGCACGTTCCCCGGATACGAGATCTATCGCGATGTCACCTGGATCAGTGCCAACCTGCGGTCCTCCGTCGCCGAGGTGCTGGAAAAAAACGAGTAAGATGTGTGCTCTCAACCATCTTCCTTTATGAAGCATTACAATGTGCACGAATACACTGGTAGGATAAATTAATTGTATGTTTATGGTTCGTGTATTAATAATCATCGCCATGGTGGCGAGATGTTAAATACCTCGCCTGTTATATAGGAGGTCGTCGGTTCTATCCCGACCCTGATGCCTGTATATTTGGAGTTTGCAAGTTCTTGCCATGGTTGGATTGTTCTCCAGTTCCTCCGGTTTTTCCCTCTACATTTAGAAACATGAGTTTAAAGTATTTGGCTGCTAAAAACTTCTACATCACAAGCCATTTCGTTTAACTATAATTTGCGGCCATGTCACTTCTGAAAAGAGCTACATAGCTAAGTGGGTCTTACCTGATAAAATAAAAATAGTAATAAATAGTTAATTATAATACACAGCCCTTTGTCAAAACACTGCTTTATGAAGATCTGTCCATGCCATGTCAATGGTAGAAGTTGTTTGACCATACTTAACACTGACCAGTGCGGATTGGTCAAGCGGGTGCCCAGGACCAGCTCAGATATCACGCGCCACTGATGTTAGCCGTAGCGGATTATCCAGACTGAGGAATGCCGGATTCAGAGTGCAGTGTACTAACCGCTGCACCATCACTCTCCCTTACAGTACTATTTATATCAAAATGTATAAAAGTTTACTAATGGATGAGTAGCAAGTATAGATTTTTTTTAAATGGGATGTATTATTATCATGACTATGCTTGTTTTTAAATCCTTTATATTAAGTTCGCTTGCTTGCTTACGACCGTGCAAATCTTTAGGTCGTTTTTTAACCCACTTCCCGTGATCCAATTGAGCTGACATTTTCCACACAGACTCGTTGTGTGTGACAATTAATGCTCGTGAAATTTTTTTCCAAAATTTTACACTTTGTAGGACAAAAATATTATATTTAATTACCAATTGCCTAATGGTGCAATGCAATCATCTGACCCATAGGTGGCAGCCATCTCAAGCCAGAGGACGAGAGGACTCTAGCCGCCACGCATATAAAGGATTTATAGTGAAAAACTTTGTTTTTACGGGTTATACTTGTTTACCTCACTGAGTTCGTGACTCTTTTGAGAGGGTCCTGCCAAGTTTTTCTTGCAGTAGGGGGCGATGATTGCTTTGGTGATGCTGGTTGTCGTTTCATCATTGGCAGGTTTTTGAAGGGTTGGTTTTCACCCTACCACCGGAAGCACAAGTTTGGAAATCCGCTGTACATGGAGCACTTTGGACAGAAAACGAGCCAGTGAGTGCGCACTGTGCCATGAAGAGATCACTGCGTAATGAAAACCATATTTAAGTTCATCTTTTGTACTCGCAAATCACCAAATATGTTTTATCAACTAATTGGAAAATGTGTTTTCAAAAATGCATTTTAAATGGCCTATCCTTTTCAGTAAACGTATATCTGGATCAATTAAGCTTGTGAGAATGAGTTAGTGTCTCAAATTCCGAGAGAAAATGAGGCTTTAAGATATCCTACTTTGGCCAGGACATTCATAATTTCATAAAAGCTGCCCAAAGGTTTCCCGAAGCTTTTTGCGCAAATTAGGATTTTTTACGGGTTCAACATTTTCTGGCCTCATTCCTAACTCATCATCGGGCAGAAAGAGGGCTGAGCTACCTGAGTGGTGGGCGTGGCTACCTGAGCAGTGGGAGGGGGTTACCTGGGTAGTGGGAGGGGCTACCTGTGCAGTGAGCAGGCCCTATGAGCAGTGGGCAGGGTAAATGTCAAAGACAAAGAGGCCTCTTCGGTGTGGGCGGGGCTCATTGAATGGGCGTGGTTATTCACTGAAAGTTGGCTGGGCTGTGTCCTTGTTTGCGCATCAGAGATATTTGGTAGCTTCAGGAGAGAATTTGTACACGAGTTTATCTCGGAGGACCCTAGCTGTGTTCCTGAACACTCCATGTGTACCGCGCTTTTGTCAGGGTGCACGATGGGTTGGAGGAGATAGTGGGGAGGCTGAGGGTCGAGATGGAGAGGGTGTTCTTCCCGGACGCGGTGGAGGAGTGGCTGGATGAACACGTGAACCCGGAGATGCAGCCGCTGCGAGCCCTTGTGAACGACTTCAAGGAGATCATCGCTCTGCGGGCACGGCCCAAGTCCTGAGCGCACCGGCGTCGTCTGCAGGCAGCGCCTCACTGGGTGCTGTCTGTGGGCTCCGTGGGGTGGATGCGGGGGAAATTCCATGCACCCCTCAATCATGTATCATTGTGGACCACCGTGGCTCGTGACGCTGCCTTGGGGAGTGGCTGCTCAGAGGTGCAGATTCATCCCACCCAACCCAACGCTCTACCTGTTAGCACACGAGAGATATTAATCATCGTCTTCATCATCATGAACTATGATCAGTCCACTGCTGGATGACGGCTTCCCCATGCCATGTCGATCAAAGGGGATGTTTTGACCTTACTTCACCATGCTGGTCAGTGCGGGTCGGTGAAGGGGTGGGCGGGGGCACCCAGGACTGGTGCAGATAATCACTCTCGCCGCTGGTGTTAGCCGTGGCTGGGAATCGAACTTGGCAAACTTGGATTGTAACATAGTGCACTAACCACTGCGCCATGGCTGCACCCGAGACATTCATAGAACGCATCCATGCATCGATTTATAGTGGAATATTATGCTCGTGATAATTGTCGTGAATTGTGCGTGAGAATCGCTTCTTTTCAGTTCGTACGTGTTGTCGAGAGTGGGCTCCCGGGACGACTGCAGAGGTGAATCGCGACCCTGAGGCATGACAATATTGAATGGCGACAGGCAAATTGTAACATCCCCGTGTCACCATGTTCAAACTGAAATATCGCCTGCGTGAGTGGGTGAAGGAAGGGTGGAACACAGCGAGTGAAAACATCGACGTTGACAACTGGGTCTTGTTAAGTTTTGGGTTCTGAAGTTGCATTTGGTGCTACCAGAGGACGAGAGCCAGCGGCGTTGTTTGCGTTTGGACCTTTCTCGGTACCATTTGAAGTGCAGCTGTGATGCACCTGCGCAAGGAATACATCTTCACCCGGAGCTTAGCTGAAGAAGCCTCTGAGCCAGAGGTCGCAACCGGGTACCCGATACCCGTACCCTACCCGATACCCGGCTACCCGTACCCAGCCGGGTACGGGTAGCCGTTTGCGACCCTGGTGCGGCCGGGTACGGGTACGGGTAGTCCGTGAGTCACTGGTGAGTAACTGTCACTCATTTCCCAACGTCTTGTCTCTTCTCACAATTCAAGTTCCTAGAATCAACCCACCCGCGCCTGCAACATGGCTTCATCCCAGAGGTCGCAATCAGGTACCCGATACCCGTACCCTTCCCGTAACCGGCCGGGTACGGGTACCCGTTTGCGACCCTGATGCGGCCGGGTACGAGTACGGGTAAGGAATCAAAACCCGTTTGCGACCTCTGCTCTGAGCAGCACGGTCCATTTCCATGAGGTCGGATCCATTCTTAGCGGTTGTGATTGGTGTAATGGTGGGGTTAAGCTTTGTGTCTGCCCCTGACTATTAATATTAAATGTATGTATGTATGTTGAATTTAATTTGCACCGCGCGTAGCCAAATGTGATAATCGGAGGTGGGAAAATGACAATTATGTATAATTATTTTCAAGTGCAATCATGGAACTAAGATAAAACAATGTTGGTCCTGTGGTACAACATTTTGCATTACTGTAAAACGTAAACAAAGTAAATTGGCAGTGCTATTCTCAGCTATTTACCGTGCGCGGTAAAATATCCAGAATCTATTTTATTCACTGTTTACCATTTTTATTGCATACGTACTCTGCAGAGTTCACGACATCAATACCACGTGCTCTCTATGCTCTTATGCTCGTTGTCCCATGTTTGACTCTCATTGGAGAGTGCACTTTAGTTGCTGCTGCCTTTATCATTTGGTAAGAAGTCATCAAGCAACTTTGTCCAACGAGTTGCATACAACTCTCGGTTTTCAAACATTTGTATATGTTTTGAATGCAGTGGAGTAATTTGAAAAAAAATAGCTATTTATTACAATGCTTTGTGTGCATTGCTAGCAAATCCACACTTAGCGAAGTGTTGTCACCATTGATACGATATCCACTATAAAGAGTCTGTCTCTTGCACAATTCATATTTAGAATCGTGAGACCATACCTTGTGTCTCATCGAGACACAAGGCCCATCCTGTGGTGTGTCCTCACAGGATGGGCAGACTGGTTTTGTGGGGTCTGCCTTTGTATTCCAACACGTGTTCCTGCAGACCAGGGATTGATTTCTCCGGAACGCATGGGCCACACGCAGTTGATGATCTTGGCGATCTGTATGTATGTATGTTGAACTTCTTTCGCACCATACGTAGCCAACCGCGCTAAGCAGAGGTGCGGGGGAAGGACAACAAATCAAAGACAGAAGGCACGTCTAAACAAATGAGTTCTAAATCTTGATTTAAAAGTGCAGAGCTCCAGTGGCTTTCTAATATATTTCCATATACACCAAACTATGGGCACATAACAATCTCGCTGTCTCTTTAAAGAGCAAGTGGAACAGGTTGGTGAGTGGCCTGTGAGTGATATAATTTCGGTGCTGCTCTGATGACTCGGTGTGGGAGAATCGACAAACCACTTGTAGGCCTTGCCCGCCTACTAGATATGGAATGTTTAGCAAGTGCTAACTTAAGCCGTTGAATGCATTGGGCTGTCTCTGGCTGCATTGATCTGTCTCAAAAGCTAATTTGGAAATGTAACGAAGACTCTCGTTGCAAGGAATTGGGCTGCTTCAAGATGCAATACAGCGAGAAATGAATCCTTTCACAAGGTTGGTTGGACCGAGACCCTGTAAGTAAATGTTAATAGCGTCGTGCGGGATGTTCGGTTGACCCAGTGTGCCCGCTCACGGCGGGGCAGCACCTTGGTTCCAGTTTGCGGTGTTACTTGGGCGGTCATCAGAGCCACTTCTGCCCGCACGCGTTTTTGCCGTGTGGCACGTGAGACGCGGTTGGGGGGGTGGGGGTAGATTGGTTGTTACGCCACATTAGGTGGGCACAAATGAAGTGACTGCTAGCGGTCTAACTTGCGCTGCATAAATATCTGCTGCATCATGATCTGATTTGGGTTATGTCTAATGTGCTGTGTCACATAGTGAATGTACGTGCACTTATACGACACAACATCATGCACATCAAATTGTGTGTTGACCTGACCGGCCCCGTGTGTTTTGGTGTTAACTGTGCTGTATATTTGGCTTTGTCTTTAAGCCAATTGTGTTAGATTGTGTTCGTCGTATGCTACTCCATTGAATACGAACTATACACACACACACAAGTCATTGTGTTTGCGATTAAGCAAATGTGGTTTATTGTCAAATATCAGAACGCATAATCATGGGAATGAAAACCACGTTGCCTGCAGTTTATCCACATATACAGTTGTGTAATCTCTCATGAATGCCTCGGCCCTGTTTGTGAGCTGCCTAATAACGTGACGTTTAATGTCGTAGCCTGTGTACAAGCGGTATAATTACGTGTGGTGATGGCGTTTAGTTTTACGGTGTTGACATTATTGACGAATGTGTCGTGTATGAAACTGTTCTGTGATATCACCTGCCTGGTTATAGGCGCCTTACCATTAAAATAGCAACTCTAATCTCCGTGGGACTGATTACTGGTGAAATAAATGCTCAAATGATCACGAACGCTGTTTAGGGGCCTCTTTTACGTCCTTGTCTATACGTGCGAAGCAGTTAATGAATGCCGAATCCCGTCAGCTATCATTGAGCGTTTGAACTTTCAGACAGATCCAAAAATAATGTAACTCAATGATGAATTAATCAACCATCCCAATATCACCAAAAAAAACTCGACACATACCTCAACAACACCGCATTGAGAGGAAAAATGTATGACAGGTGATGTTTCGGGCACTTCCCATGTTCTATGAAGAAGGGCAATTGCCCATAACGTCGCCTTTTTATATATACAGTAATTCCCCGGTTTACGTCTGGGATACGTTTCTGAAAGGTGTGACTATGCATATGAGAGGCGACTGATACGAGACAGGACCAGACAATGCTGTCAGCGACGTGAGTGTGGGGTTGAGGCGACGCAAATCAGGTCGTGGTAGAGCAGCGGTCGGGAACCTATGGCTCGCGAGCCATACATGGCTCTTCCAGTGACGGCATATGGCTCCCAGACAATTTTGAGTTGAAAAACTAATAAAAAATAATAAAAAATCAGTTTGGAACTGATTTTAAAATACTTGTGATATTGCTTAATAATACTGTGTCATTTTGAAGTAAACAGAAATTAGTTTTGAAGATAAATTTCACGGGTCACGCCTGCATGAAGCTCAACCTCACCACGTATGAACCAGACTACAAGGCCATCAGCAAAACCATGCAGCACCAGAAGTCGCATTAAAAGTAAGACATTTAATTTATTATACGTTAAAAATACTATATGGCTCTCAATGAAATATATTTAGAAATATTTGGCTTTTATGGCTCTCCCAGTCAAAAAGGTTCCCGACCCCTGTGGTAGAGTAATGATGAAGTTACAAGGTTTGTGCGAAACAACGTTAAACGGGACAGACGTAAATCGGGGTATTACTGTGTTTTATTTCTACATTATTTTCCTTGTCAGGCAGAGTGTTATTGCCGAAAGTCTTGAGTTTGTCGGGGTAATCATCACTCACCACTCTGTGGGCTGGTAGCTTCCCCTTATCGTCAATAGAGGGCGTAAGCGCCATCACGCCAGGGCTCATGTCCATGGCCCAAAAGGTGCCAATTTCAAACCCAAGAAAACGGATCCTGGGACACATTCCCCGGGGCCCCGGTAGGGGGGAACCGGAGGATGATGTCACCTTCTAGAAAGTTCTAGAAGGGAGGCGTGGCTAGGGCGGAGCAAGCCACGAACCAGTATATAAGCCGAACCTCTCAGAGGTCTGGCTTAAGTCATCTGCAAGTTGAAGAACGAAGACCTGGTTGTGAAGATAGGACCCTGGACTCCAAGCTCCGATGTCCTTCTCAGGGCTGGAGCTCAGTGAGGCCAGTGGTCAGGACCCACGGACCGGGTACGGTCAGGTCAGCATTGCCTCCCCTAGGGCACCAGCCGGAGGACGAAGGGTAACGGGGTACCTAGTGATAGGGCCCGTATAGTCCAGAGGCCATACCTCCCCAGGTATCGGGTAAAGGGACCGATATACCCTTTGTGTTAGGGACTTGTAAGAAAGACAATAAATATCTTGTTGCCTCATCAGAAGTTTATTCGTCAATTTATACCCACTACAAGTGTATCATGTGCCCTTGCAGCACTGCCAATGCAGCGCTACCAAATAATGTTTAAAATATCCCATGTGAAAAGATTATTGGAACTTCACTGACGAGTTGGAGCCGTGTGGAATGAGTGTAGCACAGGTGCTAGATGGATTGTTCAACATACCTGTCAACCCCTTATCAGTACCTACCTGATTACAGATCAATTCAGACCTTATTGGTCACCCCGTGCCCTTATAAATTAAAACATTTATCCGATAAAGTCCCATCGCAAGGGAGAAACGCAAACATAAGACCATCTACACTATGGGAACCTCATTTGCCAGTAAAAATATGATAATTGTTTTTTTACCCTTCTATCTGGCAACAAAACTGACACCTTTTTACAAGGAGTCATGTTTGCATAGACCGCAATACCTGCAGTCATAATACAAACAAAAGAACATAACTCTGATAATGTGCACTGTCCTTGAAGTTGATTGGTCCACACCCGAGACAGCTTTCCTTTGAGCCTAGTCTTACATGGGTTGGACCAGATGACGCCAAACGGCTGTATGCCGCATGGACCCCGAAAACTAAATTTCCCTGTACAAGAATACAGGGTAAACCGCATGGGTTGACACGGTACGGTTGTTACAGCCCAGAGCCGTGAGGTACGCCGATGGCTTGCGGAGGATTCCACGCACCGGTGGATTAATTATGACCCGATGATTGTGACCATAAATTCAATCACGTCTGCTGCCTTCTGGTCGGCGCAGTTCGACAAGCGAGGCACGCAGTCAAACTCGAATCGAGTCGGGTGTCTCTCGTCGTATGTGGAGTAGTAACTCTTGTGTTCTGGCAGCCGGGAGCCCAGTGAGTGATCTTATCAATCCACCTTCGTATCACAGCGGCACATCATATCACGGTGATGAGGAAGCAGGATTGGATTTGTGTTATCGGCCACAGCTCGAGATTGCCAACAAAAACGAGCAAAGAGCCGCGCTTGTTTTGATTGGGAAGACGTCTTGCCCTGTTTTAATTTCGGTGATGAATGCGTGTCGCGTTGAGGTGTACAAGGCGTCGACTTTATATTGCTGTAGACTTCGTAAGATTCATCATGGAATTTCTGAACCATCAACAGGATGTGTGTAAGAGATATATAGAAAATTGCCAATTGTTTTCATGAGCATGTCTTCTGGACCAATGTTTTCCAGCGGAATGTGTTTGTCTGCAAAATGTAGGTTTTGGCTTCTCAGGGGAGTAAAAAATTGTCCAAAATTGCGTGGCGTCATTGATGGACGGCCCCTAACCACATTAGACGTATGGTGAAAATACAAACAAACAAACAATATTCTTATATTTTGATACTGGCAAAGGGGAGGTCCCATGATATAACCACACGTAGTTGTGATGAACATGAAAACAAAACACGCTACCAATGTGTGCACTGTCTTGGAAACTGATTGGCCAATACCAGTATTACATATTCTTGTGTCTTTCGGCAAAGTCACGTAATAGGTTCAAATAAAAAAAAGGCTGCTGTCTCTGTTTCTTTGAATCTATCTACGTGACTTTACCAAAAGACCCAAGAATATAAATTCCTGCAGTCACGATAGCTTTAAGTCAAGATTCTTTCATAGTCTCAAATGCCAGTTTCAAAGCAAAAAACGCCAAAGGGCGATCAGTAGCAAAGACAGTGCACTTATCAGGGCATTTATAGTTACCAGTTACAACATGGGACCTTTTTTTGTCAGTACAGTATCATTTAACAGTGGTAATCAATCACAACACTAAGACGTATTACCTACTATAATCACCCAGAAATGTCTGTCCGTCCCGCGTGTGACGTCACTCCACATGAGGCCCACCCCCGCGTGACGTCACTCCACATGAGGCCCACCCCCCCCCCTCATTAATATTCATGAGTGGGTGGATTTTTACACAAACGCAGAGGAAGGTCGAGCTGAATTAAATAATTCTAGTTTTGAAGCTTTTGTGACTACAAGGATTCATTATCTTAGGTTTTTTCGGTAAAGTCACGTAGGTAAAAAAATAAAATTAATAAAAGTAAAATGAAAATAAAATAATTTATTATGCAAAGTCGCTTCAAATATGACGTTTCTTTACAGAAAGTGACGGTAAGAAATAAATCTACGCAGCACAGTGCTACATCCGTGCGTGACGTCACTGAAAAAGAGCCCCCCCCCCCCTTCATTAATATTCATGCCCGCGTGGAAATTTACACTATCGCACTCCACATGCCGCCACCCTCCCCTCATTAATAATCATGAGTGGGTGACGTCACTCCACATGCCGCACCCCTCCACAATAACCATGAGGGGGTGACGTCACTCCACATGCCGCACCCCTCCACAATAACCATGAGGGGGTGACGTCACTCCACATGCCGCACCCCTACACAATAACCATGAGGGGGTGACGTCACTCCACATGCCGCACCCCTCCACAATAACCATGAGGGGGTGACGTCACTCCACATGCCGCACCCCTCCACAATAACCATGAGGGGGTGACGTCACTCCACATGCCGCACCCCTACACAATAACCATGAGGGGGTGACGTCACTCCACATGCCGCACCCCTCCACAATAACCATGAGGGGGTGACGTCACTCCACATGCCGCACCTCTACACAATAACCATGAGGGGGTGACGTCACTCCACATGCCGCACCCCTACACAATAACCATGAGGGGGTGACGTCACTCCACATGCCGCACCCCTACACAATAACCATGAGGGGGTGACGTCACTCCACATGCCGCACCCCTACACAATAACCATGAGGGGGTGACGTCACTCCACATGCCGCACCCCTACACAATAACCATGAGGGGGTGACGTCACTCCACATGCCGCACCCCTACACAATAACCATGAGGGGGTGACGTCACTCCACATGCCGCACCCCTCCACAATAACCATGAGGGGGTGACGTCACTCCACATGCCGCACCCCTTCCCAATAACCATTAGCGGGTGACGTCACTCCACATGCCGCTAATGGTGACGTCACCATTACCGGGTGACGTCACTCCACATAGGGCAAGATTTACTGCAATATACACCCGTCCTTGGACGGGCAAAACAAACTACAGTAGTTAAATTATAATACAGTAATCTTTGGTTCTTTCGGTAAAGTCACGTACTGTAGTTAGAAATAAAAACGTGACTTTACCGAAATAATCAAAGAGTATGAATTCCTTCAGTCACGAAAGCTTCAAATCAAGATTAAATTATAATACTCATGAATATGAATACATCTAGATTTGAAGTTTTCGTGACTGCAGGGATCCATACTCTTTGGTTCTTTCGGTAAAGTCACGTAGAATAAAATATAATAAATTATAATATTTTATAGGTATAAAATAAATGTATTGTATTTTATACCTATAAAATATAATAACAAAATAAAATAT